GACAGGAGTCATGAATGACCACTGCCAGACAGTTTGTGCGGTGGGTTACCCCTAACAGACACACCCCAAAATGCCACGCCCCCAAATAGGCTACCTTTGCAGGCACTGTTCCCATGTTCTAAAAAATTAGATTTTTAGCTAGGATGCATAGGATACTAATACCTAGCACGTATGGAAGAGGCGGTAAACTGCGATGGCAAGAAATTGATTTTTGGGCAAAAAACATTTTATGCTGCTAAAAATAAAATTGTTCCTACAACCGCAGATTATCGCATCTTCCATATGTGCTAGGTATTAGCATTCTACGCATCCTGGCACAATTTTTAATTTTTTGAACCACAGGAACAGTGCCGACTAATCTATCCTAGTTGGAGGTCGTGTTATTTTGGGCGTGTCTATTAGGGGCAACCCACCGCACAAACTGTCTGCGTAAGTTTGCATTTCTGCTACATGTCATATGTACATGTGCAAGTTGCGATCCCCATATACAGAGCTATCTGACAGTCACACTAGAAGTTGTTCTAGTCTAGTTGTAGGCTACTAATTAAAGGAGCTAAATTAATCGCTAATATTTGGGACCTAGATATTGACCCAAATGGGTCACAAGGCATATAATAATGTAATATGAATGTATATAAAATGATTTACATTCATTTACATCCGTTTTTACTATACTTATTTCAAATCAGTTAAGTTCAGGGAGAAGTCAGCTCAATCGATGGCAATTAGCTCTTGCGTCTGGTTATTCCACTTCCAGTAACTGGTAGTAATTATGCTCTCCAGATTGTGTCACTGTTTGACATGATTTGTGGAATTCTTCGAGTCCCTTGCTACATGTATATGGCACTGAATTGCGTGCGTGATGGTACACGATTCGTGTTATGGTAAAATGTTTATTTTGTCTTAAATATTAGATATCTTTTCCCGGTAAGATCACAACATCAATGTTGATTTAAATTGACAAATAATTTGTGTTTTCAATGTTGAAGATTGTGGATAATTTATATTGAGTTAAAGACTTATATAGCTCCTTTAACTTAAAGGCTCAATACCACTCTTGTTGTAACTGAATAATATGTCCCAATCTTTATTCTGGTCAACATATTGTACTATTTTACAATATTCCAATTAATTGATGATACAAATTTCATCTTAACACACCTATTTTAAAAAATTCGAAAAATTCAACTAAATGATTTGAAAAGCCTGACGTAAAGCTTTTCAAATGTTACTTGGATTTAAAAAATATTTTTGAGCCCTCTGGACAAGTAAATTTCAAATAGGATTTAATGGATAATTTACAAAACAGGTAGGACACTACTAACACATCTAGTACTTAGAATAAGGCTATTTTTTTTATTTTCTGGAGCTGCCAAGCCAGCAAGAGTGTTATTGTCCCTTTAATACTAAGGACATGCCAAGATAACAACTTTCTTTACCAAATTACAGTACCGTACCCGCCCAGGTACATACTGTAATTATTGTGTGTTCAGTACAATGTCAACAAGTAATTAAAATTTCATAAAAATCATTTAAAACTTACGTATTATGATATCTAGTTATATCCATGCTGTAATGTTCATTTTGTTGTACAATTAGAAACTATCACACGTCTGTATTTTTTATGAATCAAATCTCACGCTACCATCTTAATTAATAGACCCGATAAGCAGGTTTGTATTTACGTTTACTTTCCAACTTTAGATTCATTCTTGATAACCAAGTCTTTCGACCCTGCTATCTAAAGAAAATAAGGAATCTCCGGGCTAATTCTACGAAACGAAAAATGAAATACGTGCACTACCGTTAATGCTGCAACAACAACCACAATATTTTATTTACAGCATTAAAGACAATGACTTGGTACCGAAAGACGGCGATTTGAGCCACCAAAAATCCCGAACACCCAATAACTCCCTCTTAAATAGTATAGTCCGGGTCCGGTGGCTGAAGGGGTGGGGGTGGGGGCAATCGCCACCCGAGCTGTGATTTTATGAGAACAAGTTTTTCTAGAACAGTTTTTTTTAGTGTAGATTCCGAATCTGGGTGGTGATCAGGCGTTTGAGGGGGCGTTTTCGAGATATAGGGGGTTCAATGTCTACAATTGGGGGGAGGGGGGATGTCATTATAAATGTTGACATAATTGATGATCATTTTATACTCTTCATAAAAAGTATAGGGGGTATTCAGAAACAATACAAAAGTGCGGAAATGCACTGCTGTTTTTATTAGAGGTAACCAGTGTATGTTAATAACAGACCAATTGCCTACACATGAACATAAACAGTTCATATGGCGGCTTATATCTGACGGCCCCATTTCACTCGCAAAGAGATACACCGTTAAAAGTGAAAATGGACGTTTTTGATTTTTGTCTTAATAATGAGTAATTGCTCCACCAATCCTCAGACATTCAGCAATTCGTCGTGGCATGTTTCTAATCAACCATCAATCACGATTCGGGACAATCTGACCCACTCCTCTTGCAGTGCCAAGGCCAATTCTTGCAGTGTTGTCCGTTGACGTTGACGTCGACGAACACGTCTCCCGATCAAATTAAACGTAACACACCAAAGCAAAGATACGCTAAACAGTAAATCTTATGCAGGAACCGATAGGAAAGCAAACATCGATAGATAAACCAGCACGCGGCAGTTTTCATCAACTCTTCTTTTAAGGGTCAAATTTGACAATGAACCCTCCCACGCGTATGGCGCTATTGTGTGTCGCATGTGCAGCTCAGTGGTTCTGTTGGGGCGACAAGTTCTTCATCCGTGAAAATACTCTCAAAGAATGTCAAATGTCCATGACTATTTATCATATCGCAACCTGCATAGGTATTTGCATTTCAGTATCCCCTACTTTTTTTTTTAAGAGTATATATTAATCAAACATAGATTTCTAGGACTGCCCATCTCTAAAGGGTATATGATGCCCCTGGACAACTGTTTTGATTTGTGGGGAGGTGGGGTCGGTGTAGCAGCTGTTCGTGTGTGGAAGAGGGGTGGGGGGTAAACTTGGCGGGAAATGAGTTCACGTTAATTTAAATGATTTTCTTAGAGCATGGTTAAAACATTACTTTTAAATGTGGGGTGGGGGGGGGGGCAAAATGTGGTTTTTTTTAGGACAGAGTACCAATTTCGTCATTCAAAATATTAAATTATAATGGTACTATTCAAGAGAGCTGGAAATGAACATAAAAAAAAGACACAGAATCAGAGACATGTTTAGTTTAGATATTAGTTTATTCTTATAGTCTTCAACATAATATGAGCGGGATAGATATCTTCTTGCTGGCTGATCAACATCTCGCATATATTCTTTGGATATGCTTCAGATACCCATTCACATTGTAAATCTTCATTCCAGCCTTGTATCGCAGGGTCATCTTGTTCGATCACCATGGTTTTGCAGCCTGTCTCCATATTGTTGCAACATAATTGTTGCGTTTAATGTGCAGCAAAGAATACTCAGGCAAGATGGTAATAAAGAAAGAAGGGTATGTTAGTTTTCATCACAATTAAGATTCCTCCAGAAGATCTTTCTTCTAATGTTATCGTACAAGGTACAAATATTTTTTTCTAAACCAGCAATTACGTCATAAGAATCATCACTTGTCTGCCCCAGCTCTTTAAAAATTGTTAGAAAGTTGGAATTATAATGAAAAAGAAAGACAGATAGTCATTACCACTTAAAGTATGTAGGCCGAGATATTCACGACACTTTCAATACTAATCTTGAAAAGATCAAAAAAGATATCAAGATTAGTATTAAAAATGTTGAGAATATCCTAGAACTGACAACAAACCACGAGGACACCAAAATAAATTAATGGAGGCTCTGAAACAATTTTGTATTTTGCACTCTTGCTCGGGCGAAATAGACATCCCAATCATTCTCCTCGCAAACGATCATCCAAAATATACACATTTTGATCGATAATGAGACGGGCAAAGGTAGAAAATATCGCCGAAGGCGACTTACAGCAGTAGGTGACGCTAGAAGAAAGATTTTCTGGGTGAAAAAATAACAGACTCTTCTTTGTGACCACCTTGCCGTAGTGGCCTTTGCTGCATGGCTGGAATGAAGATTTACAAAATATGTGAATTGGTATCTGAAGCATAATTAAGGAGAGAGAGAGAGAGAGAGAGAGAGAGAGAGAGAGAGATGGGGTTTAACGTCCACTCGACACAAACTAGGTCATTTCGGGACTAACATATGGTTTATTTTTATTTCAATAATTCGCTTGCGCGTAGGGCTCTTTAGCAGTGGGAGGAACCGGAGGACCCGGAGAAAACCCACGAGGTTGGACTGGCGACCCTACTTGTCATTCAAAGGATATGCGAGCTGTTGGTCAGCAACACAGACTAAAAATAGGCTATTCAGAGTACTGCCATTTATTTCAGTCAATAACCTCAGTCGTTGATGACCTTACTCGCAAAGTGGGGTATACATGAGTTGTTTTGGGGGATTGAAGGAAAATTACATTACAGTATTAATTTTAATAAACAAGTTTGAAAATGGAGGAAAATAAAAGCTATGATAAACGATATTTGAACAAGTGCGTTTTTTGTTTAATTAAAATTACAAACTATTCCCAAATTTTTAACAGCCATCGACTGATATATTCGACTGACAATCTCGACTGGACTTTAATAGCCGTAGAATATTTTTCTGGATAATAGAGACTAACATTCTTATTAGTATGCTACTTCCGTTTTGTATACCCATATTTTCTTCGACTAATCTCATACAGACTTTGTACCAATATTTATTTCATATTACTCCATCTATGTTACATAACTTTCAATCCAAAGATATTTTGGGAAAAGGTGAGAGTCGGGTTGATATCACAGAGCCTCCCCCTCCTTTTTTAACACAATGGGGTGGTCTGCTTCCAAGTAAAACCAGCGAAGATTATTTCAAATTGTGGAATACAAAACGAATGCGATTGGAGGTCAACCTATATTGGAATTTGTTTGAACATATTTTTAACATATTTGTCCTAAACCTGTAACTTATGTTTAGTATAGGCTACTTGCTACACAGAATGATAAAAGTGGTCAAAAATAGGCTACTAATAAGGATTTTATTTCGTTTCGGGCGTTTATTTTTTTTTTAGGAAACTTAAACTTAAAGGCGGTTTGTTTGAAAAATCTTGTCTTTTTTTTTATATATATAGATCTATTAGGTCTACGTGGTAACGGTAATTAAAAATTAAATTCAGTTTGAGAGGGAAGCCACGGTGACTCAGTGAGGGTCAGAACTGTGAGCATGCCAAAGGGAACAGCTAATCGTTCGGATGGGACGAAAAGCGAGGGCACAAGGGCGAGAGTACTGAGTAGCTAAAAACAATTTCACCTGACCTGGCAAACTTAATTTCATTATTTAGGCCTAATGCATACACGTAACATCTTAAAAATAAGTCAATTTTATACTACCCAGCCCAGCCCAATGTAGTGAAACAACTTTCGTTTATCTGCAAATATTGTCACTTAGTAGTAGGCTACTGTAGCAATGCAAAAGCTTTTTTAAAGTTTTGAATCCGACTAAAATTGAATATTTACTAGTTCCCCCCCCCCCCCTCCCATTAAAGAAACCCCCAAAAATTTCAAAATCGAATAAGTAATAAGAATGTTATTGCACTTTTATGACCCAAAAATGATTGAGTCAGTATACACTTTTTTTCTAAATTGCAAAAAAAAGTGACCAAAGACAACCTTCATGACGTAATTAAAAGTCAATTTAAAATGTCTGACAAAGCCAACAATTATCGCTTCGATTTAAAAAAGAGATGGTTTGTACGTCCGTCTCAGGTTAGATTATATGCTTAATTGTAGTTGGATGTGTCAAAAATGTACAGTAATAAATAACAATAATCAATTGACATTGTTCTTTTGAAGAAAAAATTGATAGTTTTGCTTTTTGAAGTTCGATTTGATTCGCATGATCAAACAGTTTTGCCAGGTAGGCCTAAAACTATCTATATAATACCATCTCTTATCTCGAAAAACACGGAGGGTTGAGAGATAAGGTTTCTTATCTAACCAAGGTCTGTGTACATTAATTAAAGAAACCTTGGCAGTTGGAATTCGAGTATGCGAAAACTACACTGTCCAAAATTTTCTCATAATCATAGCACTAGCAGTAGCACACTGCATAAGTTGTAAACACATTCATTTTCGCCCGATCAGTGTCAAAAAATAGGATGTTATTAAAACCACATTTCATAATTCATTTCACATTAAAAGAGATTTCTACTAGTTCAATACCATCATAATTTAATAAAAGTCCAAAGGCTAATGATATGAAATAGGCATGGCTTACACTAGAGTAAATCCATGATGTTATTTTAAGTTATGTCCTGTGGCAAGCGACATTTGACATCAGAAAGTGTGAGTGCTACAAAAAGCCGTAACTTAACACTAAATGTTGTTTATTTCTGCATTAGTAGGCTATTTAATAAATTATTATGGTTTTGCACTGTTACTTGTTAGCGTGCAGACTGTTCATTGGTTGGTCGCTATTATCAAAAAGACATAACAGTTAACACAGGACCTAGAAACTTCTCTCATTATTCTGTGATTGGATTAACAAGAATTATATTCAAATTAGGTTACAAATTGTGATAATATTATAATTAATATTCTGATCTGGGCTCTTGAACAGCTAAAGGCCTATATGTTTTGTGTAATAAATATAATAAGGCAGATCTGAAGCCATCTAATTTTAACTACATGTATTTCTGATAATGGTTGTTACTCTTCATCAGCTTTTAGTGCTTTTGTGAATGCTCACATTACATAAGCTTACAGAAGAATATATGTGCCAATGTTTCGCTTTCTGGCAACCTATCCTTTTAATGTGTATATAACTTCTAACACATAAGATAATTTTATACTATTAGTATTAATACTAGTATTAGGCTTCTGAGGACAAATACTGTGGCAAACAAACTTTAATACAACTGCAAATTAATATCGTTGAGCCAAGCAAAGTTTTTCCCTTGGACAGGTGACTTGCCATCACTCCAGGTACTACCTGAGGTAGTCTAAATTGCATAATCCTTTGATTCGCTGTTGCTCTGGGTCCTCTCGTTTCCCCTCACTGCTGAAAAACCCTACTCACCGGCAAGTTTGTGTTGAGTGGACATTAAACCCTATTTCTCTGTCTGCCAACATTGTGCATTAATATTTGATTATTTTCTTATTTCAGTTTAAAATCACCCTCTGGTTGTTAACTGCTTAATAATGAATGCCGAGGAAGAAATTCGGGACCTCAAGGAAAGACTTGAAGAGCAAGATGGAAACTGTAGGCAAGCTGCTGAGATTGGTAAGGCGCTGTTAGAGGAGAATATACAGTTGAAATCAAACATGGATGACATAGTAAAACAGTATTCAAAGAAAGTTGAAGTAAGAAGAGCATCTAAATTGATTGGAAACTTAAAGATACATATTAGTTAAGAGTTTAATAAAGAGTTGGTCATTCTTGCTATAATAATTCAAAAATATACTATTCAAAAAAAGTAGGGGATATTTGATTTTGGGGGCATAATACTAAAATATGCAAATGACTACGAAAAAAGTCACTATAGAACCTAACAGAAGAAACATTTCCAGTTACATGTGACGCCCAAACGCACCAATAGCTACCGCATGGAATGCAGGTGATGCTTGGGATCATCATGGGGGTCCAACCCAAGATTTGCACGACTCTGACTTTGAATGTTACAGTCATTGTGGCATTGAATTCCAGGGTGGAAACATCAGTTTAATTGTTTTAGTGACCAGAAAACAAATTTTGATATGCGTCGGCTTACCCAAAATGAAAGGTTACGTGCCCTTGGCATGCTACAGATCGGCACAACACAGGCGGTTGTGGCGCGGACGATGAATGTTTCTCAGTCTGTCATAAGCAGGCTATGGTCCAGATACCGTGATACACAATCTGTACAGGACAGACCACGCTCAGGTCGACCAAGGGCGACAACTCAAGCCCAGGATCGGTTTATCCGTACCTTGGCCTTGAGAAATCGTGTCATCACAGCAAATCAGATCAGCGCTCGTCTTCAAACAGACACTGGTGTGAGAGTGAGTGGCCAGACGATTCGGAATCGACTGCATAGGGGTCACCTTCGCGCCCGACGTCCTCGCGTGATCCCTTGTTTGAGAGATCATCACATTCAGGCAAGACGTCGTTGGTGTAGGGATCGTCAACACTGGGATAATCGACGCTGGAGCAATGTGATGTTTTCAGATGAGTCAAGGTTCACTGTTGATTTTTTGGACAGACGTAGGAGGGTGTGGCGTCGTCGAAACGAGCTCTTCCAAGCCGTTAACGTCATCAGACATGATCGATTTGGGGGTGGTTCTGTTATGGTGTGGGGAGGCATCACTGTTGCTGGAAGAACGGCTTTACATGTTGTTGCAGGGCGTGTTACAGGCCAGTACTACCGGGACAACATCTTGGCAGTCCATGTTGTGCCGTTCGCACGACGTCGTGGCCGCCGTTTCATCTTCCAGGATGACAACGCAAGATGTCACAGGGCCAGGATCGTTACAGGTTACCTCCAACAACAGAACATCACCACATTATCTTGGCCAGCACTGAGTCCCGACCTCTCCCCCATCGAGCATGTCTGGGACATGCTTGGACAGAGGTTATGTCAACGTCAACAACGTCCTGCCAATGTCCAAGAACTTGCTGCAGCGTTGCAACAGGAATGGGACAATCTGGACCAAAATGACCTTAGACGTCTCATTAGGAGTATGCCACGTCGGATCAATGCTTGTTTGGCAAACAGAGAAGGATTTACCCGTTACTGACTTGGTTGTGATGCTGTGGTAACTTTGCTGTTTGACCCAGGGTATCATTTTACCCTTATAATGGTCAGTCTGTGCCTTACTTAGTCTAACGATCATTTGGAATAAATCGATGAATGTGAACTTTATTTCATTTTGTCATTTGTTTCTTCGTCAGTTTCATTAGGTGACTTTAATAACACTTAAAAATCAAATATCCCCTACTTTTTTTGAATAGTATAGATGATAAAAAAAGAAAATAATGAAAATTTTATTCAAATTACTTCAATCTCAGCCAAGTTATCATTGTTTGTAGTTTTGACAAGATGTGTGCATAGTGGTAACCAGGGCACTAATATATTCGGGACTTAGCCTCGCTTTCCCATTTTTAAATTAAATTTTTAAATGAAGAACCGTTTTAATCTAGTTAAAATCCTGAGTATCCAATGCCATCAAGAGTTGATTATGGTCTTGTTTTGTTAATAAATGTCTAATTAATAGTTTATATAACATTTCAGGCCTAAAGAAAAACCTGCAATATAGGCAGATTTAGCTCTTGCATAGTGTATGTTTAATAAAGAAATAAAATGCAAAATTTGTATTAGAATAAATTTATTGATCATTTGAAAAGAAAAGAAAAATGCACGTAATATGCCAAAAATTAGAGATGTAGAATTAGTTTAAAATTGTAATTATTTTTTTGTTTAGTTTCATTGATTGGAAGATAATCTTTTATATATTTCACATACAATATTTATACTACTGAAATTGAAGACACTTATTAAAATTATCACAAGTTTATTAATAAATCTGTGTATGTTTTGTTATATACACAATAACTCAGATACCGTGAACATGATTCGTCAGATTTACCCATAATTTTGTCTGTGCATTTAGAGCTGTGGTTCTCAACCTTTTTTTTGGCAACGGCACATAGTATGACTCCAACTAAGTAAAGAAAAACGGAGCCATGAACTTATCAGTAGAGACCAGTGAATACTCAATTGGGATCATGTGGCTTTACGCATTTTCTTAGTTTGCTGTTAAAAATTTCGCGGCACACTTAGGAAGATCTCGGCACACTGGTTGAGAATCACTGATTTAGAGTTTAGCATTTAGCAACACAACTTCAATAGTCATTCCCTGTGTTTCACTAGTGAAAATATCAATCCCCCTATACTGTAAATAGTAATGTGAATCAGATTTCTAGATGGGCAGCCAGATTTTACTGGCACTTATCCTTCTGGTCAAACTGCTATATAAATTAATTTTAAGCCCTGAGCCTTAACTTTGTGCAACTAGGTCAAAATAGCCTGTCAATGCAGACTTCAGTTCATTCACCCCACACTTGTTTGGACAGATCTAGTGTGTTGGCTGCTCACATTAAATTTAGGGATGTTAATTTTGGCAATACACTGGATTTACCACTAAATACATCATTTTATGTTAGAGAACAAAATGTGTGGAAATTAATGCAACTAGTGATAGATCGTATTTACACTTTAATAACTTACCTACATCTATTCTGTGTTTGCATGAATTTCTTATTTTTATACACCCACATTGAAATGTGGCCATATATTGCTGTCGCCCTAATCCGACTGTGGATGCTCTAGAGGCTAAAGCTAATAATATATCTGATTGAAATTAATACACATGAGACGAAGAAGCCTATTGATTTTCAACAATTTCCGATAATTACTGCCAGAGTTGTGGTCGTTCTAGAAGTTAAAGTTAATATCTGATTGACTTTAAATTTATACACATTGTTTAAGGTCATGAGACAAAGAAGCCTATTGATTTCCGATTATTACTACCAGAGTTATGGTCCTTTGAAAAAAAATCTTGTGGGCACCCTGGGGACTAAAGTAAATATCTGATTGACTATAAATTTATACACAGTGTTTAGGTTATGAGGCGAAGAAGCCTATAGCTTTTCAATGATTTTCGATAATTACTGCCAGTTATGACCCTTGATCACTTGCGAAATTTTGTGGACACACTAGAGGATAAAGTAAATATAAATTTATATGTAGTGTTTTAGGTTATAAGATTTAACACAAACAATTGTAACAAATTCTAATGATTTCTGATAATTACTTAAACATGCATTATGCAAGAACTAAATTTGCCTACTGCAGGTTTTTCTTTAGGTCTTAAATGTTATCTAAATTATTAATTAGACATTAATTAACTTATCAAGACCATAGTCAACTCTCGATGCGATTGTTAGCCTACGATATTTAGTGGATTTGAATACATTTGTGATAGATGATCTAATGTAAAAATTGAATCTCTAATATCTTGGTTCAGAGTGAAGCAATTTGACTGAAATTTTTAGCATATTCTGTTTTCATTATCTTTTTTTTTAACTATTATAGCGAGAACTGTCAGCTCTTTACCATATCTTACCTAATGCCCCTTTAATTGGTTGTTACTCGTAATCAGATTTTTGTGTGTTGTAAATGCTTTTAGTACTGACAAAAGAAAATAAATGGGACAACTAAACTGATGTGGGCCTATGATTTGTTTCCTGGCAACCAATCTTTTACACTTTTAATATATTTTTTTTATTTTTAGACTTTACAACAAGATAATTATTCACTTTCACTCAAAGTAGAAGCTCATGCTAAAGAAAAACTGTGGTTTGATGAAGAAATGTCCCAGTTAAGGACAGATTTGCATACACAGAAACAGAGTCTTTTAGAACAGTTTGAAATAGATAAAAATCAGGATTCACTTTACTACAAGAAACAAGTATGTTTTATTTACTCAGAGCAGATTTGTCCATAAGTGTCCATACTCATTTGATTAATGTTCAGATCTTGGTTTGGATTGTTCGTACTTGGTTTTGTTTTATTTTATTTTTATTCCATAAGCCTATTATTAACCATTATATATAAGCATTTGGTTGAATATACCTAAAATTAAAACCATGACTTCATCAATTGATTAATGGAAAAATTGATTTTGGACCCAATTTTTTATGAATTTTTCCTAACATTAAGATATTGTTTACTGATTTATCGTTTTAAATTTTAGAATGCTTTTTATTGAATCAATTTATTAGATAAGCTTATGCATTCACAAGAATATATTTATAGGGTAGTTATTTCCAATAAAAGTATTTTAACTTTTTGGGTATGGGAAGTAGAGACACCCAGTCGTACCAGAGAAATACTGGATTCCCTGAAGAGCATCCATTCCATGGGGCAATAATGTAAGGGTATCACAAATATTTATGGTAACTATTAGAATGTTTTGAGAGGGATTAGAAGCAAACCTTTAAAATAAAAATACTGAAATTACCTAGGTTTTGTTCAGGGGAACATTACATCCCATGTCTCTCTCTTGAATTAATTTTCAATGTTCTGGTAGCGTTTGTTTGGTGTTGCTGTCTGTGCTTTCTAAGAGTGTGACCCAAACGTGTTAATTTTATATGGCGGTGGTGGTGTTTGTGTGTTTGATAGCCGAATGGTTAGCATTTGCGCGCTGTATCATAAGGTCTGTCATTGAGTCAACTGGCGTGGTTTCGATCCCCCAGTTGTACGTGATTGCCTGTCCAACCTCGTGGGTTTTCTCAGGGTCCTCGGTATCCTCTGACAACTAATAAAGACCCCTATGCGCAAGCGAATTATTAAAGAAATAAAATTGAACCATATGTTAGTCCCAAAATGACCTAGTTTGTGTCAAGTGGAAGTTTAACCCAATTTCTCTCTCTCTCTCTAATTTTATTAGCTTATTATTAAAACCTTAATAATGATAATGATGTTCCATGGTGGTAGCTTGTAAATTTTATTTATAGATGAATGAATTAAAGTTAGATTATGAACAAGCGCAAGCCATTGAAAAACAGTTAAAGGAGAAGATTGAACAACTAGAGGAATTACTTCAACAACAGTTAAACCAAACTCAGATCTCTTCCAAAAGTTTCTATGGTGATGAACTTAACGAGATGCAGCAAGAATTAATGAAACTTCAAGCTGATAATGTAAGATTTTTTTTTTTTTTCTTATGTTGTTTCAGCATTGACAATAAATTATCTTATTTGTTTTCTGGATCCATCAATACAGCTACAAATAGCCACAAAACTTATTTTTGGGACAAATTTATTCAAATTAAAACTGGAAGTTATCACAGTAAAAATTCAGAGAGTAGCAAAGTATGATACTTAAACTTTTGTGAGAAATACTATAAGTGTGCTGTTCAAAATTTTTGTGGCACACTTAGGAAGATCTTGCACACAGGTGTGCGGTGGCACACTGGTTGAGAATCACTGCCATGGACTGATAGTATAATGTTTACATATCACTCAGTATACAATTCCCTTTGTGTCTATTGATAGTCTATACAGATTAGCATGGACAGTTCATATGTTTAAGCAAATGGCAAAGGTAGCGTTTTATTGCAGCTTTGTTTTAATCTGAAAAGAAGGTAGCAGGGAGAAAGCAATATGTGTCTTCTGTGGATCATTGGCTAGCTTCTGCAAATTTTTAGAAGGTATTTGGCAGAACATATTATAAGTAAAGAATCAGCTATTGGATTTCTTGTAAGCTTATAGGAAAACCGATGCCAATATGTTTTAGTGGATTTTTTCTTGACTAGGGATCTATTGCCCTGCCAATGTTTTGCTAATTGTCTCTCAAGTCATCATGAGTTGTGCATTATTGAGAGGGAGAAATGAGGTTTAATGTCCACTCATCACACACAAACTAGATTATTTCAGGACTAACATATGGTTCAACTTGGCTCAATGAAAGACTTTATGATCTAAAGTTGCACGCATAAAACCAAACCCCCCTATATTGCTTTAGAATATGGCCATACTATATACATCATTCTATTTGTATTTTCAGACTAATTTAACAGCACAAATGATTGATGCTCACATGGAGTTGAAATGTTCTCAAGAAACATGTTCTAGTTTAAAAACTAAACTATGTAGTAAAGATGAAGAGATCCAGGAGATCCAGTGTCATATGACATCATATTGTAATAATGTAGAGGTAAATAGATATCACGGTTATTACAACTATAATTCAATACTATATGTATCGTATTGAATCGTGATAGATATTCAGGTGAATAAATTAAACACGTAACAAAGGAGCCACAGTGGCTTAATGAATAAGGCTCATATTCACTAACCAGGAGATCTGGGGTTCGATCCTGTTCCTGGTCGAAAAAGTTCTTTGGGATTTTCCAGTGTGTTTTCCCCTTATGTGTGATGGAGTACAGAAAGCTTGTCAAGGAACAGTGTCTTGTCGCGTGTGTATGTAGGATTGCATGTGAAAAAACCCTTGACAGTTGGAATTCAAGATAATAGATAGTAGGCCATAACGCCACTGTCCTGGCAAAATTTCCCTCATAGAATACTGCATGGCATATGCCAATCTTCTAAAGCCCTTTTTGTGCAGATAAGTAGAATGTTAAACAAAACACCTCAAGTACAAATCTTGCACAATGAATTTACAGAATAATCTATAAAATAATAGAATGGGCAAGTATTGATTCTGGCCCTTGCGATTTGATATGTTTATTGCGGTGATATATCGTTCCAGCACTACTGCCATGTGATTAGTTTTTGTCAGTTCAAGATAATTCCCAGCCAATACTGTAATAATATCTCATTTCTCTCATTACTTGTACATCTGATTCTGCATCACCATTTTTAGTGTTGAGTGTCTTTTTTTGAATCAATATATAACTACAATCAAATGATGAATTACAGGTGTAGTTTGCAAAGATGTCTTATCTTCATTTTGTTTGTTTTTTGTATAGAAATTGAAAACGGAAAATGTAGATTTATCAGCCCAACTTGAAGCTCTGAGAATGGAAACTAATTCCCATAATAAAAAAGGCAATTCCATATTTTCAGAGGTAAGTATGTCAGTTATGTTTGGAATTGTGGGTAGTTGGTATTCAAAGAGTCAACATAAACACTGCCCCCTGAATACAATTCTCCTCCCACTTTCAGTAAATAAAATCATCAGATTTCAGAGTGACATAGGTAAAGTGTAGGTGAGATGTCAAGGACAGTTCCTCTTTGCATATTGACAATGCCCTGGTTTTGGAACCTTTGTCATTATGCCAAACATGGCAACACACATAGCAAGAACTGAGGAAGAAAGTTGCTCTTGCGATTGAAAATTTGCATGCTTTATATACTAGAATGTTAAAAGAATGTTTTCTATTTCTAGCATCTGGTGGACATTGACCTTAAATATAACTCTGATAGTTGTTTTATTGTTGAAAAAATTATTTTGGGGTGTTAATACACAATACTTGTACCATGTTTTTAATTTAGCTTGAAGATAGAAGAGTGGAAGCAGAGAAAAGATTAATATCACTGAGAGTTAAAAATGAAACTTTAAAAGAAAAATTAGAAATTGAAAAGCAGTTACATCAAAAGTTAAAGGTACACAAAACAACTATCTTTTTCTTAGTTCTTCTTTTACAGTTACAAAAGAATCTGACCGAGAGAGAAATGGGCTTAAATTAGGTTATATTGGGACTAACAAATTGTACATATTGATTTCAATAATTTGGTTGTGTGTAGGATAATTTAGAAGTCGGATGAAACTGGAGAAAACCAACAAGGAAAAGTAGGTGGCCCTATTCCTTGCTATATACAATGTCACTTGAATCAATAACATACCTTATCTAAAGAGCACACTTGACCACCCAGTATCTGTGTCACTGTGTTAGAAAACGGAAAATAAAAATTCAAAACATATCATTTGAACTTAACAACACTGGCTGCAGAAATGTTTAAATAATGAATTATATTTTAGGATTATTTGAGGTTTAGATTATTAATGGATGTTTAATTTTTGTTATAAAATAGATGCAGATGGTAATGTTATTAAAGATGAGTACAGGACGTAGTGATAGTTCTACAGTAACAAGATTACAAACACAATTAACAGAAGCTAGATCAACTATCAAGGAACTATTAGAAAAACTGGAAAAATTTGAAAATTCAGAGGTTTAATATTTATACTATTATATTGGTTAAATGGTCAGAGTTTACCCGTATTGTTGACATGTCATTATGTGGGTTTGTCTGTTTGTTTTGTCCGGGTATATTTGCGACACTGTTCAACTGATTCTGACCAAGCTTATGTCGCATATCCGACCTATGGCTATAATCTAGTTATAACTGGTATTTTGCCCATCAATAGATATTTTTTACTTTTGATGTTCAAGGATAGATGACTAAGAAAACAATGATTTTATGAAATCATTATAGAGTAATGTTAACTTTAGGTGGTCATAACATAGTTACAATTTCATCTATTTTAATTGGATCAATATTATGCTATTTGATAACGCTACTTTTTTTTATGGGAACTTTAGGTGGTCATAATGTAGTTAAGAATTAATCTATTATAATTTGACCAATATGTTTTTTGATAACACTACTTTTGATATGCTAGCATATTCATGTGGACCTATATTGTCGGTGCCCCTGTCTGTCCATTTGTTTGTCAGTTCACAATTGTTTGTGGACATTAAACAGGTCACAATTTTTATCTGATTTTTACGAAACTTGAAATATAGGTTTATCCCAAAGATCTTGGTTCATTTCGATATTGGCATGTATTGGACCACATCTTCATGGATTATGGCCCCTGATTGTAGGAAAAATCACAGTTTTGCTTGTGGACACTCCGATTTAAATATATCGTTTAAATATATCATCCTTACACCTTGAAGGAGCAGAACAGTAGAACGTTAAACCCCATTTCATTTCATTTCTTACACCTTGATATATGCACATATCAGACCACAACTGCCTGGATTATGGCCCCTGATTTTGCGAAAAATCACATTTTTAGCTTGTGGATCCTCTACAGGTCACAATTTTTATCTGATTTTAAAAAACATTTAAATGTATCACCGTCACAGCATAATAAGGATTGAGATCGAAATTCTGGTAAATCGAAACTAAACTGCCGAACAAAATGGACGTTTCTTGTATGCAAATAGTGTAAAAGTAAGTAATATGAAGGTTGTGGGCCCTCTAGAGGTCACAATTTTTGTCTGATTTTGATGAAACTTAAAATATATGTTTATATCCCAAAGATCTCAGTTCCTGTTGATATTTGTGCATTTCAGACCGTAAATACTTGGATTATGGTCCACGATTGTACGAAAAAACTCTTAAATATATCACAGTCACACCCTAATGATCATGGTTGGGTTTGAATTTCGTGAAAATCCGACCGTAACTGCTGGACAAAATGGCTGCTACTTGTACACCCTAATGATGGTTGGGTTCTAATTTTGTGAAAATCGGACCGTAACTGCTGGACAAAATGACTGCTACTTGTACACAAATTGTGTAAAAGTATGTAATACCAAAGTTGTGGACCCTCTAGAAATCACAATTTTTTTTCCTATCTTAATGAAACTTAAAATATATGTTTATATCCAAAAGATCTTGATTCCTTACAATATTTGTGCATATCAAACCGTAATTTCTTAGATTATGGCCCCGGATTGTACAAAAAATTGCATTTTATTTTAGATTGTTCTCTATCCATCCTTTGCAAAATGTGGGGGTATCTTGCTGGCAACCGCTGGTTAATGTGTATGGATGGAAAGTCAATATTGTGTCATTGATTGTTTAAAGCTGTTAGATAACAAACACCCTTGATATTAATATTAAAGTAGCGTAACTATTATACATTTAATAGAATATACAGTTACCTAGTATAACAGATATAGAGAATAAAGTAGATGAAGAAGATAAAAAATATGTTCAATATTTAATTACCATGTTAAAAACAAAAGAGTAAGTCTGGATTCTTTTAATCATTTTGATTTATTTATTATAATATTCTGCAGCCTGGAGTATATGAACATGACTTCTTATGTCTGCCCCTGAACAGCAATCCCTAGGATTTTCCAGCATCTTTTCCGCTTGTCAGTGTTGCAGGATAGAGGGCCTAGCACGGACAGTGTCTAATAGTTTGGATGAGATGGGGTAACGGTGTCCCGTGTACAGGTTGGCTACCCCTAAAAGAGCCTTTGACAATTGGAATCCAATTGCTTTTGGGGCACGATTTCCCTCATAGAAAACTTTATGGCGTATGCCCGTCTTTGTGAGGTCAGTTGGTTCTGAAAAGTAGGACGTTAAACCCCATTTCATTCATTTATACATTTGAACAGCCGTTAATCTTTGGCTCAAAAAACGAAATAGCTCTGTAACTGGGTTTTGTAACTATTATCCTTAAATGTTTTGACACAGTATGTTAATTTGGAAATATTGAGATTACGAATAAGTTTAAAGTTGACAATGCATTGGATTCTGAGACAGTTGGCTGAAATTATACTCCATGGATATGGGAGATGGAAGGAGCAACAGTCACATTAGAACTACAAAATTTTTGCTTAAGTTGCTTGATCGAGATAACATTTAGTTACTTTTTGTATATAAACTTCTGCATTAAATTTTAGCAATGTAACATGGAAATTGGTAATCATGTTTGTGAATTCCTATAAACAGTATTTATAAACAGATGTAGAAACTTGAAATGTGATGTTTGTAATAAGCCACATGATCTTTTGACAAAATCTAAACACAAAAACAAAAACCTCTCTCCTGCATCAGATTTTTTTGACAGATTATCTGAGAACTAGAATAAGTTTTTTGTATGGGTTGATGATTAAACTTGTTATTTATAGAGTGGAAGTAAATCGTGTTAATAATGAACATCGCTACAAGAATTTACAGTTGTTGGATGTTAGTAATAAACTTCTAACACAAGAAAAATCAGTGGTGGAATTACAACAAAAAAATGATGTTTTACGCAGTCAGAATATCAAATTAGCCTTAAAAAATGAAGAATTACAATTAAAATACGAACCAGGTAAGATTTTATCAAGTTTTCACCTTCCAGGTGAAATTTATACACCGACATTGATGTCACTGTTGTCTTATCAGTCAGTCCACAATATTTGCAGATTGTTCATAGAATCCAAAGTAAAAATTCCCATATAAATCTGTAATTCTTTAATAATAGGCCAATTTAAACCACAAGCCCACCCCAAATAATTTGCAAATATTCCTTCCTTCAGCATCGACACCCCTTCCCAATATAAATATTGTTCTTACAGAATTAAGAAAGACATTAACAGGCATAAATCCTTTCAATCTAGCTCTGTTTTTGTACGAAAAACATTTACTTGTATATTTGACCAACTACTCCTACTGATATCGGTAAATAGATATACACAATCTTTGCTGCCCTTGTATAATGGTGATGGATGTCACTTGCAGAAAAGTAGGATTTTAAACCCCATTTCATTTCATTTCTTTTACAATGTTTTGACAACTCATAAACAGGTATGAAGAATGCAGGATTAAATTGTATTATTTTATATTTATAGAACAATTACAAGATCAGGACAGTAAACAAGTTCTACAAAGACAAAAAGAAAAGATTCCATTAAGTGAAGTCAACACTGATACAGCAGAACCTCAAATAATTGAAAAAAACAATACTAGTTTAAGTGACTCTTCTTACTTACAAATCGCTACTAGGTTAAATATTCCACGAAAAAAAGTTCCACTATCATTTAGAAAAACTGTCTCAATATCCAATGATGTGGATATCGTGAGTCCGGATGGTAAAGTTGAAAGGTCATCACTCTCAGATGATAAAGAGGAAACTGTGAAGTTAGAAATTAAAGGAGCTGTGAGACCAAAAAAGGAGCAGAAAGTTAAACAAGTTAAAGTCGAACCAGAAAATATACATGAATGTAAACAACAATAAGACAATATTTTGTTTTCAAAAACATACTGGTTAATTAGATTAGCCATCAGTAAAGCAACAGCAAACTTATAACTGACCAACTGCCAAGTCGTTTATTACTAACAGAATCTCCCTCCGCACTCCAACAAACACATTGCATATTCTAAGAGATCAGAAAGAAGTGACAAAGAAATTTCATTCAATTTATAATTCTTGTAATCAACCTATTGATTGGTGATGGGAAATCTTCATAGCATAATAATGTACCATGTTTATTGGCAATCTGTTTCACAGAGAATTACGAGTCTAGTAGTAATATCTCTGTCAAAGATGACTGCCTTAACACGTGCCGTCACAGCACATGGCGTCAATCATTGGCTGAATGGCGCATGCATGTTTACCTAAGACATTACTGCTTCGGACAGAATGCTGCCTTTTAGTCATTTTAATACCCATTTACACTAAATAGGAAATAATTTTTACCTACAAATACTTCAAACGCCTTTATTTATTTTTCCAATACATAAAAAAAATGTTTTAGTATTTAATTTGTCGCAGGAAAAAATTTAATATTTGTGGCTCATTAAATCGCATCGATATCATCCTTATCAGTGATTGTAGCGGCTAAGCGAAAATTCACTGCTGATCAGTGTGGTTTATTGGATTTAGAACTCATTTAAATTTTGTGGCCAGAGATCCCTTTTGAAATTTTGTGCTAATAATATATGTAAAATAAACAATAGTGTGTTTAAAAATAGGGGAGACAACTGTACATAAATGTCCCTACGGTCATATTATCTCCCCTTAGACCACAAACATACTCAAAAATTATTTATCTACTTATCTTTTTAATTATAATTTAATTTATGTTGCAGAAATGTATATTTTGATTGTAGATTATAATTTTTTAATCTACGATATAGCCATATTATCACCCTTTTGACTATACACGATGCTAAAAAATTTTTTATCAAATCAAGTCTTATATGATAATATTAAAAATATTGATTGTATATTGGATTATTTACTCTATGCAGGTATGGTTAGTATTACAATGATTGTGTAGATTTGCTGATCCTGTCTGCTAATAGAACCATGTTATAGTGAGATACTCAAGGTTTAGTCAATAGGCAGGAATCAACATGGATAGTATTTTGTATGTGATATACATGGATTTGTACAGCTGAATCTAAAATTGATATAAATGTATGATAAACAATATACATTTTTATTTTGGGGGTTATTTTGTCTAAAACATTTTCCTATTTGTATGGTAACTAAAAATCCAGTAAGTATTTCTATATGCACAAAAATCTCATCGATTCTTGGAAAGTTGTATTTATTAGCTTGTTCATTTGAAAAAGGGGATCACAATCTGATTAAAACACAGATCCTATTTTGTTTCATTTTTTTATTGTTCAAAATTTTGTTTTACTTGTCTTTTCTACACTAGGATCTGGAAGAGTTGTTATATTACTGGGGTTTTGGTTGAAGTGAGGGATTAGCCAATAAAACGGAATGTTTCGGTGAGATTTTAGCGTGCCATGCATGGAACAGGGGGTAAACCACTAGAAACGTCAATGCTGATTGATTAATCAATGTCTGACGTCAGAGTGTCTAAAGCCATCCAAATAACCTCTTACGCGACTTGTCACATCTTTATGTAGTGTAGGTCATCGAAAGTATAAAGATAGGTTGCCAGGCAACGAAACATACGCCCACAGCAGCTAAATTGTCAGAGTAGTCAACAAGAGTTGTTGCATATTTTTACTTTTGTCGGTAATGAAACCTTTATAATACACTAAAATCAGATTAAGAGTAACAACTCATTAAGTAATTATTAGAATATCATTAGAACTTGTTTGGACCATGCTAATGTTTAGTATACAAAACATTTAATATCATAGATTTAGCTGTTCAAGTTATCAAAAATCATTGAAAATCAATATACTTGTTCGTCTCAAGACCTTAAACTCTGTGTATCAATCTAAAGGCGATCACTGTGGCTAAGTGGGTAAGACGCTGGCTCATTAGCCTGGAGGTCGGGTGTTCGATCCCTGCATTGGCCGAGAAAGTTCATCCAGATTTTCTGGCATGGTTCTCCCTTGTCAGTGATGCAGGAAGGAGGGACTAACAAGGACAGCTGTCTAGATGTTTGGATGGGACGAAAAAACGAGGTCCCGTGTACACATTAACGTGAATGTAAAAGATCCCTTGACAGTTGGAATTCGATTAGCCTGTCTTCATTAGCCCAGTTCGGAGCAAAACAGTAAGACGTTAAACCCCATTTCATTTCATTTCGTATCAATCTAAAGTCAATCGTATCGATTATATATAGGCGTAAATATAAATATAAATATAAAATAAATTAGATGATAAGAATGGTCTTTAAAGCATCCACAAGTGATCAAGGGTCATAATTCTGGCAGTAATTATCGGAAATCATTGAAAATCAATAGGCTTCTTTGTCTAATGACCTTAAACACTGTGTATAAATTTAAAGTCAATCAGATATTAACTTTAGCCTCTAGAGCGTCCATAAGATTTTTCAATGTGATCAAGGGCCATAACTCTGGCAGTAATTGCCGGAAATCGTTGAAAATCAATAGGCTTCTTCATATCATGAGCTTAAACACTGTGTAAAAATTTAAAGTCAATCAGATATTAACTTTAGTATCTAGAACGTCCACAAGATATTCTGAAGTGATCAAGGGCCATAACTCTGGCAGTAATTATCAGAAATTGCTGCAAATCAATAGGCTTTTTCATCTCATGACCTAAAACACTGTATAAATTTAAAGTTAATCGGATATTAACTTTAGCATCAAGAGTGTCCACAAGATTTTTCAAAGTGATCAAGGGCCATAACTCTGGCAGTAATTATAGGAAATCGTTGAAAATTAATAGGCTTCTTTGTCTGATGAACTTAAACTCTGTGTATAAATTTAAAGTCAATCAGATATTAACTTTAGCCTCTAGAGCGCCATAAGACTTTTCAATGTGATCAAGGGCCACATCTATGGCAGTAGTTATCGGAAATCGCTGCAAATCAATAAGATTCTTCGTCTCATGACCTTAAACACTGTGTATAAATTTAAAGTCAATCGGGTATTAACTTTAGCCCCTAGAGCGGCCACAAGCAATTGTGGACGCTGGAGGGGCGACAATATAGTACGACCACATTTCAATGTGGGCGTAGAAGTATAGATCTGTATTTTAATCAGATTGAAGGGTATCAATGCTGATGTCCAATGTTCAAGCTTTTTAAGATAGGTTGCCAGGCAACGAAACATACGCCCACAGCAGCTAAATCGTCCGTGCGTGAACAAGGGTTGTCGCATATTTAATCTTTTGAAGGTAATGGCGGGAATTTTGTCTACGATACCTTAGGTGGAAGTGGACGTAAAACTCTAGAAACGAACGAACGATGGGGGGTGGGGGGGATTTACAAGACAATTTCATACAGGTCAGATTTTATTTTTTGTCCTTTGAGGATTCACAAGGTGCTACAAGCTAAAACAAAGGCCTTAACTCTGGAAGTAATATGAAATTCGACAGCCTTTTTCGTTTTACTAATTCAAATAATGGAAATAAATTTCATACAGATCGGATGACTACTTTTGTCGTTCGAACAGTCAACAAAGTGAAACAAGGGTCATAACTCTAGACATGATTAACGGAAATTGCAGAAATTGACTAATCCTCTTTGTTTCATTAATTCAAATAACACATATAAATTTCATACAGATAAGATGATAACTTTTGTCATTAGAGCGTTCACAAGGTTCAACAAAGTGAAACAAAGGCCATAACTCTAGCAGCAATTAATGGAAATTGCTGAAATTCAATAAACTTCTTAGTTTCACTTATTTAAATAATGCATATAAATTTCATACAGATCATATAACTTTTGTGTTAGGAAATTCACAAGGTTCAACAAAAGGAAACAGGGGCCATAACTCTAGTCATAATAAACGGAAAATTCACTTCATTGTTTCACAAACTTAAATAATGCATATAAATTTCATACAGATCGGATGATACCATGGAGGTGTCTCTATGGATGATACTTTTGTCATTAGAGCATTCACAGGGTTTGACAAAGTGAAACTAGGGCTATAACTCTAGATGTAATTAAAAGAAATTGCTGAAATTCAATAAGCTCCTTTGTTTCACGAATTTAAATAATGCATATAAATTGCATACAGATCGAATGACAACTTTTGTCATTAGAACGACAAAGTGAAACAAGGGCCATAACTCTAGAAATAATTAACAGAAATTGTTGAAATTCAATAGGCTTTTTCGTTTCACTAATTTCCATGTGGGGATATAAAATTGATAAGACGCTGACCTGGAAGTCGCATGTTCGATCCTTGCATTGGCTGTGAAAGTTCATCAGGATTTTCCGACGTGGTTTCCCCATGTCAGTGGTGCAGAACGGAGGGACTGACAAGGACAGCTGTCTAGTCGTTCGGGTGGCACAGAAAACCAAGGTCCCGTGTACACATATGCGTGTACGTAAAGATCCCTTGGCAGTTGGAATTCGATATAAAAGTAGACTGTGTGCTGCTCTCTGGTCCAAATTTCCCTAATAGCACACTTAATGGTGCAAAATCCCATGCAATGTTTTCTTAAAATTTCAAAACTTAAATATTATGAGCTAAAATGTTTTCCTGTCTTCATTAGCTCTTTCATTTAAGAAGAGCAACTAAGTACGAAAGCCCAGAAAGGCTCATTCCAAATTCATGTCTTGCCAATAAAATAGCAAAATAGAAGATAAATGTCGCCGATGCGGCGGTTTGGCCTATACATTCAATATCCGTGGAACTTTTACACTGGAGGAATTGAGTAAGTGATCAAGTAGCCTACTTGGCGGTAGGATTTAACGCACCTGGCCAAATCCGTATAGGTCAAATACGCCGCATCGGCGACACTTATCTTCTCTGCACCAACCATGATGATTGTAATGTCACGTGATCATGTCGAATTTGGAATTTCGCATTTTGAATCTAGTAATTTGGAACGGGTGTTTATCCGGTCCAGGCATCAGATAGGTAAACTAGCACTAATTAGTTGTGTAAAATTACAATTTATTTAAATTCGAATTTGTTTAATTGAGGGGGGCTGCCAATTTGCTATTTTATTGGTAAGACATGAATTTGGAATTTCGCATTTGAAATTTGAAATGAGCCTTCTGGGCTTTCGTAAACTAAGGTTAGCGCCATTGGTCTTAAATTCTGTCAGACGTGGAGAGCGGGCCAGTGATTTCGGTCGCCACATCCTATGTTCGACCCATGCATCTTTTCTTACTACATATCTTAGTAGCCTTGTGATAGTCTAGTATTTTCACTTGTCATCTTTGCTTCCCCTTCATGTTGTGTATTTACTTCTTACTGTTTTCTTAAGACGTGTGTCTTACCAGGAATAACAATCCAACAGTTCGTTTTCACACTTTATATATCATAGCTGCTTACATATGGTACAATGCATAATAGAATAAAGTCATTCTCTCAAACCTCATCCAGCCAGACTCGCTGGGCGAGTCTGCTGATAGAAATTGCTACATCTTTCCCCTTCCAGAATCTGTCTGCTGTCTAGGAACTCAGATGGTAATCTCTCCCGAAAATAATGAAATCTGGCTTAAAAGTTTGCCATGATTTCTTTTATAGGACCTGTGGACATCACGCACAGACTAGGCTATTCATGACCCTGAACCTGTGCAATTACTAATATGATTGGTCAATTAAACCAAATGATGCAATAGGTAAATTTCCAATCACGTGTAATCTGGTAACATGTTGTTGACACATGGAACCAGCTATGTTTTGGTTCTAAAACTCTTTTTTACGTAGCAATATGCCACTCATTCGTAACAATATGCCACTCATTCGCGAACTTGATTTAAGAACATATATGTGTATCTAATAATTTGCCAAAGATATTAATTAATACAATATAATGCCATCATTTTTCTCTATTCCTTGTCTATAAATTTGAAAATGTCAGTATTTCTACATTTCTTTTGTTTTTAAATTCAGTTTTCCTGAATAAATTGGAGGAAGAATTTTTAATAGGGGTTCTTCCTTGTCATCTTGAATAACAGAATTTGAAATCGGTGTGGCATTACAAGAACTTGATTTTCTACACTGGCTATTCTTGACATTAATATGAGTTGTGAACCACGGACAATCAACAAATAAGACCCCGGCAAAAAAGTCTGTCTAATGCAAATGTAATGGGACCATTTCCATGGAAATGCTGTGAAAATGTTTACTTGGAAAATAGGCTTTTGAGTAGTCTGTCAAGATTGATTTGTTTTATTCTGCAGTAGGCAATGGAAGCATTTACAAGACTAAATACTGAATTAATTTGACAGACTTGTTCTTCCTCTTGTGGTAGGCCACTGATTATCAGAAATTGAAAATCAAATACTGCATGTAAATGATTTTTCATTGCGATCAAGGGTAATAACTAAGCAAGTAATTATCAGAAAACTAAATTGCACATGCACAGTCATTTGTTGCTCGGCATAAATTTAGAGGGAATCAAATGATAGCTTTAGCCTCTAAAACACAGAGGGTAATGACAATATGTAACACATTTTGACGTGGGGGTCAAAGAAAAGATAGGTTGCCAGGCAACGAAACTTACGCCCACAGCAGCTAAATCGTCCGGGAAGTCAACAAGAGTTGTCGCATATTTTTAATTTTCGGTAATGAAACATTTATAATACACTAAAATCTGATTATAAATTTAAAGTCAATCGGATATTAACTTTGGCCTCTAGAGCGTCCACAAGATTTTTCAAAGTCATCAAGGGCCATAACTCTGGCAGTAAATATTGGAATTCGCTGAAAATCAAAAGGATTCTTCATCTCATGACCTTAAACACTGTGTATAAATTTAATGTCAATCGGATATTAACTTTGACCTCTAGAGCGTCCACAAGATTTTATGAAGTGATTAAGGGCCATAACTCTAGCAGTAATTATCGGAAATCACTGGAAATCAATAGGCTTCTTCGTCTCATGACCTTAAACACTGTGTATAAATTTAAAGTCAATCGAATATTAACTTTGGCCTTTAGAGCATCCAAAAGATGTTTCAAAGTGATCAAGGGCCATAACTCTGGCAGTAATTATCGGAAATTTGTCTCAAGACCTTAAACACTGTGTATAAATTTAAAGTTAATCGGATATTAACTTTAGCCTCTAGAGCGGTCGGACGGACGGGGGCGACGACAATATACGACCACATTTAAATGTCGGCGTATAAAAATGAATTGGACTATAAAGTCATGACCAATGAATGGCCAGGTAAAAAATAAAAAAAAAATATATATTTTCAGATAACTTTATTTGTATGGTAGAATACAGACACCATAATAATTAAAGAGATTTTTCACTCACCTTTTCCACTCAAAATTATTTATATGTCATTAATTTAATAATAGCTTCCAGAACATGACCTCTGATTAGGTGGAAAAGGGTTGATTTGGTTAATTTGATTTATCAGTTCTTAAAAATTTGGCTAATTATACTATAGAAAGTTAATGTTCTGTGTCAACAGATCACAGCATATTTTCTTACTGTAGGGTTTGCCCCAAATCGTAATAACAAATCAGATAAATCGAATTCAACAACTACCTAAATCAAAGAGATTTTACTCCTTAAGTATCAAATATCACCAGCATCACATACTTACACTGTTTCAAAAACCCAGAAAATTTACCATTATAGTCAGAATTTAAAATCAATTTTGATTTGGAATTATATCCAGAAATTAAAATTAATTTTATCCTTAAGTTTCTCTTTTCTGGAAAAAGTGAACAAGACTTACATAAATTCAGTATTGAGTTTTTAAAATGTGTTGTCAAGGTTGTATTAATATGTACCACTGTAATATGTATTTACCCAAGTAATGATAAAAAGAAAATGAAAACAGCAACCTGTCCACAAATCCACTCTAAGTATTATGAAGTTTGCCTAATATTCACACTTTATTTATAACAATTATGACATTTTAAACATCAAAAGCTGTACATTTATAAAAATATCTATGTACATATAGTATATGTGGATGGATGATATATACAATGAACTATTTACAAATACACTGTCAATCAAAGTTCATTTTGTCTTTTAAGGACCACAATAAAAAGAAAATGTCTCATTTTTAGTTATGATTGTGTAATTATAGACAAAATTGGTTTTCATATTTTAATATTTACTGTCAAGTCACTTCAATTGATAACATATATGAATACAGAAGTATTCTTAACAATTTTTTTTGTTGAGGACATTCATACGAGATTCCAGGGATTTGTTTTGTTTTCTGGTGAAATTCAGGCAATTACACTATAGGTTATTCTGAATACCACAATTTTATTCTACATTCACTGGCACAATTACCATTTTATTTATCTGCATAAATTTTTTTAAAGATGTTTTGAAATCTGATTTTAGAGAGTAACCCCTGATCAGTAAAGAAGGAACCCAAAATCCTAGCATGTCTGTAATGTCATATTGTCTACAACCAGCATAAGTTTAATTTTTTAAAATGAACTCCTTATATAAAAACAAATGATGAATTTCTTACATAAAAAAAACAATGAATTTCTTACATAAAAAAAAACAACGTTCAATCAACAAATCATCTAAATAAACAATCAATCAAAATAATTATAATCAAATCAAGTCCACAGTCAAATATGAAATTACTCTTTGGTATAACATCAGGCTACAAATTAGTAAAATTTTAGAATATGATTTCCCAATAACTAAGCCCATGAATTTAAAATTATTAGATTCCTACAAATTGCTAATGGTATATTAGAATGCTTAAAGAATTAAATGTCAGCACGGTGAAAAACCATCAATTTCATTGATGCCCCCATAAAAGTACCATGAAATCATTTCGAGCGAAATTTAACAGTACTTTTATGTACACAATTAGTTTCATAACTTTCAAAACAAAAATAACTTTCAAACCAAAAAGAATCACAGAACTGTTAAATATATCACATTTAAAATGCCCAACAATAATATCAATCCCATAAATATTTCATAAATTCAATTGAGATTAACAAAAAGATTAAATATTTTTAACACTCGTATGGTTACACTTCCTTATCCATATTGTGATAGCGTTTTAGCACTATAAATAGATTAAGAAAATTAAGGTTAAATTATACAATAAGACTGAAAACAAGCCATTTAACAATATGTTTCCGTCATAAAATAAAGATAACTGGGTTTTATCATGCAATGATGAAGACTAGAGAAGCCTAGTTGAAACGTCACTACAGCTAAGTAACTGTTATTATATATAGTTACACATATCTTTATTTTATGTTTGTCATTACTAAATGCCATCTAAACAACAGGTTTAGTCAATTGATAGACTTATCAGTAAAGATGATGAATTGAAATAATTTAGAAAATTATGGTACCGAACAGATCTACGAGATGAAAAACACTTTTACACTACATTAAGTATTAGATACTATTACACAAAAATATACAATCAGAAATTTTCACAATTGGCAGATACTGAATATTTTTTCAGGGCAGACTACTTTTTATACAGTTTTTCAGATTTATAAATCGAATCTAAGGTCAGTGGTCATCTGATAATAAATACACAACAAATTCGTAAGTAGCCATCATTATAGCACTGTTTGGAATTTGACGAACAAACTGAGTAGCAAGACCACGATAAAGCCCTGAAGCACCTTCCTCTCGAAACACAAGTAAAAATGTTTGCAGGAATGATTTATATTTATTTCCTTCTTCTCTTAACCTGGTTCTCACAACCTCTGCAAAATAATAATTCATAAATTGAGTTCATCTGAAGTAAAATTGCAAGCAAAAAAAAGAAAGCCATTATTTTTAAAATTTGTATTCTATGAGATATTTGTTTACATGCTATGGGCATATGGATGTGTTGCTGTAATAACTGTGCGTAGTTGCAGAGGTATGTTAATCATGTGGTTTACTCTTTAAACGTAAACACTTTATGTGACCTATTTCAAATATTGACTAGTTTTAACAAAATGTCACACTGACATGTCTAGACTAATACTATCAACAAGATAAAACGTAGAAACAAACAAGATCACATAAACAGTTGTTTATCCTGTTGTTTATTTGGAATGCACCAGGTACAAGTCTGTTTCAGGTGTCCAGTTACTATGCAATTACTACACATATCTGTACAAGTTAATAATAGTAACATAAATAGGTCCATTTATTTTCCTTTATCACCCTATAATACATTCTACAGTTGAAAAGGAACTATTTTTTTTATTTTCAAAGAACAGTTCATTTCTAATTAAAAGTAACTTTTTTTTTTTTTATTAAAAATGAACTATTGTTATTCAATTGACCTTGATGGAATCACTGGGTCAATATAAAGGACTTTGCAATGGTTGAATTGCTGTCAAAAAATGATGTATCACAACGCCGAAATGTTCAGTAAAAGTGAAATCTACAGCAAAGAATTATATTTATCTATTTGTGCATGTAAAAAGGGATTGGGGGATAAATAAAATCTCCTACTCGTCTTTTTTCATATCGTTTTTTGTTACTTTATAAACTTGTTTTGATATTTTTTGATATCAAAAAAGACTGGTAGGAGATTCTCTATATAAACATTGTAATGAGATTTCAGTTTTTTTCACTTGTGTGATGGAAAGAATTTGAAATATGCTTGTTTCATAGACCATTAATGGCACATATGTACAAAGCCAATATTGTTGCGCAAAAGTTTTCATGCAAAATGTAAACAAATTATTTTATATAAATTTTTGGCATTATTCTGTAAGCTACAGGTCACATTTTCAATATTTATTTTTATTATATTGCATCATCGAGTATTAGCTCTTGGAGAAAATATTTGGTGAATCAACAATAATTTGAATTTCAAATATTTGGAGACTAAACAAAGATTGTAAAATATCTACTTACCATGAGGATAAGCTATCGTTGTAGCAACAGATTTTGATGTAGCAGCTGCCACCATACACTTTAAGAAATCTATGCCATCTTTATCATTTTTGTGACTAGCTTCAATTAGTTTTTCTTTTAGATGTTCATAAATCACAAAATGAATAACAGTTTCAGTGATTCCAAAATATGATGCACTTATGCCCTTATAAAACCCCAATAGTCCACTTCGATTATAAACTTGTCGAACACAATCACTACATTTTAAATTTGATTCTCTTCTGTAAAAATAACGAACAAAATAAATAAGTGGCCAGACAATAAAACATAGGCTCACAGCAGCTAAGTCATGCAAGCATTCCATAATGGTTGTTAGTTTTTTAATTTTTTTGTAAGTAATGTTATCATTTACAATAGACTAACAATTGAAGAAATACTAATTTTTATGTAGGGGTCATCGTCAACTTTCATTTTGTGAAGCAGGTCTATAAGCACAAACTAATCGGTCAAGTCTACCAACTCTAATAGAGTCTGCCTTGATTCCTGTTTATTCAGATCATTGGCATGGGTAAATAAGCAAATCATAATAAACACACTAAAGCCTGCAAAAACAGACAGCAATATAGAAGTGAATTAATGTTAAAAATATGTTTTTATGTTTACTTACTTCTGATCTAACTGAAGACGAGTTTTGACAAACCATATTGGATTTGTTAATGTCGAAGCTATAAAACCTACAAATAGTCAAATTAACAAATACTGAATTGGATAACTTTTACAACATGGTAAATCAAGAGCTAAAATTTAAGGGAACTCTTTAAACTCAAAATCATTCTACTTATACTAGAACTAAATAGCCGCAAGTACTGTATAATATTAATTCATTTATACTGATGATTATAGTAAATATATTTTATAGAGCCAGTCTTAATTCAGTAATGGTCTGAAAGCATTGATCTAGACATTGTTCAAGTCAACAAGGTTATTTTTAGAAAAAGCTTAGTCCTTGAACTTCTCCGGGGTACAAAAATGTAAACAAACCTGCAGTGATGGCTGAAGACATATGAATACAGGCAGTATCAGGATTTAATCTCTCATTCAAAAATTGCTTGGTGTTGGCATATGTGAAGAAATAGATAGCTCTGTAAAAGACAAATTAAATATTCACTATTTACTTTTTGGTAGATATACACCATCCTTCAAGAGAGATGGGGTTTAACGTCCACTCGACACAAACCAGGTCATTTCGGGACTAACATATGGTTCAATTTTATTTCCATAATTCGCTTGCGCGTAGGGGTCTTTAGCAGTGGGAGGAAACCGGAGGACCCGGAGAAAACCCACGAAGTTGGACAGGCGACCCTACTCCTTGTCACGTACAACCGGGGATTCGAAACCCCGCCAGTTGACTCAATGACAGACTTTAAGATACAGCACGCACGTGCTAACCATTCAGCCATCCAACCCCCCGGAAACCAGAGGACCTGGAGGTTAGACAGGCAACCCTACTCCTTGTCGTGTACAAGCGGGGAATCAAATGACAAGATCACATCCCCCACCCACAACTCACACTCAATGTGAAGATACCAATTGAGATACAAAATTTAGTGTGGGGACGGGTTATCGAATTTGAAAATCTAAGATATTCTGTCAACATGTCACATGCATATTTTTGTGTCCCTAGGCCTTCATGGTCAGCAAATGTTTTTAAAATGTTTTTGTGCATAATCAATGTTTTTGTGCATAATCAATGTTTCATTATGTAGGCCTAATGCATGTAAACATGACTGACACTAATAAAGATTATCATCTTCTAAACACAATTCTTGTTTAGTCCAAGGTCTTTAGTAAGATAACTTGTGTGTACAAAGGCAATATATACTGTTTGTTTTAAAAAATATATCTAGACAATTATGTCAAAAGACGAGAAATATAATATTAACTTTATCTCTGAATATGGCACATGTATATTGTCACATGTACGATTAATATTTACGCATTAGAAAATGATTACTCTTATCAGTATTTTTAAGTCTGTGTGTTTTTCTTTGTGTAGACATACTATTTTTGTAGTTACAAACTTACAGAAATATACCACATAAACTGACTATCATTTTCTACCTTGTTTAAATAATATAAAAACATGTACTTGTACAATAACCTGTACTAGTAAAGTAATTAGTAAAACAAACAGCACGTTAGAATTGGACTTCAAGCTGCTGATCACCTTGAGTGAATTAGAATCCGTGCATTCAGTATTTACAAAGATATGAAATGAAGATACATGTAGGTTGCTAGGCAACGAAACATACGCTCACAGCAGTAATTATTGGAAATGTTGAAAATCAAAAGGCTTCATGAGCTTAAACACTGTGCATAAATTTAAAGTCAATCAGATATTAACTTTAGCCTCTAGAGCATCCACAAGATTTTTCAAAGTGAGCAAGGGCCATAACCCTGGCTGGCAGTAATTATCAGAAGTCGTTGAAAATCAATAGGATTCTTCATCTCATGACCTTAAACACTGTATATAAAGTCAATCAGATATTAACTTTAGTCTCTAGAGTGTTCACAAGATTTTTCAAAGTGATCAAGGGCCATAACTATGGCAGTAATTATTGGAAATCGGTAAAAAGCAATAGGCTTCTTCGTCTCATGAACTTAAACACTGTGTATGAATTTAAAGTCAACTGGATATCAACTTTAACCTCTAGAGTGTCCACAAGATTTTTTCAAAGGGATCAAATTCAAGGGCCATAACTCTGGCAGTAATTATCAGAAATCGGTGAAAATCAATAGGCTGTCTCATGACCTTTAACACGGTGTATAGATATAAAATCAATCAGATGATTAAACTATGGTCTCTAAAGTACCACAAGATTTCATAAAATGATCAAGGGCCATAACTCTGGCAGTAATTATTAGAAATTGTTGAAAATCAATAGGCTTCTTCGTCCCATGAGCTTAAACACTGTGTATAAATTTAAAGTCAATCAGATTTTAACTTTAGTCTTGAGAGCGTCCACAAGATTTTTCAAAGTGATCAAGGGCCATAACTCTGGCAGTAATTATCGGAAATCGGTGAAAATCATTAGGCTTCTTTGTCTCATGGCCTTAAACACTGTATCAATTTAATGTCAATCGGATCTTAACTTTAGTCTCTAGAGCTCCACAAGCAATGATGCCAGACCAGTGGATGGACAGGGGCGACGACAATATACAACCACATTTCAATGTGGGCGTATAAAAATGCATTCAGCATCACACAATACATAAAATCCAGCGCTACCTGTTTAGTAAAATCTTTTACTGTTGACATTTTGATTTGTTTCTGTCTTAATTACAAGTTAATTACATGTATACTTTAGCGTGGAATAAGAGTATTATTCATCAAAACGTTAATAATTACTAGACTAATAATTATATATTTTCAGAAAAATAGAAATAACGATCAGCGATTTTAAATGTTAAATAATCTATTTGAATACATTTTAGCATTGATTAAATCATTAAGTTTTGAGAAATTCGTCCAAAATGTCAATGACAGTTAGCAGCTTTAAGTTTTAATAAAGCACTGAATTGTGTTGATCTGACGTGTTATTGCCCAATTCCATTAATTTTTTGTTGCAAAATCTCGAACATGTAATTTTGTTTACAATGTCAGGTTATATGTCTCTATTAATGTAAGAAAATAGGTCTCTGGCAAATATAATGATAACAATTCTCCCTTTTTGTAAAAGGTAGCCTTTGTTACACTTGCATGGCAGCCTTTGCAACAATATAGTTCATATTTGCGACTTGTACCTTTTACGTTTTAAATTATTTTTTAATCACGCTGGTCTAACTGTATAGCAACTTCATATCATGGTTCATTTACTGTGTTAAACAGATAATAATTGGCAAATAGCCATGTTAAGCTTCATTCAAGGGATTGACCTAATTATATAACAAAGGATAATAATTGTATTATCAAGGTCAGCTTAAATCCTGTACATTTCCATGTTAACACTTATGATAAATTTACATAAATATGTATCTATTCAGTTTTACAAACATTTGATACGTAATGTATCTATTCTGTCTTTCAAACATTTGATACGTAATGTATCTATTCTGTCCTTCAAACATTTGATAGGTAACCTAACAAACAAATTATTATTCATTAAACTTATTAACAATTCACAGCCAAATGAAATCAATGATTTAACAAATTACACCATGTAAATATGAAAGACGTACTACTTTAGGGACAGCTTAGCACAATTACACACTTAAATGTCTTTAACCTATGCATATCAACAACACATTTTGTGTAACTTGATGATCGACTATAATACACACGTGATTCACATCTAAAGCTACACAATCTAGTCACGAGATTTAACTTTAAATACCTATGTCTATATAAAAACACTTGTTTTTGCGTTTGCGGATATCGGCTAAGTCTGTCAATTTGAAGAAACAGATGCTATGGGAGAACTTGCTTTAACAGTTGACTACAAGAAGGCAGATTCTTGTAAATTTATTCAATCTGCTTCAGGGACAAAGTAAGTATTGTCCTGGTCTCAGATCTTTACTAACATTCTAATTGATTATCTCAATGGTACATGTACACCAGTCATTTTGGGACAACCATTTTGTCATCTTTGGATAAATAAGTTATAATCCATATTTTAATAATTATTTTGCTCTCATGGTAAAAACCGTGAAATTTTTACCACCTTTATGGTTCTCTGTACACCAACAGAAATTCATGGATATTGTGTTATGTCTTCTATCCAGTAAACAAAATTGTTGTTACCAAACTTTTAACCCGTTAAGTGCGTAGCTCATTATATAACGTCCTGGACAACTGCCACTCACTGTGTGTAGGGCGTAATATAACGCCTTGGAGGTTTTTTCCCCAACCTATTCTTAGAACATAGTTCGTCCCTTGGGGGAATCAATTGGGAATTCCCCCCATGATCGCAGCATGTGTAGGATGTTATATTACTTCCTGGACAACTGCCACTCACGGAGGTATTTTCCCCAACCTATTCTTAGAACATAGTACATAGTTCTTCGCCACTTCTTCAAATTAATTACACAATAGGGGGTAGTTAACATTTTAAAAACGTCAGGCTTAACGGGTTAATAAATAATGTGTGGATATCATTATTTTAACTCCTTGTTGAGGAATATAATGGTCTAAAAGTTAAATGGATATGCACTGAATTGTATTACAAGCTACACATGGACACCAGTTATTGACTACATGACCTTCACCTGCTGACCCACTCTTATTATTTGGATGAATTGATAAGAGAAAGATAGCTCAATAAGCAGGTGAAAGCTAAAATAACACTGTCCATTAACATGTTTTTCAAAAGACTACCTACATACATGTACATTGTGCCATTAATGCCTACACATGTATGTACTAAAACATACATGCCAAGAAATTTCCAGGAGGGGAAATTCTCTGACTGAAATAAATTTTACCTCCCCAGTAAACCTGTGTTCTATTTATAGATCAAGTGTCTGGCACAAATCATGATGGAGAGTTTTCAAGGTCTAACAACCACAGGCAGTCTTACTACACCTACACTGACTAGCATAGGCTACATACAGCTGCCAAAAATATTCTTAGGTAACTTTAAATGTTTTTTTTTAGGCTTATACCAAAATCATAAAATGCTGTTAACTATACTATAGAGAGTCAAGGATCAAAATAGGTTGCATAATGCACTATGAACTTATATGATAGGTAGTAATAAATACTTAGATAGCCATGTTGGATTCAGTTGATATATTTCATGAGTCTAGCAAAATCTTTTTGTTAGTCTTAAGTTTTGTTAATTATACAAGTCCTTTGTTTACATTCATTAGTTTCACCAGAATGATTGACATCAAATACTTCTGTTATTATTAGTTTTGGCTGTGTTACTTAACACAGTTAAATATCAATTGTGTATGAAATACCAAACAAAGGCTGTCTTATGCAATATGGAAAAAGCTGACATCAGCCTAAAAATTAAATCCTTTATAATATCTATCTAGTATAATATTTGCATGAATCCGAAAACTGCTTTTGCCTTTTCTCAACCAAGTTTAAATACTAATTTTAATACTAACCTGGACGGAGCAACGCCGACTAGATTAGGTCCCAAACCTTTGAATAAACCTTTAGCTCCCTCTGTTACAAAAATATGTCTGAAAAAAAAAATTCACAGTAAAAAATGGAATAAAATCTTTTTTTTTTTTGTTTACAATAATGTTACAACCATAAATGAATGAAGTACAAGTAGAAAGGTTTATTTCATTTTTCCAACTTTCAAATATCTGTACATGGAGGTTGTTGGAGTACCTCCTTAGACTCCACTCAACAATCCCATCAAGTTTTAAAAATTTCCACAATGAACTTTGTCCTGGGAAGATAACTTCACAAAATGCATTCGAAATTGCCAAAATACTATAATTATCAAAATAGTAAGAAATAACTTGCTTAGAGCAAAGCACTTGACAGAAGCATCACCTGAACTCCATGAAAAGCATTATAGGCTATTAATAATATTATTTTGCACACAACACTGAATGAATTTTAAACTATAATATCTCAAATTGGATCAAATTCTACATATACAGATTGTACGTACATACAAAGATCTCCAAACAATAATAAACCGTTTGTCTCAGATACAGTTATATCAACAAACCAGGTTTTTCCATAATCCATCTAGTTGTGTTAATATTTAACAGTTATTATCAACTGTTATTAATAATTACTGAAAGCACTGATTTAACTACCACATTTGATACTATTTCCTACACTTTTACTATCTTTATTAATGACCTATGATTATGTGTTATACAATAATGGCTACAGTAGAAAAGGAGCATTGACAGTAATATCTTGATTATATTGACAGGTAGAGATTTACCTGAAATCCAAAATCATTAATTTTTCATGTCAAAGTTACATGGTAAGCAAAGCAATGGTAATTATTGAATACACCAACATGTATCTGACCAAGAATTAAGGGACAAATAACTAAATAACAGTATGATGTATAAATAAATTACTGAAGATCTGTGTACGTGATAATCTGTCTGTGTGAAGGTAACCTTTCTGTTGAAATCTAATGCCATCGCAAATACCAACACATACATGTACAATATTACAAATATCAGTACCATGTTTTTTATTCTAAGTTTATTAAATAATGTTTGTTCTATGATGTTCATTGTTTACCCTAATTTGAACTTGACCTCACAGGTACATGTACCTGTAACAGCAGTTCATTGGTGTTATAAGGTATACCTTGTAAGTACAAAGCCATCAACTGGCTTAATGATGTAATATTTCTAACTCAACAGAAGACATTTTTTGCCAAGAACTGAGAAATGTTTGAACTTTGAACCAGTCAACACTATCCATGTTAATTACAGATACATCATGTCTTCACAAAAAAGTTCTAAGAGTGTATTTTTTTTTTTAACACCTGACCTATGATGACTTTAAATGCAACTGAATAAGCACACCGTTGTCTGGATTTTGAATAACAACTTGGAAATTGGTTGCTACCTACTACATATATGCTAATTGATATTAATTGCAATTTACAGTATTAAACCATGTTGTCTAATTTCTTGGTTGCAAAGTAATGTAGGCTACCTAGACATGCAACTTGTAAGCCTTTTCTTTTTGTAGATCAACCTGACTGCCTCAAGGACTGAACATTAAGACATCCATTTGACACCCCAAGCAATTTATCAAAAATTTACGCTTTAATGTAGGCTAGAAATAAAATGTCATGCTAGAGGCATAATTCTCTTGTTCTTCCAGTTTTATATTTATGTAAAGTTCTTTAATTCAAGAGCATGTAAATTGGAAAATAGCACACATCCTTTTAGAACAAGGCAAAATAATGACAAAATAAACGCAATATTTAAATTCTCACTATGTATATTTGAGCTATTCAGGATCAAAGTGTAAACAAGGATCATTTAAATATTTTTGTAATGCAGGCAACCATCCTTACTGATAATATAATTTGGACACTAAATAACTTTTGCTCAGAGAACTGTACTGTTGTTTGATATTTCGGTCAGAAAATGTTGCTTTCAGTGACATGACAGGTTGATAGACAAGTTGATAAAGCAAAGTGACAGTTGGAGAAAAATACCCAATTTTGACCCCTGTAATGGCTGTATAAATCATAAATATAGTTAATACTTATAATAGAGGCATAAATTGTAAATTCACAATAAGCACTTACCTGAGACATAAGATTATACCAAGAGACACCCGTCCTTTGCCACCTGAAGAATAATGTTCGACATTGTTCAAAGCGATATTGCCACATGATGATTGACTGGCAGCTGATGCTGATAATACCCGTACATCTGTAACAAATGATGGTCCGAAAGTTGCTATTGAGGACTGTAATCGAGTCTTGACAACTTCTAGTGGACAAGTCAATATTGCTCCAACTGTTCCCGCTGTCCTGTAATGTAAGAAAATAATCATAGATTTGATTCAAAATCTATATTTCACACAATAATATACTGTACATGGAAAGACAGACACAAGCAAACTAAACAAGCAGACTATTGTATGCATCCATTCATAATAAATGAAATGGGGTTTAACGTCCTACTGTTCTGCTCCTAACCTGGGCTAATGAAGACGGGCATACGCCATACAAGTGTGCTATGAGGGAAATTTTGCCCGAGCAGCAGCGCTACGGCCTACTCTTATATCGAAATCCAACTGCCAAGAGATCTTTCACGTGCACGGCAATGTGTACACGGGACCTCGGTTTTTTCGTCCCATCCGAGCGACTAGACAGCTGTCCTTGTCAGGCCCTCGATCCTGCATCACTGACAATGGGAAACCATGCCGGAAAATCTGGATGAACTTTCTCAGCAAATGCAGGGATTGAAAAACCCGACCTCCAGGCTAGTGAGCGAGCGTCCTACCCACTTAGCCACGTGATCCCCCATTCATAATTAAAGACGTGTATTTTGACAGTTTAGGATAATATTAATTATTATACCCACTCAAGTAGTTTTAGGGTGCCTTTCCCGGCTTTAGCTTTATTCTGATAATTGAAAACTTTTTTAGCCTTTTACTTTACAAAGAATCATAATATGTGTGTATGGGCTACATTCATTGTGTTTCTTTTTGTAAATAAGACAGTCTTTTGGCACTATTTTAATATCATTGTCAAGGCATTACACAGTAGTTTAAGTAACCTGAAGTTCCATTTACTTGACCTGAGAGGATAATAATGCCAATACCCAGTCCCAATCATGCCAATGTTTATCAAAAAAGGTGAAGGTCAGCCAGGTTCCACGGAATGTAAATTTCCTCGACAAATTTAGTTAATTGTTAACAAAACCAACGTATTTTATGTTGCATTTAATAATAATTAAATTTGACATTTTGAAAATCTCAAAGTAAAATGCAGGGCATTGGGCATTGAACGGGAGAAAGAACTTTAAGAAGAGTCACGCTGTGGACTGATTTATGAAGATAAAAAGAAGGGTTCACAGTGACAGACTGATGTGTACAGAATTATCTCACTAGACCTCTTTTATTTATATCTTTTTTAATACAAAATATTGCATAGTACATACCCTCCAGCCAATAAATGTATTATATGCTCGCGTTCCATGCAGCCATCCGACTTGAATCACCACAATAATAATAATGTCAGACAAATTTACTCATCACACACGTTCACGTGCCGAAATAAAACGGACCAATCAGGACTCCTGCTACTGCATGACCAACGATTTCATTGGCCAAAAATAATACGATAAAAATAACCATTCACGCTTTGTGCACGTGAACAAGTCCTCGTAAATAAAGTGTCCCAGTTTATACAACGATAAAACAGGTCAAACATTGTAAATGACCTGGAAATGTTCGAAGAGCAGACGGACAAAATTGCAGAATGGAATGTGATCGTCAACACAAAATATCTTTGATTACTCGATTTGCATTGTTATAATAATTCTCTCTCACCGAAAGGGTCTGACAGACTGAATTAGTGACTAGGCAGTTAATTGTCACTAGATTGAAATTTATGTGTTTATAATATAACCTTGATCATAGATTTTTAAAACATGTGCCCTCAATCAATATGGTAATAACTGTCAGAGTTATGGCCCTTTGTTCAGTTTGAAAAATATTTGTTCACCCTCCAGACAATCGGATTTGCATGTTTTCGATAACACTCTTCTCCGATTTTACAGCCAAAAGTGTCAACAACAAAATATGAAAAATGGGGGACAGGGAGAACGAGAAAGTTGCAATATTTTTTCATAATCTAATTGCTATACTACTACAACTAGTCTGAAATTTTTGGGGGATCACGTGGCTAAGTGGGTAAGACGCTAGCTCGCTAGCCTGGATGTCGGGTGTTCGATCCCTGCATTGGCCGAGAAAGTTCATCCAGATTTTCCGGCGTGGTTCTCCCTTGTCAGTGATGCAGGACGGAGGGGCTGACAAGGAAAGCTGTCTAGTCGTTCGGATGGGACGAAAAACCGAGGTCCCGTGTACACATTGGCGTGCACGTAAAAGATCCCTTGGCAGTTGGAATTCGATATAAGAGTAGGCCGTAGTGCCGATGTCCGGGCAAAATTTCCCTCATAGCACACTGTATGGCGTATGCCCGTCTTCATTAGCCCAGGTTAGGAGCAGAACAGTAGGACGTTACACTCCATTTTATTTCATTTTCATTTCATTTCTGAAATTTTTTGGCGTTTGTGGGTTGCCTCCCTTGAGTGCTGTCGTGTGTTTCCACACAGGACCGGCAAAAGCAATTCTTGATTGATGACGGGGGCGGGAGTGGGGGGGGGGGGGCGCGACCGTCCTAGGAATTTGAATCTGTAATGGGGTTTAACGTCCTACTGTTCTGCTCCTATACTGGGCTAATGAAGACGGGCATACGCCATACAGTGTGCTATGAGGGAAATTTTGCCCGGGCAGCGGCGCTACGGCCTACTCGTATATCGAATTCCAACTTCCAAGGGATTTTTTACGTGCACGCCAATATGTACACGGGACCTCGGTTTTTCGTCACATCCGAACGACTAGACAACTGTCCTTGTCAGGCCCTCCGTCCTGCATCACTGACAAGGGGAAACCACACATAAGCACCACTGCAGTGACATGGGGAAACCACGTCGGAAAATCTGGATGAACTTTCTCGGCCAATGCAGGGATTGAACACCCGACCTCCCGGGGGTCTAGATCTTCGGACAAGTAAAATCACTCAGCATTGAAGTTTTTATGTTTTTTTTTTTTTTAATCCCTTAGGGCCTACCATGAAAGCACTGCAGACGATGGTGATTTTCTGTGATGCTGAACTGAACAAATATATGCATAATAATACCAAGGTTGTAGACATTCTAGAGGTCACAATTTGTATCGAATTTTGATGAAACTTACAATCTATATATATATGTTTGTAACACAAAGATCTCGGTTCCTGGCGATATTGGTGCATATTGGACCGCAACTTGTTGGATTATGGCCCCTGATTGTAGGCTACGAAAAATCAGACTTTTAGCTTGTGGGTCCTCTAGAGGTCACTATTTTTATTGATTGTAAAAACCGTTCAAATATACCACAGTTACACCATTACGCACGGCTGAGTTCAAATTCGAAGTTCAAATGGCCGCTAACCTTTACGCAAATAGTGTAAAAGCATATAATACCCAGGGCTACCCTTTGGGCGACCTTCGGTTATAATTTTTTCATGACTACGAACGCGGATGGTCCGGACCATCGTCTGTTAAAAGAAGGATGCCCCCATGGACATGGTAATGTCATTTAATTCTGCTTTAGACCTCGACGATAACCCTAAAAAAAACCCACTTACTCTCAAGGAAGGTCTATAATCTCTCCACGGAGGATAATGATTCGCTATGCTATATAATGTTATATAGTTTAATAAACAAATAATACTTTCATGAAATTAAAAATGCGCTACTCAAATTAATTTTTAGAGACGTCAAATTCCTTGTCATTTGACTTCACATTTTGCATAGCATAAATAATGAAATAATGCGTATTTTTTAGACTTACATATATTCAGACATAACCTACGAGACAAAAAATATCTGCTCATCGAAGTCGCAACCATCGAAGTCGCAAAATATCGGGATTAGCCCTTTAAGCACAAGGAAGGTCTATATCTATTCTCTCCATGGAGGATAATGAATCGGTGTGTTATATAGTTTGATAAACAAATAATACTTTCATGAAGTTAAATTTGCGCGACTCAAATTAATTTTAGAGACGACAAAATTCCTTCTAATTTGACTTTACTTTTTGCATAGCGCAAGTATTGAAATTATGCGTATTCTTAGATTCGGACATAACAAACGGGACACAAAATATCTGATCATAGAGGTAGCAACCATTTAAAATTCATTCAAAATTTCCTAAAATCATATACTTAAGAAAAATAGATTCTTTTGAAATATTCTACACTTTGGTTTCATCGACACCGCCATCTTGGAACTACTCCGACCATGCCACAATAGCATGGTTCAGTATTTTCGGACTATGGTCCGGTCTAAATGAAATTCGGATTCAGTTAGTTCGACCATAGACAGGAAATCACGATAACCGAAGATCGCCCTGGTAGTTCGACTAGAGTACGGAAATCTGTGCAACCGAAGGTCGCCCTGTCGTGGCCCATCTAGGCGACCTTCGGTTATCGCGATTTCTTGACTATGATCGAACTAACTGAATCCAAATTTCATTTAGACCGGACCATAGTCCGAAAATACTGAACCATGCTCTTGTGGCATGGTCGGAGTAGTTCCAAGATGGCGGGTGTAGATAAAACGTAAGTGTAGAATATTTAGAAAGAATCTATTTTTGTTAAGTATATGATTTTAAGAAAGCTTGAATGTATTTTAAATGGTTGCTACTTCTATGAGCAGACATTTTTGTCTCGTATGTTATGTCTGAATCTATGTAAATCTAAAAATTACGCATTATTTCAATATTTGCGCTATGCAAAAAGGAAAGTCAAGTTACAAGGCATTTTGTCGTCTCTAAAATTAGTTTGATTCGCGCAAATTTAACTTCATGAAAGTATTATTTGTTTATGAAACTATGTAACATAGCGATTCATTATCCCCCATGGAGAGATGTATAGACCTTCCTTGGGGTTAAGGTTTTTTTCAGGGTTATGCTCGAGGTCTGAAGCAAAGTAAAATGACATCACCATGTCCCTGGGGGCAGCCATCTTTGAACAAATTATAACCGAAGGTCGCCCTAGATGGTAGGCCTATATACGATGAGACCTTGACGAAATCTGCAAGTGGCCTTAATATTAAGATCTAACCCGTTAAACTCGCGCTAAACCCCTAGTTAAAGCTCGTGCCTTTGCCCCCTTAACCTTGGACTTTGCCTCAGCTTTGCCCCTCCAATCACCGACGGCTGGCGCCGCCACTGCCCTATACGTCGATTGTCAGGAAAGCCTACACAAATTATGATATAGTATGAGTATAGAATATAATTATATACAGAAATTATTTAGGCATTGCAATGTATTTGTGTTTTTTAGTTGTTTTTTTTTAAAAAAAAGTTTTTTGGGTTTCCTAGACACAAAACGGTTCATATAACCTAAAGCATGCTGTCTTGGACGGGTGAAGGTGTGTTTAAATGAATTGAAATGAAAGGCGGTATAGAAAAAGTAAAAAAGTGCATCTCGGCATCTGTGTTTCGTTTTGTCTATATGATTTAACCTTCAGGTTGTTTTCGGTTTACTAGAATCGTAATATCAGCACTGACTTGACTGTATACAGATTCCATCACTCACTAAAGCATGCATTCAACATGCGAATAACAGACAGATCCACTAATAACTCCCACGATTGGTACCCAAATCAAGTAAATTAATAAATAGTTTCCCTGTAATGTTGACATTTGAAATATTCCCCCTTGTCAGTGATGCATTTGCTGAGAAAGTTCATCCAGATTTTCCGGCATGGTTTCCCATTGTCAGTGATGCAGGATCGAGGGCCTGACAAGGACAGCTGTCTAGTCGCTCGGATGGGACGAAACACCGAGGTCCCGTGTACACATTGGCGTGCACGTAAAAGATCCCTTGACAGTTGGAATTCGATGTAAGAGTAGGCCGTAGTGCCACTGTCCGGGCAAAATTTCCCTCATAGCACACTGTATGGCGTATGCCCGTCTTCATTAGCCCAGTCGGAGCAGAACAGTAAGACGTTAAACCCCATTTCATTTCATTTGAAATATATATATATATTTATATATGGGTGTCATTTCAAAGGCCTATTATAGACGGGCTCTTTAGTTCAACAATTCATTTACGCACATACACCAGAATCACTCATAGTAAATTCTCACAACAGCTATAGGCGTGCTGGGTGGTAGGCAGGGTATTATAATAGGAAACTGCCCCCATAAAGTGCAAAATACAAAAGAAAACGGGAATATTTGATAACGCTCGAATCCGATGAGATTTCCTATCAGGGTATAGGAGGGTGTGTAACTATGTACCCTCACTTCTGAAAATATGCCCTCTCTTCTGAAAAAATGCCGTCATATCTGAAAAAGTAGCCTACGCTTGAATTTCGAAAGAAATGCCAGAAATGCTCATGGAAATGCCTACGTCAACGTCGTCATATTTCCATTGCCCGAATAACAATATTGTGAAATCTTTCCCTTCTGTCCTTCCCTTGTTCAAAACAAATCCAGTTAAACTAAAGACCAATCGCGCTCAATGTACGTACATGTACCGTCGATCAACCCTCCTTGTTTGTTGGCTATCAGTCGCAGTGTGGCTGGAAATCAGTCCGAGACCCAGTCCGCCCCTGGGTAAATATGTCGGAGCGGCCGGATTTCTATAGAAAACGGCTAATTTTAGTTTATTTCGGCCGACATCCAACCCATTTCGAACAGGCGCGGATCAAGATGGGTGCTAACCGGGTTACAGCCAGGGGCCAGAATGTTAAAGGTACCCCAAATTTGTTCTAAAGAAAATAATTTATTATGTCAGAGCACGACGACATACCCAATACTACCAATATCAACCTTCTGACATATAACTTGCATTTGTATGTGAGACAATGACCAAGGGCCCTATAGCTTTCCACATTTTCAGATCTTTTGAACTTAATCATAATCAATGTGTGGTATGCCATGGCTCAGATATACGTCAAATCTATTCTAGAATGTGTCATAGATTAAAAAAGTTCCGCCCCCCACCCAAAGTGTCCTAAGTTTAGTCTGCCTACCATCCTTCTGGGCCTCTTAATAGCAAATTCTTTCTTCACTACTTTTTAGCATCATTTTACTGTAAAACAAATTACTCTCTATTTATATCAGGCATAATAAAACAAAATACGAATAATCATTGTCATTCAGCAAGGTCATTTAAAATGTCATTGATTTATTTACTCAAACCCCCTTGAAAATGATATTTTTGTGAAAGATGGAGATCTATCACTTTCCCCCAAAATTTGCAAATATTGCTTCCATAGTCCCCGGAGCCACAGTTTCTTTCGTTACTTTGGAAAGTCTGGTGTGTGAAAGGTTGCCTGGCAACGGCAAGAATGTGTTAATTTCAGATGTGTTTGAATTCACCTGGGACAGTTGTATCTAGAAAGTAAGAGATGTTAGCAACATACCTCCCAACCGCAGTATGGCAAATAAAAGATGTGTCCGAGACCCCCTTAACCCGAAATCATTCCAAACAAAGAGAAAATATAAAAATTGTCGTTGCAGACAAACTAAACAATCCCACTAGTTGACGCCGAAAAGTTAAGTTAAATCCCATTTTAAACCCATTTCATTTCTCCTTAAACAATGCATTGAATATCACTTTTTATTGAAAGCTTTTATCGTCTTCAAGCTAAATTTACGGTGTTCTGAAAAAGTAGCTTTTCCATGTTACCCGAAAACGAGACAATTGGAAATAGAAAATCAAAAAGGGTTTTGTTATGAAAAACGTATTTTAAAACAATAACTCATACAGATGAATTTAGCAGATATTATTTCGATAATTACAAACAACAAAGGGTGGTAAAAGTTTCCATAAACACAAGTATATAAACGTCTTTATAAACAGCTATAATCAACTGATCATAATCCGCTATGCTGCAAACGGTCCACCACCTCGATTGTTGATCGCAGGATAACAGCATTATTAATTCCTAATTATCTTACAATGATTCTAAAATGATCTAACCATATACAACAATAACAAATTCAGAAATACCAATTGTATACGGATTAGTTACGACAAAATTTGCGTGTACATATATACATGACACGCACAATTGTTTTTTAAGACCCAAGTCAAGCTCACCAAACACTTATGACGGGAAGCAAAGGGGTGTTAAAAGGGTACTAAAAGTAATGCATTGTCTTCACTTTATTTTTGTGAAATATGGTAATTCATGAATTTCGGCAGTATAATTTGTCAACCATCGCCCGCCTTGAATATTGACGTTTCGAAGTTTGTCCAACCAGTTACCAGAAGGTAGATAAATGTTCCTGGAAGTCGCACCCTTGTCAACTACGGGTGCCACAAGAATGTCATTACCTAATAAAAACTGATCATCGATAGTGAACGTGTTGGAGTCTTGTGGCGCAATCCACCATAGAGGTCTTACGATAGGGTTTCCGTTAACAACGGATTCCCGCGCCAAATTCAGAAACGTCGAGATATAAGATTCGTGGAGTTCAACAAAATTTCTTGATATTGTTGTCAGCGTGTTATTATTGTAAATCCATGGTGGAACCGAGAATTGCATAGATGGCATAAACGCATTGACTTGCAGCCATCGTATAAATAACTCGGCATCTGGATAATTCCGAGCTTCTAAACCCGAAGAGTTATCGTAAGCATTCCCACCAATCATGTCTGGAAGAACGAAAGGATAACCGATTATTCCAAACGTGAGTGCGCATGGTATGAGTGTTCGCAAACCATTATCTTGAGTCCAAGAAGAATCACGGTCCAACATTCGAACGAAAATGGGTAGATGCTGCGTTCTTGCTCCAACTCGAACTTCCTGGATTCGTAGATCTGTATCCGCTTTGAAGGCGAGTTCAGCCCATTTTTGTGTATAAACGTCAGGATTCCGATACGTTGTGTTGACACTATAGACATTTGGTAACCAATTGACCTCCCCAGCATCAAATTTAAAGGAACTTATGTTATACATGTCTTTGAGTCTTTGAGTTTTGTTCAAGTACCATTCTACGGCCATCGGATTGGTGACATCGAGAATTCCTGCAAGGTCTCCTCGCCACCAACTTACCAAAGCTGGTTGTTTGCTGTCAAGTTGACGCACTAGATATCCATTTTGAGCACCTTCTAGAAATGAGTTCGAATCAATGTTAAAGAAAGGATGAAGCCAGATGGTAACACGAAAGCCTCGATCCCTTAATCTCCGAACCATTCCAGCTGCACCGGGGAACTTTGTCGTATTAAAATCCATATCTCCATACTGAAAAGTCCAGTCATCGTCTAATTCTATCTGAGAATGACTAAATCCGTTGGATGATATATCACTAGCAAATTCCTCCAGCTGATTTTGATCAATGTCCTTTTTGTACATTGCCCAAGTAGACCATATTGGTGATTTAAACAGATTTACATCTGGGGTATCTGTTGGGTTTGGTATATACTTCTTCGACATATAATCATGGATTTGTTTAATATTATTTGCATAGCACAATGAATAGTTTAGAAATGGCAAACTGTTATCGTTATTGATATATGGATATTTTCCATATTTTGCCAAGAGACAAATTTGAGAGCTGTTGTTTTCGTTTAAAGATAAATGAAGGGGGACTTCTGGATCTATGTACAGTCCAACGCCAAATGATGTCACGAAATAACGTTCTAAAACACCCCCGTACATCTTCGCATAAGAATCTTGGGCAACGTACGCGTCCATTTTCTGCTGGATACTATTCATTGGCCAGTTTTGATTGAAATCCTGAAATCCACCGTACCAATGGCCGTCCATGTTGAAGCAATCTTTGAGTTCCTGTGAGACAGATGACAAGGCAGTCCAAATAACATTATAGCAACTAATTCCATCTTCTTGTAAAGTTGTCATTTCTAGTTTACGATCTCCAGTCCATGTAACACAGATATTGTTATCGCTGCTGCATGATGTGTAGGACTGGGAATTAGTGATGCCTATCCCGATTCTTCCTTGGGTATACTGACCAATTTTTAGAGTGGGAGTTCCTATGAAGTCCACGTCTGCATCTCCTATTTTTTGTGGTTTAACGGGATCGGATTCTCCGATAGATTGAACAGACAGGGCCCAAGCGGTGATACCCCCAATTAAAGCAACGCATAGAATCACCAGAACGATTACAATTAAAACTTTTCTCCCGCCTGCCTCGGACATATTTTTGGTATATCTGAAAATAAAAATAAAACATCAGTAATTCTTAGAAACGGTAAATGCTGTATTGGTTATAAATCAATAATGGATGAATAAATGATGGAATTTAGATCAGTTCAGACTCCTTATGTATAACCCCATTCGTCCCACCAGCCCTGTATGTATATAACTGATCATTGACGATAAGCAGTATCTTTTGTTTTGTGATTTTAAACCATTCTGTGAATTCCTTAAGGTATTAATTGCTGATGCATACCTTGCAGGTGGTTTATAACTTCCAAATTTATTCATTTTAGCCCACGTTCTCTATAACCACCTATATTGATATGTCTATATTAACTAGTCATATAATATATACTTAATAAATACAAACACTGAATTATATATATATAGTCTATGTTTATTGATCAATCTGTTTGCTTTCGATCATGGCGTATCCAAGCAATCTTATCAGATCAACCTTTTAAAGCATAGTCAATTATTGAAGCTTACACACAGCTATAAAGGGTGTGGTATACGGAAATAGTTTTAGGAAGTATCACGTTCGTAGTTATTTCAAATTTTTAATCTCCAAAATCTGAAACAAAAATCTATACTATAGATTTTGTCTGCAATAGAGTTGATTAAATCTTGTGGATAGTACCTGTTTCAGGTATACCACGTCTGAAGATGAGATTTATAGGATTAGGTCGTTTAACGTCCCGTGAACACTTTACTCGGGTCATTTTGAGACAAACATATAATTTTATTCATATAGTTACGTGGGCAATATTATTAATATAGTTACGTTGGCAACATTGTTAATATAGTTACGTGGGCAGCATTATTAATATAGTTACGTGGGCAACATTTTGAGAGAAACATACAGCAGTTTTATTAATATAGTTTACACGTGAGAAACTTTTTGAGAGAAACATGCATTATAGCTACGTTGGCAACATGAGAGAAACATACAGCAGTTTTATTAATATAGTTACGTGGGCAACATTTGGAGGGAAACATACAGTAGTTTTAATAATATAGTTACGTGGTCAAAATTTGGAGGGAAACATACAGCAGTGGGCAACATTTTGAGATAAACCTATTAGTAGTTGTATTGATATAATTACTTGTGCAATGCAGGGAGGGAATTTTGCTGTCAGGGAATCTTTTACGTTCCATCCAAAGACTAGATACACATTCCTTATTGCAGTCACAGATGCGAATTAGGCTTGAAAAAAATCATAAATGTTCTTTTTTGCCACATTGGGATTCATAACATTGAGTGCCGTGTCCTAACAACACCACAACACGGACCCCGGATTGACAATGAAGGTATGCTGCGCCAGTTCTAAGGGAAGTATGGTCGTTCGGATGGGTCAAAAAACCGAGGTCCCGTGTACAAATTGGCATGCACGTAAAAGATCCCTTGGCAGTTAGAATTCGATATAAGAGTAGGCCGTAGCGCCGCTGCCCGGGCAAAATTTCCCTCATAGCACACTGTATGGCGTATGCCCGTCTTCATTAGCCTAGTTTAGGAGCAAAACAGCAGGACGTTAAACCCCATTTCATTTCATTTCATTTCATTTATATTCAGATAAAAGTATAGACGGGGGCTGCGGCGCTGCCTGGAATATTCTCCTGGCTCCAACTACACACATAGTAAAAACAATTAAGTATAATATGACCTATACAATTAAAAGTCCATACTGTAAGTCTCAAATTAATTTATGTTTTCTTGAACTTACCGTAACATTTTTTTTGCTTTTAAAGAAGCCAACGCATAACAGATATGATACTTATTCCATTAATTTCTAGAAAATATAAACTCCACAGATATGAGTTCTGACACTTTATTAACTCACATGCATTAAAAATGTTTAATTCTACTGTTATACATGGATCCATAATGCTTTGTAATATTCAAAACATAGATTTATAACAGGATATCGAATATGTCGTTAAAATTGTTTTTCTCACAATATTCAACAGACCATCAAAATGGCGTTTAGTCAACACCTGAAACGTGGGCCATTTTACAGCTGTTTTTTAAGGTTGTCATGGTTAGATCGAATGCATATCCAAAGCTCATCAGCAAGCTAATTTGATGGAATATTTCGATGGATAGCATACATTAAGAGTGTCGCCTTAGCCATCACCTCGTCCATTAGTTGACACTATCCCCGTAACTTGACCAGCTGAACAGCCACTATAGCGTTAATCCCTATCATTGATCCAATAACATATTCGCGCTTTATGATACATCGCCATAGAGGAAGAACTATTCACTCTTTAACTATATATAATATTGTGTTTGTAGAAATGGTTGTTATGGACGCACCTGATCAATAAAAATACTCCTACATGAAAGAAATAACGACATAATGAGAGTTTTGAAATGCTTCTATATTTAACATGATATAATTTGAATGAGGAGAGTGACACTTTATAGATAAGATTAATAGCCAGGACTAGGATAATGGTTTACAAGAGTCTTTCAACCCTAATTAACCAATTTTATTCTTTAAACTATATCAGTATTACAATTTAAATATCCTGTACTTCGCTGATACAGGGGCCACGGTGGCTCAGTAAGTAAGGCATTGGTTCACCTGTCCGGAATTTGAGTAAGTTCTACGGATTTTTCTGCGGTTTGTGGTGCAGGAACAGCGTTATAGGTATAAGTACACCTTGCCGTGCACATAAAAGAACTCGTTAATTCTAGCGCTATCTGGTAAAATTTCCCTCACGCAGGTGACGCAGCAAACTATATGATATGCTCCACTTCATTATTATGTTTGGAACAAAAACATAGGACGTTAGTTAAACCTCATTCAATCATTCACTGATACGGAGCAGAACAGTAGGACATTAAACCTCATTTCATTTCGTTCACTGATACACTTTATTATAATTTTCAAGCCATTAAAGCGCTATTATCAGATATTAAAATGTGGTTATATATAATGCATTAATTATAATTAGTGAGTAATGTTGAGATCGTTCAATAAGTTTTAGAACCAGTTATATTACACATGTAATTTCAAGACTATCAAGTTAAAGGAACTAAACCTATTTGATTGAAATATTAATTTATAAAATCAACTAACCAAGTGCAGTCATTGCATGTATATTTAAAACATACTAACTTTTTGGATCTTACAAACCTCAAAATTTCTCAAATGCACCGTTTAAAAAGGGACGTGTGTTTGTTAATTTTAGTTTAATTTTTGGCTAGCTGTGTCGATACAGGAACACACAGTCGCCAATATCTCAATATTGACTTTATCTATTGAAATACAAGTTGAAAATGGAATGGAAGTATCTAAAATTTTGAAATGAAATGGTGTTTAACGTCATACTTTTTTGCACCAACCATGGCAGTGTAATGAAGATGGGCATACACCATGCAATGTTGTATGAGGGACTTTTGTCCGGACAGCGACATTTATGTCTACTTTTCTTTTCAACTGTCAAGGGTTATATATGTATTACGTGCATATAATCGTATCCAATCCAATGAAATCGACAATTTTATTTGTTACTAAGATCAGAGAAGGAGTGCCGTTTTAACACAAGATCATGCAACATAATAATTTTGCATTGCAGCATTAATATTCAAAATTAAAATGTATAGGCTATACTAGTAAACATGATATTATAATTTACATTACATTATATTTTTATTTAAAGGAGCTAATCAGTTACGTTCGGCGAAATACGCCAGAGTCTCAATCGAATGGCAATCCTTAGCATCTGGTTATTCCAGTTAACACCGATAGTATTTATTGCGAATGTTCTCCAGATAAGAATATGAGGTCACCGTTTGACATGACTTGTGGAATATGTCTAGCCGCGTTCTTCAAGTCCCTTTTTACAAATGGCGCTGAAACGTATTATGGTACACGATTGGTGTACCAATGGTAAAATGTTTATTTTGTCTTAAATATTGGATATCAGAAGACCATCCTTTCCCGGTAAGATCACAGCATCAATGTTGATTTAAATTGACAAATAATTCGTGTTATCTATATCCAAAATTTTGGATGATATTGAGTTAGAGACTTAGATACTTTAAGGTAATCTATAGCAAAATCCTCTATTCAAGTGCGTGCAACGTAATTTAATATGTGGTTCAATTTTCTTACTACGCAAGACCTTGCAAAGAATACTATCATACCTGAAATATATATTTGTTTTTCAATACAAAAGACGAACAACCTTAAATCGTTCCAGATAAGTTATTCTGTGTGATTGGCCCCTCCTAAGGTTGGCTGGTGCAAAAAGTTGCTCAATTTTATTGACCTAAGAATTAAAAATATATCAATCCTTGAAGGTTTCCCAGTAGTGTCGAATGCGCGAAATATGACTTAAAAATGGAAAATAAAATCTAAGTAATTATTAGAAATTATATCGGGGACCCGAATCGTCACATTCATCTTTTCTGGACGACCCACCATTCCTTCTCAGTAATATCTGAAAATCGGAATAAACGCCGTATTATTCCCACACGGGAATTCTCGGAGCACGGTGTACGATAGTTTTACAGCTATCCGTGCCATCTAGTGCTCTTAATGCCACCCGTGCTCTCTATATCAATGCAGTCGATCATTCGTCAGCATTGATTAAGATCAGTGCATACATATATTAACACCCCCATCTGAATCTTGTATTTAAAATTCCTTAATTCAGAATACCGGTACTTACTTAAGTTGTTCCACTTTCCTTCATAAATTCCGTGTGAATGACGTCTTTTTATTGTAACAGATTATATTATTCATGGATCTGTTATAATATAATACGGAAAACGTTATTCTATACCCCAGAATAATTTTACCTACTAGAAAAGCTTCTGTATATCAATATACAAACACTGAATTGGCTTATAGTGACTGGCCTATTTATTAATCTGAATTACTTATTGTGTTGTTTACATAGTATATCTCCTATAGTATATCAATGACAAAATCCACACATGATACATACAAACAATATATTGGCCAATATATGCAACATTGTCTCTTTTATAGCAGTGTATTTTACAAACTGTATATGACTATTCCAAGATGTGCAATTTATTGGCTTACATTAATGGCCAGTATTAATAGACTTATCTATATTGCTGTATATTGTTAGACAAAGCACTACTCAAATAAGGGGCGCCATAGGACCTTAATTACGTGTCGTTTATGACAGTCTTATTAAAATTACACCAAAACAAATTTCCGTTTTAAATTGGTCTGTTTATCGTACTTTATAAAGATTTCTTTTAGACTGTGTTCAGAACTTTGCAGATTCGATTCGTCGGTTCTAAACAAAATACTAATCAACAAGCGGTTGCTATGCACGTTACGTCCACACCTAGAGCAGGGAAAATCGACAGGGCTTATCCTCGCATTGTCCCAATGATTCACATCGAATTTTTTTTTAAAAAAAAAACCCCAAAAAAACCCAATAAAACAAAACAAGCCGAAATCTCAAAATAAATAGATGACACATATTAATTAATCGCACATTTATTTTTTTTCAAAAGTATCGAGCAATCAAACTATACACTAAGTTTCATCACTCTCTATCTAACAGAGAATCAAGATTATCTTGTCCCAAAGCATCGACCAATGGAATTGATTAGCTCTGCTTAGCTTCAGCTCGAAATGTTAATCATTGAACTCAATCAAGACATTCACCTAATGAACACCAAGTTTAAACACTGTACCTCAATTAAAAGCAGAGTTATTATGTTCCAAAGTCTCGACCAATCAAATTGCTTATCGCTCCTTAGCCTAAGCAGAAAATTCTCACCATCGAACTTAATCAAGTTAATGATATAATGAATCTATATTCGGAGTTTCATCGCTCTCACTTAAGTAATCGTGTCCCAAAGCATCAACAAATCAAATTGCTTATCTCTGCTTACTCTAAGCAGAAATTGCTCATCTTCGAACTCCATTGACCTAAAAAAACACCTACAAGAAGTGTGAACATTCTAGCTCAATTAGAAAGAGAGTTATTTTGTCCCAAAAAGTGTGACGGACGAACAGACAGACAGACAGACAGACGGATGAACCCTTTTTAATAGCCCCCTGCATTCTTTGAAAGGCGGGGGACAAAAAAAAAATATGTTAAAAACTGATTCAAGATTTTCCGTTATAATTTAGTATGTCATACAGATGCTGACAGTTTTAAAAATAGTGTCCTTTTTGGTCAAAGCTATTGCATAGCTTTAGGAAACTTGAAATGAACAACCATTAAAATATATACATGGTTAAATATGGTTATAACATCAATATTCTCCAGTCTACTGTGTATTGCAGGTGTATTCATTAATAACTCGCGGGTAATATACATGCTAGAATCCTCATATTGTAAGATAAGTTAATTATAAAACACAAATATAAATCTGTTTGCTGTGTAATACTCAGGTTCCCCGACAGGGCCTATGGACAAGCAACTCGGCAAGGGGTTGGGTCGAAATTTTTTGAAGGATACATGGTATATATTGGCGTATATCTGGGGTAACTGGAGGTCACTAAGATTTAACACAATAAAAATTTTTTCAGTACCCAAGATCATGTTGAATTGAAACGGGGCCGGTCGGGGCCCCACGGCGCGAAGGCCCGGGCAAGTAGCTTATAGTTTTTAATTCACTAATCTTTCCAAAAAAAGTAAACTGATGGAATTCGATTCTAATCCTGTCCACGCGACTACGTACCCACATTCAGAAAAGTCACCATTTTTTTTTCTACTTTACGATCGAGTAACAGTGTTTATTTTTTCTTAATTTATACAAACAAATTCTTTTTACTGACAATATTTTTCATCAAAACAACGATTGATTATTGTTATTTACAATATTTCTGCCACATCCAACTACAATTAAGCATATAATCCTACTGAAACGAGTATAAGTTATCGTGTTTAAAATCGAGTCGTAAAGCCGTTACTAGGAACGCCATTTTAAACGGGAGATGTATGGCGGTGTATGTCCGACAAAAACAACGCTTCATTAATTTAAACGCGAATATTTGGAGTTCGGCGATAGTTGTGTCACTACAGTTTAATTAGTCATAATAGTATAAAATTATCTTATTTTTAAGATGTTACATGCATTTATAAAGAAAATGAGTTTGCCGCTTGGAAATAAAGGCACCGAATCGTAGCTAAACACAAGCACATCAGTATATCTCAACGTTTTTAGCTACGTTCTCGTAGCTAATATTTGTCCAGTTCAGCATCACAGGAAAACGCCATCGTCTGCAGTGCTTTCGTGGTAAGGGATTAAAATAACTGGCTAATTTTACTAGCCAGAAATCGCTTAGAAAGCGTCTCCGACGATCTAGACCCCCGGGAGCTTCCGAAGACTAGGCGGCCCCTAGACCCTCGCCTAAAGTCCTGAAATGAAATTTAATGAAATGAGATTTAATATGGTGGCTGAAAGCGTTCATTTAGATCGGCGGGTTTCTAGAAGCAACGCTAGAGTCGCCGTTAAGCCAGCACGACGAAAAAGGCGCCGATCGGCGACTTTTTCGTCGTACTAGCTTAACGGCGACCCGCGACTTTGACAACACGAGAGTCGCCGTTAAGCCACGCGACGAAAAAGTCGCCGATCGGCGCCTTTTTCGTCGTGCTGGCTTAACGGCGACTCTAGCGTTGCTTCTAGAAACCCGTCGTCGCTCTGGCTTAACGGCGACTCTCGCCTCGGAAGTTTATAGTTAGTTACATGCGCAATGGCTACATTTTACGCACACAGATCACCAAATATTTCTACGCCGTCACCCACCAATGTAGAGCGAAAGTTATTTTTAATCTTTCTCTCCCTTTCCCTTTTCCCCCTTTTGCATGGCGATTTTTTGGTGTAGAATCGAAGAAAGGGATTTGAAAATACATTTTCTGCCAGGTTTTGGTGAATATTCATGATTTTGAGAGGTCGGTTAGGTTGAAATGTAGGGCCGAAAATTGCATGTTGACTTGTCTCTACTTCCAGCTTGTGTATTTCAAGTTTTTCATGGTGAACCTCATACATGCTTTTGTGCAAGAGTTTGCCACATGTTGCTCCATCTGTGGCAGAAAGCGTTCTACCCAACGAAAATTTGGGAAAAAGTTAGAGCCGGTCTAATATACGAGAATTAACATTAAATCAATGGGGAAATATTTAGTGATATCAAGACGTGTACATTTTAAATCTAATTCCAGTGTAATTAAACAGGTTTTGAAAGTACACGTGTCTGTAACACTCATAAATTTTAATTTGCCCTAGTGTCACTGAAAATGATTTTATATACAAGAAGTAAACTTCCGAGGCGAGAGTCACCGTTAAGCCAGAGCGACGAAAAAGTCGCCGATTTTTTCGTCGACTTTTTCGTCGCGTGGCTTAACGGTGACTCTCGTGTTGTGAATGTCGCGGGTCGACGTTAAGCTAGTACGACGAAAAAGTCGCCGATCGGCGCCTTTTTCGTCGTGCTGGCTTAACGGCGACTCTCGCGTTGTATCTAGAAACCCGCCGATCTAAATGGACGCTTTCAGCCACCATAGTTTAACGTCCTACTGTTCTGCTCCTAAACTGGGCTAATGAAGACGGGCATACGCCCGCCATACAGTGAGCTATGAGGGAACAAGGGATCTTTTACGTGCACGCCAATATGTACACGGGACCTCGGTTTTTCATACCATCCGAACGATTAGACAGCTGTCTTTGTCAGGACCTCCGTCCTGCCTGCATCACTGACAAGGGGAACCCACGCGGGAAAATCTGGATGAACTTTCTCGGCCAACACCCGACCTCCAGGCTAGCGAGCCAGCGTCTTACCCACTTAGCCACGTGATCCCCGCCTAAAGTCCTAGGACGGTAGCTCCCCTAATCAAGAATTGCTTCCGCCAGCCATAGATTTTAAATATTTTAAAAATATTAAACGCGTTTTCGTGAATACAACTTCAATGTTGTTCAATATAGCCTAACTGAATTCCAAATAAGCAATCAATCGCCTTGCTTTCTATCATTATAAATTACTTTTTAATTATATTTTTGTTTTCTATCTATATAAATTACTTTTTAATTATTTTTTGTTTTCTATCTATATAAATTGCTTTTTAATTATTTTATACGATTTCTATATACATTATTTATTCATTCTTCTTTTTCAATATTGTTTTTATGGAAGGTCCGCTGCGTACCAAAATTAAACTGTGATGAGGGTTCACATTTTGCGTAAAAGACAAGGGACATAACTACAGCCTGGCAAAATTCCATTTAAAGTAGTGTTGGATTAAATAACTTTGTCAGATGTGGCGAGAAATGACAGGTACAAAAGGATCTATTGCAGTGACTAACAGAACAAACGGAACAAAAATCACATCTGTTTAGATTGCATTTATGAGTATAGGTAAGGACAAAAACAAGGCGGAGTCGGACAGAGAATCATTTTTTTTTCTCGTGTGGTTTGTATTATCTGTTTCCTAGCTTAATTACTAAAAATAGGTTCTTGAAAATAATGCTGAAATTTTGGCTTTGCGAATTGCTATAATCTCCTTCAATGTAAAAAAATAAGTGATTTTCAATTTTAAAAAAAAAATAGTATTTAAAGGGGCATTGGGTAAGATTAGATAAAGAGCTGACAGTTCTCGCAATAATAGTTAAAAAATAAATGCTGAAAATTTCAGTCAAATTGCTTTACTCTGAACCAAGATATTAGTAAGTCAATTTTAGGTTAGCTTCGATCGTCATTCCTAAGGTTGGATAATAAACACAAAGTCTAAACAAAGTCTCGATAATCCATTTTTATGTTAAATTATCCATCACAAAATGTATTCAAATCCACTACATATTGCAAGCTAACGATGGCATCGAGTTGATTATGGTCTGGATAAGTTAATTAATGTCTAATTAATAATTTAGATAACATTTCAGGCCTAAAGTAAGACCTACAATATGCAGATTTATCTTTTTTATATTGCATTTTTAAGAAATGGATGTTTTATAAACAGCATTATATTGGTTTCATTATGTCAGTTTTGGGTAGAACTTTGGCTCAGCATATTACCAATATACACTTGTTGGCAATATTTTAATACATTTTACTGATCTCACGGATAAAGGTCCTCTGGCTTTAAAGGTCCTCTTGCGTTTTCAGTCTGGTTTCCCCCTGTGTTAGTGCTTTCGGGACAGAGGGTCTGACCAGCAACAGCCACTGGTCGTTCAGATGGGATAACCCCCCCCCCCCCCCAGGTTCTGTGTACAATTTGACATACACATAAAAGAACCATTGTCAGTTGGAATTTTATAAAGTGTAGACAGAAGATCTGCTGTCCGTCCAAAATTTCCCCCATCGCACACTTCATGGTGTATTCCTTGTTGGTGCAGAAAGGTAGGATGTTAAACCTCACATCATTTCTATTTAAAAACTAAAATGATGTACCCATCTTATTTTTTCCACCATATACCAGTGGTAAATTTCAATGGTAAATAATATTTATTTAATTATATTTATTTAATTTACAGATAAATTATATTTATTTAATTTACAGATAAATTATATTTATTTAATTCACAGATAAATTGTATTTATTTAATATACAGAAAAAATATATTTCATTTAAACAAGAGTGTGGATGGTTTTAATCACCCATTGATAAAAAGAATGGTGGCAATGAAAGTTTCACAGAATACAAATGCCCACAACATACGGCAATTTTAAATATCCTGGCAAAGCAATCTACATGTAAATGAATTTCTAAAGAAGTTAACTCTACAAGTGCCTTGCACTGACCCTCTGGGGCCAAGGAACTTTATTAGAACAAATCAGGACAAACATACCTGCCAAATATTGTTGAAAGTCATCAAGTAGTTTACAAGAAGTCACAAATACATAAATTTTCTCAATTAAGATGCCTCTGCCCGGCACAAATCTGAATAAACACAACCCAGGCAACATAACTATCAATTTTGTTGGTTAAGGGAAAAAGGTTGAAAACAACTAAATTCGGACCAAGTAACTTTATTTGAACAAATCTCGACAAGCATCACCCAATTGACCAAATCTGGATGGCGAAACCCAACATTATGCAAAAGATATACCATAGTCATTATGGTTGTGACATAGACAGGGCCAATACATTCTGTCAACAGGTCGTAATATACACCACTCAACGTTATTATTAGACAGTTAAGTCTATGGTATTCATTAACAAAATGGTAGACATGATTATGTAATAATATAGTGAGTATTGCGTCCTGTTGACAGATAGTAAAGCACTTTCATCCACTGAAATCAACAGTTATTTGAAAAGAGGACCAATGTCCAGATCTGTTAAAAATAAAAAAAAATTTAATTATTTCATCACTTCAACATATATTTTATGGCAGAAACAGCCTTGTTACAAAATATATATTATGATGGCCATAATAAAGAGTTGCTATTGGAGTAAAAGAAAGAAAAATAGGCATGGTATAGAATCTTTGTTTCTTACCAGAGCCACAGTGGCTAAGACCCCTGCATTGGATGATAAAGTTCATCATGATTTTTCATCAAGGTTTCCGCTTGTCAGTGGTGAAGGACGGAGGGTCTGAAAAAAAACAGCTGTCTAGTCATACGAATGGCCATAGTGCTGCTGTCTGAGTAAAATTTCTCTCATAGCACACTGTATGGCATATGTCCGTCTTCCATAGACCAGTCGGGGCAGAACAGTAGGATATTAAACCCCATTTCATTTCATTTTTGTTTCGTGCCTTTACTATTTAATTAAGGATATATTGACAAGAGGATTCTGATTTATCCCTGAATTTGATTATCTCCCTTATATGAATATGAATGTAATAAACTTTAAACATTATACTTAAAACAAGAGATTTTTAATTTTACAAGCACTCGTTTAAATAACATATCAGAACAACCCAATTTAATAGTTTGTTTTGTTTTCACATCAATCATAGAGGTTCAGCTAATATGATAAAGTCAGTCAATATTCAAATCTTTCAAAAGCAAAAAGTCTCGCAAGATTTCAGGTATGTGTAAGGAATGAATTTTATCATAGATCGGCCTCCCAAGACTTTTTCTAATAACCTTTCTACAGTTTTCTTTTAGGCTTCTGGGTGAACTGAATGCATTTTCTAAAAATTCATAAATAACGGCATTTTTATCACAGTAAGTAATAAAGTGTGCATATTCATAATATGAACAACCACATAATATTAAATATTTAATAAATCGTCCATTGAGAAAATTGAGCGCTAGAAGGAAAGGGGAAGTTGGAACCGCCGGTAATTTAGTTTGGGAGAAAATGGCCAGATCTTTATCACTGCGCATTTGCTTGTCAATATCACAGTTTTCTGATATCAACCATTTTACTGCTTTCCAGTTATACTTCTTTATTGCCATATGTAATGGAGTGTCTCCATTTAAATCTGTATGATTAATATCACAGTCTGTTTCAGTTAATAACTCAACACACAGGCAGGCATTTTGTTTCCCTAAAAAGTTATCATAAGGATCTAACGCCCGGTGTAATGCTGTTCGTCCATGACAGTCTTGTAGATTGGCATCACAGTCGGCAGAGAGCAGCAGCTCCACACACTGTACGCTACTTTTAAATGCTGCTACCATCAATGGAGTTTGTCCAAGTTTATCTCGAAAGTCTATTTCAACTTGGGGTATACTAAGAAGATATTTCAAACATAAGTAACTGGAGTTCATGGTGGCAACGTGTAGAGCTGTTTCTCCACTATTTGAAGCAGCATTCACATTGGCATCTCTACAATGTGCAAATTCCAATATGTCAACATGGTCATGTCTGAAATTCACAAAACATAAAAACATTATTAGGATGGTGATCTTGAACTACACAAATTTAATCTGAATGTTTGACTCTCTCTTGCGGTTTTGATTGCTATATATATTGTAACAGATATTGGCCAGGGGAAAACCAGCAAGATTGGTCCAATAAAATATTTAAGAATGCAGTATGTTTATTGGTTAAGCCCTAATTAGTAATCAAAAGATGCGTAATATAATATTTTATTTCATATACCTAAAACTGGCTAAAACTAAAATAGACATATATACATGTATATGACATGCCATTAACAAAAATATAATATTAAAAAAATCTAAATTTCGCCACGCTGGGCAAAACATTTAGCCATCGCTGCCCTAACCTGTATTTACCTAAAAGTGGATGCTCATAACATATGTGCAGTGGCGGCATTTGCCCCCCCCCCATTAATCTGGTCTGCCCTCTGTTTGCCCCCCCCCCCGAATTATTTTAGAAAATAAAAAAAAGTATTTGTGATACGTTTCGGTAATCAATACCTTCTACGGTGAATAAATCCCACATCCCCACTCAGTCATAAACTTGCATGTTGTAGAGCATTTCCGACAGTCTATTTTTCAAAATTTTCTTGGCGAGGTCCCCAATGGACTCACTACTTTGGCACTCACAAGGGGAATTCGTTGAGGTTCGCAAGTTCGTTCATTTGACATTTTGTTCTCTAGTCGGATAAACTAGTGATCAGGCGACGAACGGTATCTGGGCAGATATATTTATCTCGACGATCGGTGCCTGAAAGAACACTGTAAGACAGCATTTCCAGCAGTCTATTTTTCAAAATTTACTGGGGGAGGACTCCCTACTTTGACGCTCGTGAGTTGGCTTCGTCGTGATTCGCAAGTCCGTTCGTTTGAAACTTTACCTCATCGATCAGTGCCTGAAATACTGCCAGGCTGCATTTCCGGCAACCTGTTTTTCAAAATTTTCTGGGGGAGGCCCCCTACGCCTAGTTGAAGCTCGTGCCTTTGCCCCCTTAACCTTGGACTTTGCCCCAGCTTTGACCCCCCAATCACCGACGGCTGGCGCCGCCACTGCATACATGAGAATTATCATATCAAGAGACAATACACTAGAAAGAGACAGGTGATAAATTTTCAAGATGATAAAGTGTTTTAGAAGCTTTGAAAGGCTAAAACAATATTTGGGAAGAATTGATGTAGCATAGAGACATAAGTTGAATTATAAAAATTCACATATCACTTTATAATAAATTAGATTTATTCATTATAAGAGAACACTAACCTGCAAGCTCGAATAAATATTGTTTCTCCAAATACATAATCTTTTGTTTCAATATCTATCCCATCATCCAAATATTCTTTAAGACGATTGATATGCCCCAGAGCTGAGGCCATAAAGAACAACTTCTTATTTTCTGATGTCTCCTCATCACTCTCATCTGAGGTATTGGTAACCGCGTCTAAGAAAGCATAATCCATTTTTGTTTCAAGTCTGAAGTCTGATGTGGCCTAATAGCTAATTAGAAGCTAAAATAAAATGTCAGAAAATTTGAGAAATTCCTAAAAATGTTTAAAATTATTAAGTACAGTGTTGAGCTTCAAAAGTAAAGCCTATGGGACTTTCATCAAATATAATGCAGAGCTCTACCAGCAAAACACAGGTTTAATAATTGGAATAGACATAATTTAATAAATCAAATAGGCAGATAGACTATTACATTAACTGCTATAAGCTTAAGTATGCACAAACGTTAATAAAGAGAGAGCTACATAAAAAATTTCTTACTTGTGGGTTTTACTTGTGCTTTGTGCAACATTGCCTTGAATATAATTATTTGAAAATTACTGATTTGATCTACATGTGCTTAGTGCTTGTTGGCTGGTGATAGCTGCTAAAGCTTCAATAATTCATTCATTTTTCACTAGTATATTAGTATAACATGTAAGTATAACCATATGGAAACTAAAATGAGAAAATAATAATTTATTTCAGGTCAATATATTTATTAAGATAATGAATAAAAGACTGAATGATACTGAAAAAGATGAAGTAAGCCAGTAAAAACAATAACGCATTAAGTGTTTACCTACATGTAATAGGTTATGTTTCCTTTAATCAGCCATTAATGCTGCACATACCTTGGTTACTACACTAAAAAAAATATCATATGACCAGATACGATAAAGTGTATCATTTACAATGTACAGTAACAAACCACTCATGAGTCACCACTCACCACTAAACATACATTTAAAATAACACCAGGATTCTTGTTTTACTTAGTCATGTTTGCCAACTTATTTTTGACTGACTAGTAGTACTTATGTACCGATAGTGAAATTGAGCGACTAGCTGGAGAAATGGCCTGTCAGTCAATTTAAATGTTATAAAACCAGAATTTCAAAGAATTTAACCTTAATTCACACTAAATACAGATAAATTTTATAATTTTAAAGTGCAAAACACTTACAAAATTTATCTTGAAAAAGGAAAAATACTAAACATTATCATATTCTGGATAATTCAAGACCTTGTCTGTGTTTTGCACTGTTCATCTGTTATTCCTGTTTTTGGTTCTGTGCTAGTCCATTCACGTCACACATTATCCATAGGTACACAAACAATCTTAAATGGTTTTGGTCCTTATTTCAATCCACATTTATCGTGATATAAAACAGTCTTATTTCGTCGAGATCAGTAGGGACTGAATATTATATCAATTATTCATTTATCCTCTTGTTTTCTTGTTAAATATTGACCTGATTATGAATTGGGATAAGCTTACGAATTGTATCATAGTACCTGAATCCCAATATGTATCGTATCATGACTGCAGTGGCAATACTCAGCACTACTGTTATGCCACATAGAAAAATCATGATGACCTTTCTCTGACAACACCATGATCCAACATGGGATATTCAGGTGTTTAAACCAACATATTACTGCTAGGTGGCTCCCCAATTAGTTCCTTTAGGAACTACCACCCAATATGGTTCGAACAAGCTGGAATGGGGTTATTTACCGGGTGACTTTTATACACAGTTGCAATGGGATTGGACAAACACAAAACAAAACAAAAAAATCTTCGGAATTCGAAAGTCAATATAAGTAGCCTAGAGTCCTAAAGTAAAAATATCTAAAAATATGGGTGATAAATGGCTGTAGAGGGCCTACTAGTTCAGGTCTAAACTAAGGCCCGGTTACTGTAAACCTATAAGGGCCTACAATCTCCTTCATTCCTTCAATATCAATTAACGACAACGGGAAAGGCTATGCTAGGTGTACGAAAATGCAGTAGCGCCAATAGATAGATTTTATTACATAAAACACCCTTTTCGGGCAGCATGTAAATTATACATTACAGTCAATATGCTAAATACATAATAAAGTGGATGAAAAAAACATAAAAAAAAATGGATGAAAAATATATAAAAAGTAGATGAAAGATACATAAAAGTGAATGAAATGTACATTTACATGTATATACATTGAGGCAGTATGTGCAAAATATAAATGCGTAAATCAGGAAGTAAACATACTATATTACAAATTCCTATATTATTAATATAAATTCATAATAATATTACATTTTTAATGGTGAAAACTGAAGTTCGACGGAACCGGAAACATCGATTTGCCATTAAATATAAAATATGGACTTGGATTGTCCTCATTATAACAAAGTTTGTGGAGTAAATCGTTTGTAGCATAGATGTTATAGATACTGTTTGTAGCGGTAGGGACATTTTTTTCGGTTTTAACCAACTCACAAAGAATTCTTCTTCATATAGTTGCACTTTTGATAATTTAATTTTAAATTTGTCCAAACAGCAGTGGCTTCCACTCCATTAGAAAAGATAAACCATTTTAAGGCCTCGATAGTCACGTGATCATAATGGATGCTCAGCAAAATTATCGAAACTTACGGACATCAAAATAATTAATACAAGAACCAACTATCACTTATGTAATTGCCGATTGTTTATCATATTTGATCTAACCTAAACTATTTTTTTGTCTACCCTGCAGTTGCATACCTAGATGTCAAAGATAACTTCGTTTTGTAATTCTTTCTAGAGGGATGCGTATGTTGTATGTCCGCGGGCGCCTGAACGTTGCCAGTTCTCTTCTGCGATTCCCGATTTTTTTTTGTAGTTATGGCAGCCATAGGTCAAGATGCTACCTGAATAGGCCTACAAGATTGATATCTTTCAAGGGATTGGGAGAATTCCATTTCCGGAATTTTCAATCGATTACTTTAATATTGTATTTTCCTTAAAAATGTTGCTTGGCCATGGAATATTCCGAATATGAAGCATTCATGGAAAATACTTCTCGCAAGTAACTTGATTTGAGACCTAGGCGTCTTCGGGGTGGGGGAGAGGGGCTTTCAGTCAAAGGGTAAGGCAATGAACAATACAATGCAGAGATATTTGGTATTTATTTGTTCAGCATATTGTGTTCAAATTCTAGAATCATGATTTTCCATTTTGTTAAAATATAATGGCTTATAAGTTGCAAGTGATATGCTGTATTAAGAAGTTTGCTTATGCCTTAAAATTGTATTTTTGGGGGTATCTAAGTCAGATTTTGTATTAATGATAATTATTTTAGATGTGAAACGTGTAGTCAACAATGAACAACATGTAGAATAACCCAAGCCAAATCCAGGGTGTAAATCATTGGTATTACATTTATCTGAAAAGTCTGACACAAATAAATACAGGATGACAACTACACAAGTAATGTACCAGTTTGTGACTGGCCTTAAAAACCGCAATGAAGAAATTAGGAATAAAACTGTCAATGACTTGCACCTCTTTGTGAGTACAGAATTACGAGAAATGCCAACTGAAGAACACACTTCATTCATGGACAACTTCAACCATCATATTTTTGAGATGGTGTCTAGTAGTGATGTGAATGAGAGAAAGGGAGGAATCTTAGCAATAGGTAAGGAAATGAAATGCCTGGTCTTTTAACTGTATTTAATTTACAGACAACAGTTCTTTACTGCAACCTATCTTCATTAGCCCTGCCACAGCAGAACACTAGGATATGAAACCCCACTTCATTTCTTTACTGCAACAAAGTATTTGATATCACTTAGGCTCGGGTAACTTATAGGTGTTTTTTCATTGTTAAATTGATTGTGCCACGAAAAAATCACGACAAATATTTCACATTCGTTAAAGAAAAACTGTCCACCAGTCTCTTACAAGATGTTCCATACACATGCTAATTAGAGTTAGATTTCAAAGCCTAAAACACCATCTCTCATGTTCCATGGATGAAATTATAATATTTCAATTCATGACATTTTGTTTCAGCCACTCTTAGTCTTAGTGGAGTTGATGTTGGCAACACATCAACAAGAGTTACTCGTTTTACCAACTACCTTCGTAGTCTTTTACCATCCAATGATGTCAGTGTCATGGAAATGGCAGCTATGGCAATAGGTAATTTGGCTTTGCTATCAGGAACACATGCTGCTGAATATGTAGAGTTTGAAGTGAAAAGAGCTCTAGAATGGTTGACTGTTGAACGCAATGAAATGAAGAGAATGGCTGCGGTAAGTATTGATTTCTTTCTTTTTATAAGATATTTTTCGGCAGTTGAGCTCCTATATGCATAACACACGCGCCATTATGAATGACACATTAGTCTGGCATGTGGAATTGTGGATGATCTCTCTAATACGGACCACAGTTACCATGCACCGTATGATTATGACAACAGCACAGTTTTATAAACATGCGACAAAACAGTTGTTGACAGTATGAAATAATAAATTTATTTGATTTATTGCAGGATTATTATGTAATTTTTCAATCGGTAATTTGATTTGCCTGGTCATTAGAAATGTCATTTTTTCAGATAAATTAAAAGTTTAGTGGGTCCAGTGAGTAACCTGATTATACTCAAAGTAACAATTGTTTAAATTAACAATTTTAAGTTACAAATAAGTGATTTCTCAGATTTTACACAGAATCATTGTAAATGAGATCTTTAACTGTTGTTATATATGTTGTTTTATTTTCAGGTTTTAGTACTAAAAGAATTAGCTGTAAATACACCAACATTCTTCTTTCAACAAGTTCAGCAGTTCTTTGATACTATATTTAACGCTGTACGAGATTTAAAGGTATGTATTTAGGCCATGAGTAAACAAAATATTCTGCTTCTCAGAAACTGTAGTGGCACTTAAAAGTGCTGGCCACATGACCCAAATTTATCATATGCTCACATTTCTGTATGTACGCATTATATCGTTGCCCCTGTCCATTTGTCTGTATGTGAACAATTGGCTTGTTAACACTTATCGATTTTCTGCAATCTACAACCTTCCGTTTATGAGTCCCCCCCCTCCCCCTTTTCCGTAATATAGACTAGAAACTTGTTGGGTTGTGTTGTATATAATCACTTTTTTGATACTTTCCCAAAAGCAGTAATCATAATTTGGTTTACTTGTATGCAACTTTCATCTAAACCTTAAGGGATGTGATGAAAATGGACTTAATTTAGATGATGTCGTAATGAATGTTCGGAATAGTTATTTTAAAATTTAATTTCTATATTTCAGCCATCAGTACGTGAAGCAGCAGTGTCAGCTCTTCAAGCTGCTTTAGCTGTTACATCACAGAGAGAAACTAAAGAAACACAAAGATCACAATGGTATAAGGTAAGAAAAAAATGCTTTAAATGATTTGATGGATTTTGAATCCCTTGCAATTTCAACATTAAATGTCCTATTCACATGCTATAAACAAGCCATCTATTAGTGTTGAGATATTGTATGCAGCTGATATTTTGATTATGTTTTCTTAATTAAATATTAAATAATTAATTTGAGTACATTTTAACGTAGTTTTAGCTGTGCTCAATAAGATTTTGTAAGATTCATTGAAATTTAATTTGTTAATGTGGTTCATAGTTCAGAATTTCACCATTTATTACAATTTACAGATATGATTATAATTTTTTTTTTTAAACCAATAATCTTATTCCTGGATTTACAGGACTGCATATGATCACTAAAGTATAAAAGTTTGTGCACGGATTTATTGGCGAAAAATAGTACTTTTGAGTTTTGCTGAAGATATGCCTTTATGGGGCCATTAAATTGCATCTGCGGGCCCATTTGGGAAGGCCTGCAGCCTCCCTCTCCCCCTGCCTAATAGGCTAATACGCCTGTGGTTTTATTTAGATACTAGTACCAATTGTGACTGATTTTAGCAACATTAATTTGTCCACAGCTGATAGAATCAGTGATTTAATTGAAATATGTTTATTTATAGCAATGTTATGATGAATCACAGAAAGTAGCAGATGATGCTTTACTGAGAGAAAGAAAAATGACTAAAGATGATTGGATGCATGGATCATTGTTGATTATCAATGAATTATTACGATGCAGTAATGTAGAAGGAGAGGTATGCTTTAACTAGAACACCTTTCTCTTTAATTAATTTGATGAACGATCTTCAAGAGAAATTCTAACCACAATCTTTGTACTTTCATAAATTCATTGGAAAACCATGGTGTGATTTCTTCTCTTGAAGAAAGATAAATGGCCATCTTGCATGAGATAATATTAAATCACTGGCCTCATTTGTCCCTGTTCAGTGCTAAAATTCAGACTTTGGATTAGCTTTGACATTAGGCTTTAGTGTTAGTATTTGGTGTATTGGTTTTATACTAGCACATTAAATAAGGATGTACATTGTCACCAATTCAGTGGATTTTTTTATTGGTTGTGTTGTTGGACATAGCACAAATACATAAAAAATAAATTATCGATTTCATAACTTTTATATTTTTCATCTTATTTTAATCATACTTTGGAATTTGGAATTTGGAATTTGGATATGTTCATCAATTTGTTTGCTGAATTATTCCCCTCTCCTTCATGGAAATATCAGAAATGTCTTGAAGGATTACAGCCCTTAGGGCCTTAGTATATATTTAAATCTTATAAAACCTCATCTAGTTGAGCAGGTTTTATGCATTGTCTTTTAGATATTTTTTTGATAATTGTATAAAATTTATGGTATGATCTGTATTTAATTTTCCAACAGAGATTACGTCTAGAGATGGAAGATATAACAGCTCAACAGAATATACATGAAAAACATGTTAAGGTTCGTTACACAGTAATATTTTAGATTTGACTATTTGGCCTTTTCACTGACATGGAAATGTTTATTCACATTAAACACAGCTTGGTAATGTTACTTGCTATCTGGGGGGTTGGATGGCTGAATGGTTAGCGTGCGTGCGCTGTATCATAAAGTCTGTCATTGAGTCGACTGGTGTGGTTTCGAATCCCCGGTTGTACGTGACAAGGAGTAGGGTCGCCTGTCCAACCTCGTGGGTTTTCTCCGGGTCCTCCGGTTTCCTCCCACTGCTAAAAGACCCCTACGCGCAAGCGAGTTGTTGAAATAAAATTAAACCATATGTTAGTCCTGAAATGACCTAGTTTGTGTCGAGTGGAAGTTAAACCCCATTTCTCTCTCTCTCTACTTGCTATCTCTCATTTTGAAAAACAGTGTATACATGAAGGCACACTTTTGTTCTGTAATATTAAATCTATAACATTTTCACACTTTTGTAACAGACTAATATTAGCTATAGTCAAAGAGGAGACTGTACTTGACTGATCAAGGCTAAATGAGCGATTAGAAAATTATTTTTACCTTAAATGGAGTCAATATATAAATGTAATTCTATCATTAATATTGTTATAGGAATTCTCAACCAAGTCAAAAACTCATGGAGGTCTTAGCTCTTTTCATCAGATACAACATAAGTCTCGAGCCTTGATGATGATGATGGGAGGAGGCTCGTACAGAATTCTACAGAATACACCACACTTCTTTGAAAGTAAAACCTGTAAAATGTTGATGACTAATAACTTTGATAAGGTATAATATTCTAGATTGTTATACAACACAGTGTGCAAGAACTGAGCAAGATTAGTGTTTTTACTGAATGTTAGCATAATTTAATGTGTAACAGCTGGGTCAAGTGGACCAAATTCTAAGAAAGTTTTCGGGTCTCAGAATATTATGAAAAAAATAAATGTTATAGTACATACAAACTGTAAATTTATGCGACTTTAGCATTAATATTGACTGAGATATGGCCTTTTGAATCAGGGTGCTCATTTGCATGCTTTGAAACTACTATTCTGTGACTCGATTTTTGTGTTCTGGTTTTATTCCTTCTAGTTAGATAATATTTTTCAAATTTGGGGATTTGGAAGAACTTTTCATGTAGATTAATAATCCTCCCCTCAGATTTTCTGAACAAGTACTGTTAACTATACATGGTGTGCATTAGTGTCAAAAATCATTACTTGTGAGAAAGAAATCAATATTTTGAAACAGTATAGAAACTTTACTACAGTATATTTGAGGTTGTTACTTGTCGACAGTACTTATTTCGAACATCTGATGGAGGATTATTAATCTACATAAAAAGGATCTAGATCTTTAATGGATCTTTATGACCTCAGTATACTTCATTTGAAAATATATTTTCATGTTTTCGAAATATACAAATCAACAATTCAGATGAAAATGATTTTCAAATACAATTACATTTTTTTAATTTTTTTTTTTTATTTCTACATGTAGGTGTGTAATTTAGTGTTAAGACATCGAGGTAGCAGAAGTGGTTTTATACAAAATACTATGTTGATGGTATTACCAAGATTAGCTTCCTTTAATCCACAAGTCTTTTCTAGAATGTAAGTAACAAGGCTCTCCTTTCAGTAATATTTATTTGTCTTAACTGACTGCTGACTGGCAATGAAATATACCTGCTGGAGAACTTAACTGTCAGTCAATTTACTTGCCATAAAAGCATTTAATAATATACATAGAAATGTATATAGAAATTGGGATAATGCTTAAAATAGTCACATTGTTTGGAAAAATATCTTGCTAATAAGAGTTATTGAGTATGATTGGCAATATTTTTAAATTGATAGTCCTATTCCGTAAGTAATATATACGGTACCATCTTTTTTAATTTGTTATATCATTCTTGAATATTGGTAAATACTATTTTCCTGGATTTTGTGTCAGATCTTCTCCATACACCACAGTTTTAACAATCGACAAACTGAAGAACAAAAAACAGCATGCCTAAAATATAATTCCACAAGTATTTCACTTAAAGGAGCTAAATCGCTAATATTTGGGACCTAAAAATTGACCCAAATGGGTCGAAACACATATAATAATGTAATCTGATTGTATATAAACTGATTTACATTCAATTGTTTCCGTTTTGACTCTAATTTCAAATCAGTTATGTCCAGCAAAATACAGCATGTGTCTCAACCCTGTAGCAATTTCTAGCGTCTGGTTATTCCAGTCTATTAAGCAGGCTCTCCAGTTGAATATGTCTAGCCTCGTTCTTTTTGGTCACTTGTTGCAAATGACGCTAAAACGTACTATGGTACACGATTTGTGTACCAGTGGTAAAATGTTTATTTTGTCTTAAATATTGGATATCAGAAGCCTGCCTTTTCCTGGTAATTCGTATTTTCAACGTGTAAGACTTTGGATGATATTGAGTTACAGACTTAGCTACTTTAATTACAATACAGAATTTAGAAAATCTTATGGACATATTTGTGCCATATATCTCTAATCAAAAATGGTAGATTTTAGCCAAATGGTCCTGTTTAAATTGATTTTCTTTTTTTTAACTAGATATTTGGTGGATACTATTAACTTTTTATTGTTGATATTAAAAAGAGAGAAAGATAGAACACATGCATTTCAGGCCATTGGTTTATTGGGTATTGCAGTACAGGAAGAAATATTCCGTTTACTGCCTAGAATTATGGAGGTTATAAGAACATCTTTACCACCAAAAGATCTATCAGCAAAGTAATGTCTAGATTTATATTAATCACTTTTCAAAGCTCCTTTATTGATGTCTGCATAGAACTTCATAAATGTAGATTAATTTCCAATGATAAAGAATTATTAAAATTTGAAGTCATCTTTAGAGGGTTCTGCTATAAAGTTTCAGAGGTGGAAATTATACGTTAATCAACAGACATCATACTTTTTGTCTTTCAGAAAACATCGTAACTTCACTGTCGATCCAGCTGTATTTACTTGTATAAGTATGTTAGCTAAAGCTGTAGGACCGAACATGACTCGTGATGTACGAGATCTCTTAGACTCTATGCTAGCTACTGGTCTCAGGTAGGTTTTTTGTGTATGAACTTCTTTCCATTAATTTTCATTCTCATTTAACTTAAGCATCACCTATAGGTTGGATCAAAAAACATTGGTTAGGATCTGATAGAAAACTGAGGTTTACATTTTGGCAAACCGGTAACGGTGCCTTTGACTGCTAGAAGTAAAAGACGAATGCATGGAAATTAAGCTGTGTGGGCAAATGTGTCCAACCTTGGCAACGAATATATAACCATATATGGCCATGGTAATTGATGAAACAGATATTATTCCCCATCATTTTCTGTTTAAAATCCTGTTATTTTCTGTTGTAGTCCAGCTTTAACTGCTGCATTACGTGATTTAGCGATGCAGATACCCCAGTTAAAGAAAGAAATACAGGATGGTTTATTAAAGAATTTATCATTGATATTAATGGGTAGACCTTTAAAACATCCTGGTGCACCTCGTACACCAACATCAACATTGCCTCCAACAGGTTGGTTCAAGTTAATATCATTTTAGTCTTGATAGTTTAGAAATATGCCCATGAAAATGAGAACAATTTGGAAGACCATGATCTGCATTTATTTTTGTGTTTTCATTTTGTCAAAAGATTTTGTAGCTAAATTATATATCACAAACATCCGATTTCAAGACTAGGTGTCTGTTATTCATTCTGTTACCAGGCATTCATTTTGTTATTGTCTAAGATTTATCTTTATATATTTTTAGCATCTGGTGCTATTCTACCAGAGTCTCATGATGTTACAGGAATAACTCTGGCTTTAAGAACTCTTGGTAGTTTTGATTTTGAAGGTTTGTTATAGATTTTTAGTTCTTCCGTTAACAAAATGGGGGAGGCAAAGAAATGACTTGACTGTTACCAGTGTTAAGCTCTTGGCTATCTGATAATTCTTTTAAAATATCGTCTGTAATGGTGAGACAATTTAATCAGTTAACAACTCTAGATTATATAGGGGGGTTGGATGGCCTAATGGTTAGCGTGTGCCCGCTGCATCATAAGGTCTGTCATTGAGTCAACTGGCATGGTTTCAATTCCCCAGTTGTACATGCCAAGGTGTAGGATCACCTGTCCAACCTCATGGGTTTTCTCCAGGTCTTCCGGTATCCTCCCACTGCTAAAGACCCTTACACGCAAAAGAATCATCGTAATAAAATTAGACCATATGTTAGTCCCGAAATGACCTAGTTTGTATCAAGTGGGCGTTAAACCCCATTTCTCTCTTTCTTTCTCTCTAGATTATATATGCAGTTATGCACCTTAGTAAACTCTGTTCTGTTGATCTAAAGGGTAGTATTGAATCACAATAACTGTTTGACAACTTAAGTGAAGGCTTTGATTGTGCAAATGATGGAAACTACATTATTTAGTCGTTTTCCAAACTGTAATTGCCATTCCTCAGGATTTCAAGCTCACTATTAAAAGCTAATGTATGAAATATATTGATTATTTTCTTCAGGTCATTCTTTAACTCAGTTTGTACGTCATTGTGCAGATCAGTATCTATCAAGCGAACATAAAGAAATTAGAATGGAGGCTGTACAAACATGTGCTAGACTTTTAACACCATTATTAAAAGTATGTAATCTATTTATTGGCCATCCTTTTACCCATTATTAATGTTATAAAGCCCTGTTAATCATTCTTTGAAATAGTGTGCTCCTTTCACAAATGAAATATTGGCAACACAATCCAGGCACAAAGTTTCTATGTTTGTATTTTGATTTTAGCTATTGTCAACAAATCAAGAACAAGTTAGTATGGCCGCCATGACAACAGTAGCAGACGTATTAAATAAACTTTTGGTGGTTGGGATAACTGATTCAGGTAGGTTCTCCTTTTAGGTTGATCATCGATACTGATAAAATTCTATATGACTGATGTTCTTAATACTACTCTGATTCAATATGTCATCCAAAATTATCATATTGTTTAATAAATTTAGAATTTAACATCTTGATAAAGTCATAGATATATTTATGATGTATGATCTATACTATTTAAATGGTATGTTGTTTCTGTGTTTAGATTCAGATATTCGGTTGTGTGTACTGGATTCTTTAGATGAAAGATTTGATCCCCACTTGGCTCAAGCTGAGAATTTAAGTGCTTTGTTTGTTGCGTTAAATGATGAAGCTTTTGAGATTCGTGAGCGAGCTATTTGTATGATTGGTAGATTAAGTTGCAAGAATCCAGCCTATGTGATGCCTTCTCTTAGGAAAGTCTTAATACAGGTAGGATTTAGGGTTAAGACAATACTTTAAATCATACTTTAAAAATCCAAAATATATTTGAAAGAATTACTACATTCCACATTCCAATGTGATTACCAGATGCTTGTTTGATGAGAACCTTCAATATCAGTAATGAGGCAGATTATATTTGTAAATAAACATTGGCGAAAACAATGGTTGATTGTATGATTTATTTTTGATGATCGGCTTGCAGTCAGCCAGTGATTGTTGCATTTAGAATGTGAGCGTACTTTGAATTAGTTGAGCAATGAATTATTTTTATGTTATATAACTATGCCATTGTTTCGTGTGTATTTTCATTAGCTGTCTTTGCTATGTTTTCAACCAAATCTGGATTTTACATTAATATGTTTCATTAAAACTCTTGATGTAGTAACTGATTTATTATAAATAAGCTATGATTTTATTGATGTTATAACTGATTTAATATAAACTATTATTATTTTTATTTAATAACTCGAATCCCCGGTTGTACGTGGCAAGGAGTAGGGTCGCCTGTCCAACCTCGTGGGTTTTCTCCGGGTCCTCCAGTTTCCTCCCACTGCTAAAGACCCCTACGCGCAAGCGAATTATGTAAATAAAAATTTAAAAAAACATATGTTAGTCCCGAAATGACCTAGTTTGTGTCGAGTGGGCGTTAAACCCCATTTCTCTTTCTCTCTTATTTAATAACTAATTTGATATTAATGATAATTTTGTTGATAATAAAGATTTGATATTTTAGATATTAACAGAATTAGAATATAGTGGTATTGGTCGGAATAAAGAGCAAGCTGCCAGATTGTTAGGTCATCTTGTAGCTAATGCTGCTCGTCTCATACGACCTTATATGGAACCTATATTAAAGGTAAGAAAAAATTATTTGCTGATTGACTTATTCACGTGTGTTGTTGATTATAACAAAATTATTTTATGCAAGAATTGCTTTAAAGATTTGAAAATGATGTTTCTATATGGTTTGTTACAGGTTTTGATACCTAAACTGAAAAATCCAGATCCAAATCCTAATGTAACTATTAGTGTTTTAGCCGCTATAGGTGAACAAGCTCTGGTAAGTTCAAAATGTTAGTTCTTTTAATCAACTGGATGATATATATGAATTCCATAAAGTTGTGTAAGCCATAGTGTGTTGATGGGTATTGTGCTGGTTCATGGAGCCAACACCGAGACAGTTCCTTGCGATTTTTTAGTCTGGTTTCCCCTTTTCAGTGGTTCAGGACAGAGGTTCTTGCAAGGAAAATCTGAGGTCCTGTTTATTCCATTAGATCCCTTTTCCTTGGTGTATACCCATCCTCATTATCCCAGTAGGTGATTAAAAGTAGATGGTTAAATCCCATTTAATCCATATGATTTTTGATGAATAATTTTAAAATCTTTAATACAGTTGAAATTCTTTTTAATCAACATAGAAATTAAATTGGTTGATCTAATATATTTATTGAAGTTCGAGGCTTTCTGTGTTTTCTAGGTCAGCGGTACAGAAATGAGAAAATGGATGGATGAACTTCTACCAATAATTCTAGAAATGCTACAAGATTCTTCATCTATTGAAAAACGGGAGGTAAACGTTTAGCTTTATTCATTGAACTGACTTTGTATCAGGGCTCTCCTTTCAGTCTGACTGACAATGAAATTGACTGGCTAGAAAATTGACTTGTCATTCAATTTAGATGCCATAGAATTTCAAAAAGTTTAACCTTAACAAACCACACACTATAAATATATATAACTTATAGTAAAAATTGTCATATTCTCTGTAAAAAGTATCTTGCTGATTCAACGTAAACAAAATGCATCAAATAAACTTTTAAATTTTGCCAGTTTTCTCTCAAAAAATCAAAATGTAAACCAATAAATCAAGTACAAACAAAGTTTAATAGTTTACTTCTCTAGTGCTAAATTGTTTGTAATAGATTGTTTATCACTTGGCTTTTTCAGATATCATTATGGACATTGGGTCAATTGGTTGAGAGTACAGGCTGTGTTGTGGTACCTTACCAGAAATATCCTACATTATTAGAAGTCTTGCTTCACTTTCTAAAAACAGAACAGACACCAGGAATAAGGCGGGAGGTAAATCTTAAAAATCATTTGTAGATTAGAGTAGTCATCTAGAGAAAGGATTAAAAAACAAAATTCCAACCTGCTTAAGAATAATGCCTCCTTTGATATTGCTGTTGATAAAATTCATTTGAATACTCTGTCTGGTATATATTTGAAAATAGATTCATTAAAATCAGGTTAAGAATAACTAACTGATCATTTTATAACTCTTACTGTATTTGTTGTTTTTTGTTTAGGTTATTAGGGTATTGGGGTTAATAGGAGCATTAGATCCACATAAACATAAGATGAATATTGGTTTAATATCGGAACGAGAATCGGCCATCAGTAAATCAGATCATAAAAACAGTGGAGATGCCAACCAAAATGGTAATAGTTAGTTATATTGTTATTAATCTTTCTAAATCAATCACTGAAAAGATTATCTATTAAAAAAACAAGAATTTACTTTACATGATGTCCATTCAAATAGTTTTTAAAAGATAAAGCATTCTATACGCAACACTGCCTTTTGCTTCAGTATAAGTTTCACATATTGATTTTGATGTTAAGCATTATTCTTTTGTTTTATAAAATGAAACTTAAGTTTTATTTTAAAATGTGTATTATGAAAAGAAAGAGAGCAACATAAAACCTTGTAACAAAATATATGTTTTTCGTTACTGAAAAACCTAGGTTTTTTTTATGTTATTGAGAAACTGGGTTTGGGTGAATTAAATATGTCTATGTGTACTTAAATTAATTTATTTTGAATTTTTGTAGATTTGAATACTAGTGAAATGTTGGCGAGTATGAGTGCTACAGCAACATTAGAGGAATTTTACCCAGCTATAACTATTGCTAATTTGATGAAAATTATACGAGAGCCATCTTTATCGCAGCACCACACGATGGTTGTTCAAGCCATAACGTTTATATTTAAAACATTACGTATAAAATGTGTACCATATATACAACAAGTTATACCTGCATATCTTACTGTTATACATATTACAGATCCAAGTTTCAGAGAGGTAAATATCTGGTTATTTTATGGACTAATTGACATATTAAATTAAGAATTTGTTTTGTAGAGAGGTGGACAAAAAGTACAATATGTATGACTTGTCACATGATTACTAATAACATCTTATTCAACAAAGCGGAGATAGAAACCTGATTAGTGTTTCAAAATCTGAAAAATAAATTGTAATATAATTTTAGTTATATTTTTGGTGTTTTATTTAACCAGTTTATGATAGTTGAGATTTTTGTGACTGTCTATTTTTTATGTTTTATCTACTTTGTTTTTTATTTCAGTATTTGTTTCAACAGTTGGGAGTTATTATATCGGTTGTCAAACAACATATAAAACACTATCTAGAAGATATATTTGATATAGTCAAGGTGGGTTCATTTATAACCTGAGTTACACAGGGGCAATCATATATTCAATTCATGTGCTTAATGGGTATATATTTCTTAGTGAATACACTATGCTAGAGCATGCACATTTTATGAAGGCTATCTAGCTAGGGAATATTACTGAGATATGGATATTTTTTAACACTAAACTGCAAGTATAAAATGTCTGTGCCTTTTATCATGTGAACTATGTCGCAGACCGACATTTCATAATAAAGGAAGTAAATTTCCCGGACATGTCCATGTACTATTGGACTAATTTATTGCTTTGTTTTTATGGGACGTTGAATTTGGACATCCTTTTGGAGCATTTGTACTATATTTTAATTATAAGTAACATAATCAGTGTTATAAAATCTGAACATCTGTCTAATTTCCTGGTAAATTAAATTGGTTTTTGATATATGTACAATTCTAAAATGTGCTATGCAAGTTTTTGAGGAATTGTTTTTCTGTAGAAAAAGGCTTTTACAGTAATTCAAGAGGTTTTTGAAAATCCTTATTATTTTCAGGAATTTTGGACACCTACTAGTCCTATGCAGAGTACTATAATACGTCTTATAGAACATATAGTAGAAGCATTGGGTACAGAGTTCCGTGTTTATTTACCACAGATTATACCACAGATATTACGTGTATTTATGCATGATAATAGCTCTGATAGAGGTGTAACAGCAGAGGTAAAGAATTCATTATCATCATCATACAACAGTCTTTTGTCAATAATACGGTGCTGGGGGGATATTTAGGTTTTTCGATGAAAACCAAGATATAAAAAATATCCTTTGTAGATTAACATTTAATAAACAATATATAATGGTGTTCCATTCGCCTTTTATCTGATAATAAAACCTTCCATGATAATTCAATGCAATAAATTTTGTTTTAAGTCTCATTTATAAAGGCAAGGCGATTAAAAAGCTAAATAACAGAAAAGGTAGCAATTTTAAGAAATTTTAAAAAAGCTTAAACTGTTCAGTATTAAACTTTTGTCGAAAATTGTCATTATATTATCCCCAAAAATTAAAAAATAAATTATTGTATTTCAGTTATTAAATGCTCTACAGTTATTTGGTGCTAATTTAGATGATTATTTACATCTGTTGCTGCCACCAGTAGTTAAATTATTTGATTCGCCAGATATACCTCTCACTGTTCGCAAGTATGTAGATATAGAATTCCATGTATTTATTTTCAATGGTATCATTATGTGCACAGTGGTGTACAACATTGTACTATCAATTTTTAGATTTCTCATTGCACTAAAAGATCCTATGGAAGTTGAAATTTGAAGAGTAGTCAGAAAGGCCACTGTCTCTGCGAAATTTTTCTTCACATGAAACAGAAAGCACACAGTTGGCCACCCAAGCCCAAAGTGTTTAAGACATTCAATAAATCTGAATTATTTTCAGGTACATACATTTACTTCAAAGAAATAATAGTCGTATGTGAATTTGAAACAAAATGTAACTTTAGATTTCATGCATCTTGTGATAATTAGCACTAGCATTTATTATTTCTATAAAGTTGTTACTTGTAGAGTATTGTTAAGATATTTATTAATAATTTTATTTTCAGACTTGCCCTAGAGACCATTGATAGATTAACAGATAGTTTGGATTTAACAGATTATGCATCTAAATTAATCCATCCTCTAGCTCGTACAATAGATTCTACACCACAGCTACAGAATACAGCTATGAATACTATGTGTGCTCTGGTCGTACAGCTGGGACATAAGTTTATGATATTTGTACCCATGATGAATAAAGTGCTGGCTAAAAACAAAATCTCTCATCAGAAATACACAGTTTTAATGACCAAACTATTACGGGTAGGTTTTCATTACATATTATTTTGTCTCCAGGCTCAGTATTGCACACCTGTAAATTGCATGTAAATTTTTCTTAACATCGACCCAGTCTGTATAATTTATTAGTTCTGGAAACTGAGATACAAAATTTAAAAGTGCAGGAGAAAACATTTCACCTATTGGCATTGCCCTCAAGTTATTGCTATTATTTAGTCTATTTGAGGGTACAGGTAGATTATATGAGGTTGTTTTGAGTCAGTCGAGCTATGTGAGAATACAGGTAGATGAGTAGGTTTTGTGTCAATCAAGCTATGTGAGAATACAGGTAGATGAGGAGGTTTTGTGTCAATCAAGCTATGTGAGAATACAGGTAGATGAAATGAGGAGGTTTTGTGTCAATCAAGCTATGTGAGAATACAGGTGAATTTGTGTCAGTCAGGCAATCTGAGAATAGCACAAAAGATAAAATCTTGGCAATTAATATAGCCCATAACTGAAATTAATTATTATTGTCATTTAGGTAGACTGTTGTTATGGACGCTTGCTAGTAACCCATTGTTCGAAAAAAGAAAATGATTTTAAGATGAGATTTACAGACTCATGGGCAGAGATTTGATAAATATAAATATTTGTATTCTAGGGAACAACAATAGCAGATGAAGATTTAGATATTCATTCGGCAAAACATCGTAAAAACCGTAGTAAAAATAGTAAATTACCTGAAAGTACTGCCAATGATACAGCTAGTATCAAGAAGATGAGTGTTAAGTTTGATCATTTACAGAAGGTAAGTGCTTGGTGCTTTGTCTTCTTTTATGTTGTTTCAGTTTTGCTATTGGAACTATTCTGTTAAAATACAGCAGGTTACAGTCTAACTAATTAAAAAATACCTAGAACAAACTATACATGAATACAGGGCAAACAATCCACAGTTAATTCAAAACAAAACATGCTCTAATATTGAAATAGGCCAAGGATATTGTGTTAATTTCTTTTTATGGTCGGGACCTTATCAGGAAATCTTAAACTAAACTACATGTATTTGAGAATAATGATTCTTCATTGGCTGAGCACTAAAACCAAAGCACAAATTTAGCTCTTGACCAGTGAAGAGGCTGTATTCTTAAAATATTCTAGTGTCAGTTTTCTTGAATGTGGCTCAAACAAATTTGTCTTATGTATGTGTATTTTTATAGGCGCTAGTTGCTGGTAGACGTGTATCTAAAGAAGATTGGATGGAATGGTTAAGGAAACTGAGTATTGCCTTATTAAAAGAGTCTTCATCTCCAGCACTGAGATCATGTTGGGCTCTGGCACAAACTTATAATCCTTTAGCTAGGTAGGTATTGTTGGAGGGTGGGGGGGGGGGGCGGCTTAAGCCTCTAGTTGTATATAGTTGTTCTTTGGGCTGTTACCAATGTGTTTGTGATAGGGTTGGCTCACACTGCTGTAATATGGTTCTGATCCAAAGTCCTTGAATCTTGAATTTCTTTATTTTTTAACATAGAGCATCAGCTGAAAATATTGCTTTAGTTATACACTAGATATCTTATTGACATTGTTAAAGATACATTATGGGAGATTTTTATAGAGAGTTGGCCATTCTTGCTATAACAGTTCAAAAGTAGATGATGAAAGAAGAATATATTGAAAAATTCAGTCAAATTACTTTATTCTGAACATAGTTATCATCGTTGTAATATTTGCCTAGAAATGGTAGCGAATTGTGTCTTCACCTTCGCTGATCGTTTGATTGACAGGCGTTAACTCCACCTACATATCTCGATTATCAAGTAAAGTTTTTAATGGCATACGGAAACGCTTTACAGCGGCCTCGCTAAGTACACTCTATCATTTAGCCTCGATCTAACAGACGTATTTTCATCAGGTTACCCCTTATCTGATTTAATCAATTAGTGAAATCCTATTTAAATCCGAGCTGTAGCCGAGCCATCCGTGGGTCTACAGAGTTGATTTTGGTCTTGTTGTTTAAATAATTTATAATTTCTATAACATCTGAAGCCTAAATTAAGACTTGCAATAATCAGATTTAGCTCTTGCATAATGCATGTTTAAGTTCTGATAAAAAAAATCTGAAAGAAATTTAAAGTTGTCAATTGATTTTGTACAGCGTTACTGCCATCCATCACTGAAATCATATAAACATTGTAAAGGTCAGAATTTTTGAGATCAAACATTCTGTGAGGAACCCCCTATTGAGTCATGCAAACAGAACCTTGAATGTGATTTATTAATCAAAATTTTGGCATTATTTTTTCTCGTTTCGAAATTCAGAGTTGCTCTCAATGTTGTACAAAGTTATGGCCCTTATTATTTAATACTGGAAAGCCACCCTTCTACTGTTGGTTGTATATTTTTAGGCTTACAAACAGAACTTCACTTTGAAAACACAAAAAAATGAAATTGATGATATATTGTGATACGTACCTAGCACTAAAATTTATGGAATGATTATTTTTTGCAAATGTAAGGTAATACATATAAAATGTATCTATTTTACAGAGATTTATTTAATGCAGCGTTTGTATCTTGTTGGACTGAATTAACAGAAATGCAACAAGATGAGTTGATTAAAAGTTTAGAACAAGCTTTAACATCACAAGAAATAACTGAAATAACCCAGACATTACTAAATCTAGCCGAGTTTATGGAACACTGTGATAAGGTAACCTCTCTTTTATATATCAATTATTAGTTAAAAAATTTATAATCATTGACTTGAAATTAATACCCAGTGATTATATTCATGATGCCTAGAAGTCTACTGATTTTCAACAATTTCTGATAATTACTGTCAAGAGTTATGGCCCTTTATGACATAAGAAATTCTTGTGGAGGCTCTCGAGTAGAGGCATTGAATTTATACGCAGTGTTTATGTTTATGAGACAAAAGAAGGCTATTGAATTTCAGAGATTTCTGATAATTACTGCCGAGTGTTATGGTCCTTTATAACATAGAAATGCTCCCATTACCTACAAAACAATAAAATGTAAGGTCCTTTATGGACTACTTGAACGACTTGGCTGTTTTGTTGCCTAGCAATCTATCTTTTTTTTGTATTTACCAGGGCCCACTACCATTAGATAGTAGTGTATTAGGTGATAGAGCTATGACCTGCAGAGCTTATGCCAAAGCTTTACATTATAAAGAAGAACAATTCCATGATAAAGAGGAAAAAACAGAAATATTGGAGGCTCTCATCAGGTAAAGTATTTAAAAATATTAGTAGTGGTAGTAATAGGTCTATATAAAACTCTAAATCCATAAAATGTGCTTATGGTACATAAAACACTATTTGTTTAATGATATAATTGATGCAGTCAGATTTGAATTGATTGAGTGTTGGACTTAATGTGGAGCTAAGAAGTTTGTTCATAACTGCCTAGATGTTTTCTAACTAATCTGTGAATCGTGAAGTGAAAGCTGATTGTTATCATTATCGGCTTATACATGTAGTGGGTGGGGCCTTATAAAGCAAGAAGCGTTTAGGAGTTGGCTTATATTTTACCACTGGCTTTAGAAATAGTCGTAAAATTCTCAACGAAGACGAATTGTCATCACCCCCAAAACTATAAAAATTTCCATGCAGTTGAGTATTTTATTTTTGAACCAAATCAAACTAATTTATTAAGATTAAGTTGTACATATGGATAATATTCTTTTTTCTATTATATTTTGATAATCAATAATGATATATATAAATATTTTCAGTATAAACAATAAATTACAACAATCTGAAGCAGCAGCTGGTGTGTTAGGATATGCTATGAAACAACCTAATAATGACTTGGTATGTATACATTTATTTGTCCCTGTCCGGAACTTTTAACATATTTGGTTGTAGTTTGATACACTGCTCTATATAGAAAAGTTACAGATCAGTTTCATGTTTCGTAGGATTCTGTTGATTTTTCTCTAAATTATGAATTTTTGTTTAAGATAATTGATTGAAGGTTGGCACTGAATGTCCCATAGTTGAATCCTAGAATTTGATGAACAATCATTGTCCATACAAAATTCTTCTCTCTAGTACTGCATTTAACCAAACTCTGTTCTTTTTCTCTCCAAATATGTTGATGGAACATTGAAAACCCTGATTTGTTTGTTATTTGTAGAAAGTGCGAGAAAATTGGTATGAAAAGTTACATGAATGGGATCGAGCTTTAAAAGCATATGAACAGAAGTTAGAACATCAACCAGATGATGTTGGTATATTATTGGGTAGAATGAGATGTCTAGAAGCTCTAGGAGAATGGTATATATTTTATATTCTCATCTTTTAGTCCCGAAATGACCTAGTTTGTATCATGGACATTAAACCACATTTCTCTATTCTCATCATAAAATTAAAATTTACCCCACTCAATTTGATTAAAGTGAGAAGCCAGAAGCCCATTAAACTTATTTTAGATAACATTATATGATTTATAGACAAAACAGCATTAAACCACCACATATCAAAATTTTTGTCAAAACGGGAAGGTGAAAACAGCAGTAATTTTTAATGAAAACAGCATAAATTGGTCATAATCATAATATAGGTCTAATGTTTTGCAAGGTTGCTGAATCTTTGATTCAGAAACAAAACAAGTTCTGAGGGGGATTAGGTGGCTTTAGATCATATTGTCTGTCATTGGGTCAGGTGGCATTGTTTCGAATCCCTACAATGAGTAAGGACGTCTGTCTGTTATTGAAATAAAATTGAACCATATACTGTTCCCGAAATGACCTAGTTTGTGTGGTACATGTTGACCCCATTTCACTCTCTCTATCATGTTCTGAGTAATGATCAGTAGATACATTGGCACAGCATAGAATTGAAAAAGTCCTTTTTCATACAAAATACATTTAGTCATAAAATATAACTTTATGATAAACAATAAGTGTATGTTCTTGATGTTTTTCTTTATTGTAACTTTGCTATTTTCAGGGGTCAGCTACATACCTTAGCATGTGACAAATGGGCAACAGCTAATGATAAATCTCGAACCAAGATGGCCAGGATGGCGTCTGCCTCTGCTTGGGGTCTAGGTAACAGCTTCTTATAGTATTCTTGTTGTATATACAACAGTTTCAAAGTATATATTTCTCATAGCTGCCATTTTGATATATCTGGGTATGAAAAAACTATCCAGGATTTTTCCAGTCAAGTTTCCAATGGTGAAGAATGGCAGCTGGGGAGTTGACCAAGAAAGTATCTCTTAAAGTTTGGATGGGACAAAAACCAAGATCCATCTACAAATTAGCAGTGGGAATTCAAATAAGAGTAGACAAAAATAATTTCACCTTGCAACTGGAATCACAGAAATAATCTCAAAATATGTATCATTTGTTTGTTTTTAGTGTTTGGGTTTTATGGGTCAATGTTATCTATAGGTGAAAGTTAATTATGTTAAATTGTTATATGTATTTTACAGGTCATTGGGATAGTATGGAACAATATATGTGTTTAATACCCAGAACAAGTTATGATGGTGCTTTCTATAGAGCTGTGTTTGCTTTACATTCAGATAATTTTATGTTAGCTCAACAGGTATTACTATTCAAATCATAAATTCTCTGAGATATTATTGATATGGACTCTCTTTGCCCGTCCTTCATCCTACTTTGTTCCTGGAACTTAGCCCATGTTCTGTATATGAAATCTTTATGAAATTTTGTACACACATAAACCTATTATAGTTTGTCCGTTTTGCTAATTAGTAATTTCTCAGATTTATGTTTCCCAGAAACAAATTTGACTGAATGTTTGGAATACAATTATTTTTCAAGAGCATATCTCATAAACTGTTCAGGAAGTCTTTATAAAACTTTGTACAAACATCAACCTATTATAGTAGTATTACTACCATCAATGTTTTTGCACACCCTTATTTATAAACACAATGAAATTTTTGTCCACATATTTATTATAGTACACAGACATTGAAAATACTTCATGCAAGAGCTAAATCTGTCTATTATAGGTCTTTCTTTAGGCCTGAAATGTTATATAAATTAATAATTAGACATTTATTAACATGAAAAGACCTTAATCAACTCTTGATTCCATCTTATTTGTCGGATTTTCACTGAATTTGAATCCGCTTTGCTGCTCAATGCTCATTGATGATTTAATCCAAAAATGGATAATCAAGACTATGTTGTTTATCATACCGACTTTAGTAATGATGATTGAGGCTAGGTCTAAAATTCAAATGCTAATATCTCGGTTCAGAGTGGAGCAATTTGACTGAAATTTTCAGCATATTCCCTTTACATTATCTAGTTTTTAACTATTATGGTGAGAACTGGGAGCTCTTTATCTAATCTCCCATAATGCTCCATTAAACATTTTTGAACAAATGTGAACATTTCAAGATCACAGGTACCTGTAACGTGGAAAATATTTAAAAAATAACATCAATGTTCAAGATAGGCTAATACCTAAAATCTATTGGCAATACTTGATCAGATCCAGTATTTAATAATTTAATTATTATTATTTTGTGATAGTGTATAGATAAAGCTAGAGATATATTGGATACAGATTTAACAGCTATGGTAGGAGAAAGTTATAATCGAGCATATGGTGTAAGTATTGGAATTATTTATTTCTATCTCTAAACAAATGTTTGCCAGAATCTATGCACACAATGCCTTTCAATATATTATTTCACAGAGGAGTAAAGACGTGTCTGTAAATGTTCTTACTGAATTAGGGTTGCACATTGCACTGTAAATTTTGGATCTAACTGATTTGGTTGTGGTTGGGATCTCAGATTTGACTACCCTCATTGAGTTCATCTTTCTCCTGTTTTCTTCTACTGCTAATGAGCATGACTCTGATAGGCTATACAAGTAAATTATGGAGACAACCAATTCTCAGCATCTTATGCCAGATTGACCTGGATTTATTTTTAAAGCAATATTTTATTTCATTTGAAATTGGATTGGGGAACAGGTTAGTGTTATATTCATATCCTTGGATCCTGGGGTGTTACACTAAACTTGTGGGTGAAAGTGAAAAACAACCATTTACCATGTTAGAATTCCAATCTCTATCTTTATTACTCAAAAAGGCAGAAGAACTACAACATAAGGGAGACAACTTATACTTAAACATAAGGTTTCAGACCACAGCGAACTTCAACATACCACTATATGATACTAGAAATATGTTGACCCCTCTCCAGACACTAAACCCCATTTCGTTCATTCCTTCCTTTCCTTTGATCCTCTTCTTGTTTATGTCTGTATTATAATTTCTATACTACAGGCTATGGTAAATGTACAGATGTTAGCTGAATTAGAAGAAATAATACAATATAAACTGGTACCAGAAAGACGAGAGGCCATTAGATCAAACTGGTGGAATAGATTAAAGGTTAACAAGCCATTCTTTACTATATGAGAAGAATACCAGTTTTAATGTTACAGCATAGCAGTGCATTTAGAATGCATGTGATCATTCTGTAAATAATATGTCATCAGGATGAAGTACAGATCAAAATCCTGAAAGATACATTCCCTTGATGTCAAAAGTCCTAACTGTTGAATTGATTTTTACAGGGTTGTCAACAAAATGTAGAAGATTGGCAGAAAATATTGCAAGTTAGATCTCTAGTTATAACACCATCAGAAGATCGTATGACCTGGTTAAAGTATGCTAGTCTTTGTCGTAAGAGTGGTCGTCTGGTAAGTCATGTAAATTAATTTATATTATTCAAAATGAACAGTTTCGATTTTAAGATGGAATCGTGTTTTTTTAGTCGGCTATTGCTTAATGGGTCTAGGTTGGGAAGTAGTAAGAATACTGGGCTCTTCTACTAGACTTCTCCAGGTTTAAAACTAGCTGTGTGTCAAGAAGAACTGTCTGGATCTGGAAAGTGTTGTTAAGTATACATGTTAGTGTGGATTCTGTCAATTGGAATTGGATTGAAGATTATTCAGAGCCCCAGGGATAAATTGTTCTACATAATAGATAAAGCCACACCAATTTGATTTTTTGTTGAAGACCTATTAATAATTTGGCTTCCTGTTCCTTTGGAAAAAACAAAAAGTACTTGGTTGCTCTTCACGAAAGATTTTAGTTTTCAATTTTTAAGTTTGATTTTTTAAACAGAACATTGTTCACAATACTGGACTGGATATTTAATCATTAAGAGCCGAAGAACGAGATATAGAATTAGGTTGGCCTAACTATAATTGCAAAAATAAAAGTAGAATGTTAAACCTTTCATTTCCTAGCTGTAGTAAATGTTTGTCTCAGAATGACCCCAGGTAAAGTATCACCAAGATGTTAAACCATATTCCATCCTATTTCCATTGCTTGTTTTATATACAATGATGCAGATTGTAAATATACTTAATTGCTTTAATTTTATTCAGGCTTTGTCTCACAAAACTCTAGTCAACTTACTGGGAACAGATCCATCTGCTAATACGAATCAACCATTACCAACAACATATCCCCATGTTACATTTGCTTATCTTAAACATATGTGGAAAAATAATCAGAGAGTAAGTTAAAAGATTTATGTAATCGTAATGTCTTGGTGCTGGCAATGTTATTTCCTTTCAATATAAACTCTTGTGTATTTTTATACGCCCACATTTTCATGTGGACATATTATGCGTCGCCCCTGTCCGTCCGGACGTCAGTCCATAATTTGTTTGTGGACACTCCACAGGTCACAATTTTATCCGATTTTGACGAAGCTTGAAATACAGGTCTATATCCCAAAGATCTTGGTTCCTTTTGATATTGGCATGTATCGGACCATAACTTCATGGATTATGGCCCCTGATTGGTCAAAAAATCATATTTTTAGCTTGTGGACAGTCTAGAGGTTAAAATTTCCATCTGATTTTTATGAAACTTGAAATGCATGTTTATAACCCAAAGACCTTGGTTCCTTTTAATATTTGACAATATTGTATCGTAACTTCCTGAATTATGGACCCTGATTGTACGAAAAATCGTGTCTTTAGCTTGTGGTGTCTTTAGAGGTCACAATTATTATCCGATTAAAAAAAACCGTTCAAATATCTCACTGTTACACCGTAATGTCGGTTGAGTTCAAATTTCGGACCAAAATCTGACCAAAACTGCTTGTCCTTCCTACCCAAATAGTGTAAAAGTATGTAATACCAAGGTTGTGGACCCTCTAGAAGTCAGAATTTTTATCCGATTTTGATGAAGCTTAAAATATATCTATATATATCCCAAATATCGCCGTCCCTTTCGATATTTGCACATTTCAGACCATAACTTCCTGGATTATGGCCCCTGATTGTACGAAAAATCACTTTATATTTTTGCTTGTTCTCTATCCATCTCTTGCAAAATGTGGGCGTATCTTGCCTGGCAACTGCTGGTTTATCTTCTGATATATTTCCTAGTTTAGGTTTATTTCCCACTTGTGTTAACCTGAAACCACATTTTACTGGAGTCATACTTTTTGAAATACCCAGATAAATTTTGGGAGTAGATTGAAATGAAATGATTAATATACAAATACTGAATAACAAATATTATTATGTGATATTTTGTAATTTGTCGTTTTACAGAATGATGCATATGAAAAACTTCAGTTCTTCACTAGAAAATCTCTACAAGCAAAATCATTAAATATAACAGCTAATGAAAGAATCAAATTACAGGCCAAGTAAGTTTATAAGTAATTTAACTAAGAATTCAGAATTTTAGGATTCCAAATTCCTGCTAGTTATTCCATTGTTAATGTTCTATAGAATTTTTAAAATGTTATTGGCATTGCAGTAGAACCCTGTTGATTGTTCCTAATTTTTTGTGTTGCCAGAGTTATCTTTTGGTCATTTCGACTTTTAAAGCTTGACAAAGTGTCAATGATTTTAAAGCTGGTATAGCTGATGATACTGTTAATGGGCAGATTAGGGGGTCTGCCAAGCCCTTTCACTGTTTAGCATTATCTTGGCATTTAACCTCATGTTGGTATTGCACCTCTTTCTTCATTGATATAATTAATGAATTGAAATATGTGCTTATTTGTTTTGACAGATGTCATCGTCATCTAGGTGATTGGGCTAAAGATTTGATGGGTATTAATGAAGAATCTATACCCGAGATACAAGATCATTATCATCTAGCTACACAAAATGATAAAAACTGGTATAAGGTAAGCATTCACATTCAACAATAAACTTCCACTCATTGATGTCTTTATTTATCAATATATTATTCCAAATAGCATTTATTTTACTTCCATTTGCATTTTTCTTACAGTGTTTAATTGTCTTTGCTTAATCCACATTGCTTAATGTACTCAAATTGTTTGGAAAATATCTTGTTTATATTGTCTGCAGAAAATACCAAATGTTGGCAGGTTTTTTAATTCTTCATATTATCGTCATCTAATTTAATTGTATAGTTGAATCTTAAATAGTTGAAAATATTTGTGAATATATTGTTATATATTGTGTGTTGATATTTCAGGCGTGGCATGCGTGGGCGTTAATGAACTATGAGTGTGTATTATTTTATAAACAAAAAGAACAAAGTTTAGGCAACTCTGGTACCACACCTATGTCAGCTGATCCAACAGCTCTATCTAGACCTTTAATGGAACTAGTTGTATCACCTAAACCAGAATCAGTAAGTCATCTGCTCAATAGCAGTACAAAAACAGACTTAGGTTGAGGTGGGTTATTCATCTTCCCCTCATTTCTAACTAAGTCTGTTTTTGTACTGCTGTTAAGAGGGGATATTTAAATATCTATTAATGTCTACTCTCATTGTTTGATAAATGTTTGTATGTAAATCATCTGCCATTATGTGAAGAAGTATTCTGGTTTCTTTATGGAAATGATTGCCAGATATGTTTAACAGGGTGACTAATCTCGTTGTTCAGTTGTACAATTGATTGACACGGCGGCTGTTTTTTTTTTTTAAGTCATATTTTTAAAATAAAGCCTTAAAATACATGGCATATATACACAGTCCTACCATGTTAAAGAATAATCCTATTAACCCTATCATTAACTAGTGTCAGTTGAAATGACTAAAATATCATTTTCTTGTTGAAAGTAAAACGTTTAACCACAGACCTGGGCAACCGAGCACTGAAATTATTGCTTTAATAATAGTGACAATTCAGACACTACATTAATAAGTGTAGGGTACTTATTGGGATATAGAACATTGATTTTCTGTGCCAGAGCACCCATTTCAATCATAATTGCCAGTTTTGTTGAATTGACCGAAGTAAATACCATAGAATTCAGAAAAATATCTTGTCTTGCTTATCTGATGTAACCAAAATAGTCAAAATTTGACTGGCTGACAAAATTTGTAAGTGAGAAACTTTGTTTGTACTGTATTCATATACTGTTTGCTCTATGATTTGTTTAATATTGTCAAATATACAATGTATTATGTATCTTACAGAATACTGCTAAAATTCATAAATATTGTATACCAGCTGTTCACGGTTTCTTTAAATCTATAGCTCTATCTTCACAAAACAGTCTTCAGGATACATTACGGTAAGTAATATAGCATATTTCTTTCCTATTCTCAGTTCGGTTTCTTCTTTTTGGTGTAAATTTTGGTGATTGACCGTACTTGTAAGAATTTGTAAAATGTTATTTCAGATTATTAACTCTATGGTTTGATTTTGGTCAGTGGACTGAAGTACATGAAGGTTTAGTTGAAGGAATAAAAACAATACAAATAGACAACTGGTTACAGGTAATTTGATTTCTCCCATCACTGTTTATTCAACATTATGGCGGTGTTCAATTATCAGTCTGGATAGTTACAAATTGGTGGATTTGAAATCGAAATGAAACAGAATCGTGTCCAGCATCAGTTCTGTCCACCAAAAAAACTGATGTAGTGTGAACAGAATTCTGATGTAATCTACCATTTCACTGTATAGTGATAGGTCAAAATAGGATCATATATAGTTGGTGCATGCCTTGTAACCAGGAATGGGAGTCATAGTTTCTCAGTAAGACGTTGGCTGAGAAAGTTCATCAGGATTTTCGAGTGTAGTTCCCCCTTGTCTGGTGTAGGACGGAGTGTCTGGCAAGGGACAACATATAGCTGTTTGGAGGAGATAAAAAAAACGAGGTCCTGTGTACACATTAGCTTGCACGTAAATGAACCCATGACAGAATTTGTAATAGAAGTAGGCCGTAGCACCAGTTTCCAGACAAACTGTCCCTCATTAGCCCAGTCAGTGCAGAAAAGTAGGACATAAAACCCAATTTTATTTCATTTCATGTCACCAGAAATTCTTATGCTTACTTGTTTCGTGCATTGGAATTTAAAAATTATTTCCATTTTGAGTGAGCTCCCTTTTCAGTAAGCTGAGGAGCAAGCACACCTTTGTGTAAAGTTTGCAATAGAAATGATTGTGCATTACTTTTGCCTGAATAAATATGTTTAGCTGACTCTTTGTTGAAATTTATGTTGATGACGAATAATCTGAGATAAAAGTGTTTAGTATACTTGTAATTATATTGTAGGTAATACCACAGTTAATAGCTAGAATAGATACACCTAGAAACTTAGTAGGACGTTTAATACATCAATTATTAATTGACATCAGTAAAGCTCATCCACAGGTAAACACAATTATATTATAACAAATTTTAGGGTTGAATATGTTATTATGGTTCATGTATATTTTTTAAAAGGATTTGTTATTATAGATTATGGAATGTGTATATTTTGTTTATATGTTATTATGGTTCATGTATATTTTTTTAAATGATATGTTATTATGGTATATGTATATTTTTTATGATATGCTATTATGGTATATATGTATATTTTCAGGCTTTGATTTATCCATTAACTGTAGCAGCTAAATCAAATGTACCAGCTCGTCAGTCAGCTGCTAATAAAATATTAAAATCTATGAGTGAAAGAAACAGCACTCTAGTACAACAAGCTAACTTAGTAAGTCAAGTTTATAATATTAAGGAAGTGACTTTGATCAAATTTAACACACTTAAATAAAGAATAAAAGAAAAGGTGATAAAATTCGAAATATGATAAAATAGTTTTATTGGGGATCAGTTCCAGAAATTTTCAGACTTATGTAGATCAATCTTCTCAGCGAAGTACTTACACTCTTGAATGAAGTTTAGATTTTGAACCATATTTTATTGTAGATTAACCTTTTGGACGGGGTTAAATTTATTTTAGGTTTCAGAAGAACTGATTCGAGTAGCTATATTATGGCATGAACTATGGCATGAAGGTTTAGAAGATGCATCAAGGTTATATTTTGGAGAGAGAAATGTTAAAGGAATGTTTGCTACTTTAGAACCTCTACATGGAATGTTAGATAAAGGTTGTCATACACTTAAAGAAACGTCTTTTAATCAGGTAAGAAAGAAATACAAGGCTAAAATAAATAAACAAAATTAACAACACAAAGGTAGATAATCTCCTGAAACTGGTCTACACATTAACATGCACATAAAAGAACCTGTCGTAGATATAAATCGATTGAGAGTAGACAGTAAGCTGGTGCCTGGGTAAAATACTCCCACCACAGACAGTGCACACATAAACATAGAAATAGAAGTCACCATAATATGTTTGCATCAAAATGGCCAAAGTATTGTGTTGACAAGACTCTAAACTCCATTGTATTACACAATCGTAACAATCATTGGAAGGGATGACAATAAAGACATAATTAGGTTACAGGTATGTATATGAATATTCATTGTTAAATCAATTTTTGGTGATAGGTTGTCTCAATGGCTTCACCTATAAAACCCAACAACTCTACAAATGTATGTTAATTGTAAATTTTTCAGGCGTATGGTCATGATTTATTACAAGCACAAGAATGGTGCAAGAAATATCAAAGATCGGGAAATGTTAAAGATTTAACTCAGGCGTGGGAATTATATTATCATGTATTTCGAAGAATATCAAAACAACTGCCACAGGTAAGTTTATTTGAATGGGACCACATACAAACTGCTATTACAAACTAATTAAGCAAATTCAAGTAAAATATACTGAACAAAGAATAAGGCAACTATTTCCAACCTATTACTTTATTTAAATACCTGCATTTAGAAATTGACTTATGTATACTTTGATTGTAATTGTAGTTGACGTCATTAGAACTTCAGTATGTCTCACCTAAATTATTACAATGTCAAGATTTAGAGCTAGCAGTTCCTGGAACGTATCAACCAAATCAACCAGTGGTCAAAATTAATAGGGTCAAGAGTTCACTACAGGTGATAACATCAAAACAACGACCCAGAAAACTCAGTATATATGGTAAGTTTGATTGTGTGATTTCTGAAGAAGAGATAATTGTCTGTCTTAAATAATCATAATCTTTATTTTCTATCATTTTCAAATACCTTTATTAGACACATAGAATTAAAATATATCTAAACATAGTCCTATATAAACAATAGTGTCAAGAATCTCTCAGCATTATATATCATTTTTTATAATGGCTGTATCTCGGTTATAGATAACAGCCCTGATTCACGAAAACTAAGATATAATAGCTTCTACATTGACCGAAAACTAAAATCGTAATACACATTTTAGGTATGGATGCTGTTTCGCCCATATATGCCGGACATGTCCAGTTGACAAACGTCCAACCCTGAAATATGCCCTATCTGAATCATATGGTGAATCATATTAAAAATTCCAAAATATATTTACTTTACTGAGGGTAATAACTATTACTAATCTTGTTTGTCATTGATAATAGACGAAATTGATTACTGGTAAGTAATTAAGTTATCAACCCCTTAATTACATAAAAAAAATATTTGTATTGGAAATCTATTAAAGGGAATAGAAGCTTATTGACCTTATTTCCTGAAGCTTATAAACGACTTCTTGTGACCTAATTCTGGCCTCCGTTATCCAAAACTAAAAATGTCTGACGAAATGGCATCCGTGATTTTAGGTGTTAACATTCTAAAAATCTTTTAGTATATGTTGTCATGAATAAGGCCCCTGTTTTAGACATGAAATGGCAGAGTGAATAGCAAAGCTTTTTACATGGATATTAAATGCAAAAATTAGCCAAAAAGTCTATAAAACAGTAAAAGATGAGCTACATTTACTTGTCAGAATGTTTCAATAATCTTTCAGAGATTAATCTTGGTGTTTTCTTTACAGGTAGTGATGGTAAAGAATATCAGTTTTTACTGAAAGGTCATGAAGATTTACGTCAAGATGAACGTGTCATGCAGTTGTTCGGACTTGTTAATTCTTTATTACGTAACAATCAAGATACATTCAGACGGAATCTAACGTAAGTAATATATTTTCCATCGGTGCCGATCATTATGTAGTTATTATAATGCTAATTTAAACTAGGTAGAGGGACATGTTTACAAAAATGTAATATATATATGAAGTATATTGGAAATAATCTGCAAAGCTTGAGCTGACTGAAACATAAATATCTTCCCCTGATCTGACATGTTCGTTGTGTCTGATTATGTCTTAATTCTAAACTGTGTCACACATTTTCAATTTTATAAATTCTGAATGTCCAGATCTAATAAATAACCCATCCCGATAATAAATGTTACTCAAATAATTTATATTTAGATTAGTTTAGATTTAAGCATCTTTATTGCTGAATAGTCACACTTCCACTTGAACATTTTACTTTATTATAATTGATTTTGTTTTACAGAATAACACGTTTCTCAGCTATTCCTCTATCAACAAATTCTGGTTTAATTGGTTGGGTACCTCACTGTGATACATTACATTCATTAATTAGAGATTATCGTGAAAAGAAAAGAATATTATTAAATATAGAACACAGACTTATGTTACGGGTAAATCTATATGTTATTATATTTCACACATAGCACTATGATTTCTGTGGAGAATCTTCCACAATTATAATCAGTTGTTGAGATTGACCTACCAGTAATTGATTTAATTGCATAGAGCTTGTCCCATCTCTAATAAGTATAATGAAATGGAATTTAATATCATACTTCACACTATAACTCTCGTATCATGTAGTTGTGATGTTTTTGCAGGAGTTTCTGTATTTAATGTTTAGTTTCAAACCATTGTAGCTTAAAATTAATTACTCAACACTGCTCGGGAACTAAACAATTATAATCCAGATAAACCATTTTCTACGCGACAGTAGAAACCCAATGGTTGGAAACTAAACATTAAATACAGAAACTCCTGCTAAAACATCACAACTACATGATACCTGAGTTGTAGTGTCAGCCTTTTTATACGCCCACATTTTCATATGGACTTATTATGCCGTCGCCCCTGTCCTTACGTCCGTCCACAATTGTTTGTGGACTCTCTACAGGTCACAATTCTTATCCGATTTCGACGAAACTTGAAATATAGGTGTATCCCCAAAAGATCTCGGCTGCTTTCGATATTGGCATGTATCGGATCGAAACTTCATGGATTATGGCCCCTGTTTGTACGAAAAATCACGTTTTTAGCTTGTGGACCCTATAGAGGTCACAATTTTGATCCGATTTTGTTGAAACATGAAATGTAAGTTTATAACCCAAAGATCTCAGTTCCTTTCGATATTCGCGCATATCGGACAGTAACTTCCTGAATTATGGCCCCTGATTGTACGAAAAATCACGTTTTTAGCTTGTGGACCCTATAGAAGTCATAATTTTTATCCAATTTAAAAAACCGTTCTATTATATCACCGTTACACCCTAAGGATGACTTAGTTCGAATTTCGTGAAAATCGGGCTAAAATTGACAGACAAAATGGCCGCTGTTTGTTCCCAAATAGCGTAAGAATATGGTATATCAAGGTTGTGGACCCTATAGGGGTCACAATTTTTATCCAATTTTGTTGAAACTTGAAACGTAAGTTTAAAACCCAAAGATCTCGGTTCCTTTTGATATTCATGCATATCGGACCGTAACTTTTCCTGAATTATGGCCCCTGATTGTACGAAAAATCACGTTTTTAGCTTGTGGACCCTATAGAAGTCATAATTTTTATCCGATTTAAAAAACCGTTCAATTATATCACCGTTACACCCTAAGGATGACTGAGTTTGAATTTCGTGAAAATCGGGCCAAAATTGACAGACAAAATGGCCGCCGTTCGTTCCCAAATAGCGTAAGAATATGGTATATCAAGGTTGTGGACCCTATAGGGGTCACAATTTTTATCCGATTTTGTTGAAACGTGAAATGTAAGTTTATAACCCAAAGATCTCGGTTTCTTTCGATATTCGTGCATATCGGACCGTAACTTCCTGAATTATGGCCCCTGATTGTACGAAAAATCACGTTTTTAGCTTGTGGACCCTATAGAAGTCATAATTTTTATCCGATTTAAAAAAACGTTCTATTATATCACCGTTACACCCTAAGGATGACTGAGTTCGAATTTCGTGAAAATCGGGCCAAAATTGACAGACAAAATGGCCGCCGTTCGTTCCCAAATAGCGTAAGAATATGGTATATCAAGGTTGTGGACCCTATAGGGGTCACAATTTTTATCCGATTTTGTTGAACTTGAAATGTAAGTTTATAACCCAAAGATCTCGGTTCCTTTCGATATTCGTGCATATCGGACCGTAACTTCCTGAATTATGGCCCCTGATTGTACGAAAAATCACGTTTTTAGCTTGTGGACCCTATAGAAGTCATAATTTTTATCCGATTTAAAAAAACGTTCTATTATATCACCGTTACACCCTAAGGACAGACAGACAAAATGGCCGCCGTTCGTTCCCAAATAGCGTAAGAATATGGTATATCAAGGTTGTGGACCCTATAGGGGTCACAATTTTTATCCGATTTTGTTGAAACTTGAAATGTAAGTTTATAACCCAAAGATCTCGGTTCCTTTCGATATTCGTGCATATTGGACCGTAACTTCCTGAATTATGGCCCCTGAATGTACGAAAAATCACGTTTTTAGCTTGTGGACCCTATAGAAGTCATAATTTTTATCCGATTTAAAAAAACGTTCTATTTATGTCACCGTTACACCCTAAGGATGACTGAGTTTGAATTTCGTGAAAATCGGCCCAAAATTGACAGACAAAATGGCTGCCGTTTGTTCAGTTCCTTTCGATATTTGCGCATATCGAATTGTAATTTCCTGAATTATGACCCTTGATTGTAGGAAAAATCACTTTCTTGTTAGCTTGTTCTCTATCCATCTCTCGAAAATGTGGGCGTATCCTGCCTGGCAGCCGCTGGTTTGCATTATGGTATGGTAATTTCTTTTTATACTATGTCTATGAAGTTGGAGAATTTTACCTAGACAGTGGGTGTTTTTGCCTACTCTTCTTGAATTTTCGACTGTCAAGGATTCTTTCATACTAAACATAGGCTGTCTGTCTACAGTTATCCGCTTGAGAACAGACACTAAGCTAGTTGACCAACATTTTAAGTCCTAAATCTCGATCTTAGTCGAAAACACTAAGTATACTTCGAGAATTTTGTTGAATATTTGTTCTGCTTCCATTTAATAAAATTGAAAAAGTTTATTTAGTCTTTGTGTGTATGACAGATGTGAAACGGAGTAGAAACGCATTACAAAACAGCATACTATTTTTTTGATATGGCTGCCACTTAGGGCAGAGATTTATTCTTGAGGAATGAAGTATATGGATCTCTGTGTGCAGAATGGGATTCTTTCACATGTACGCTATTATGTACATGGGTGAACCATCAGATCAACATAGTTAAAACTTTATCTTCATCTATTGTTATTGAAATGATAACTATCCCATCAGCTTGGTTAAAACTTTATCTTGATCTATTTTTATTGAAATAATAGCTATCCCATCAGCTTAGTTGAAACTTTATCTTAATCTATTGTTATTAAAATAATAGCTATCCCATCAGCTTAGTTGAAACTTTATCTTAATCTATTGTTATTGAAATAATAGCTATCCCATCAGCTTAGTTGAAACTTTATCTTGATCTATTGTTATTGAAATAATAGCTATCCCATCAGCTTAGTTAAAACTTTATCTTGATCTATTGTTATTGAAGTAATAGCTATCCCATCAGCTTAGTTGAAACTTTATCTTCATCTATTGTTATTGAAATAATAGCTATCCCATCAGCTTAGTTGAAACTTTATCTTCATCTATTGTTATTGAAATAATAGCTATCCCATCAGCTTAGTTAAAACTTTATCTTGATCTATTGTTATTGATATCTAAGTAATTTAGTTTACAAACTCCTATGACATTTATATTCTAGATGGCACCTGATTATGATCATCTGACATTAATGCAGAAAGTGGAAGTTTTTGAACATGCTCTAGAACATACACAAGGTGATGATTTAGCTAGAATATTATGGAACAAGAGTCCAAGTTCAGAGGTAATTTGACATGTTTAACTAATATGTTTTGAAAAAGATCACATACAGATTTTTTTCTTCAGTAAATAAGTTTTCTGTTAAAATAAATGTAAGTTCTTTGAGAAGTTAAATAAATTTTTTCTTTGAAAGTCAATGTGTTTTATTCTGTGAAATCCAATATATTTTGTTTGTGAAAGTTTTAACTGTGATACTGTTATGAATTGTATTTGCAGGTATGGTTTGATAGAAGAACTAATTACACCAGATCACTAGCTACTATGTCTATGGTTGGTTACGTTTTAGGATTAGGTGATAGGTATGTTAATTTTAATATGCCCACATTTTCATGTATATTGTCGTCGCCCCTGGTCTGTACACAATTATTTGTTTGTGGACACTCTACAGATCACAATTCTTATCTGATTTTGACAAAACTTCAAATATAGGTTTATCTCCGAAAGATCTTGGTTCTTTTCGATATTCTTGCATATCGGATTGTAACTTCCTGAATTATGGCCCTTGATTGTACGAAAAATCACATTTTTAGCTTGTGGTCCCTCTAGAGGTCACAATTTTTATCTGATTTAAAAAAAAACGTTTGAATATATCACCGTTACACACTAATGATGATTGAGTTCGAATTTTGTGAAAATCGGACCAAAACTGCCGGACCAAATGGCCGCCCCTCGTACACAAATAGTGTAAAAGTATTTAATACCAAGGTTATGGACCCAAGGTTATGGACTCTCTAGAGGTCACAATTTTGATCCGATTTTGATGAAACTTAAAATATATCTTTATATTCCAAATATCTCAGTCCATTTCAATATTCACACATTTCAGACCATAACTTCCTGGATTATGGCCCCTGATTGTACGAAATATTTTTTTTTATTTTATCTTGTTCTCTATCCATCTCTTGCAAAATGTGGGCATATCTTGCCTGGCAACCGCTGGTTTATTTTATTATGCCTTAATACTGCATAAGTGATTTTAACAATAAACTCTTCTATACAAGAACAAATTCCTTCCTTCTTCCCACTGAGTTCTATAGTCCGTCAAATAGTCCTCATAGAGAATATTAATAGCTCATGTATTTATTTGGAACTGAAACAATTTTCCAAATGGCCTAAGTTCTATAGTGCACAAAAGTTTTTTTTAGGTTTCTAAATCCCAGTGTTACACCCCAAGATAATCCCAATGATAAAACCTGATGCTCTGTCTGGCATTGAACATATTTGGCTGTTAAATCAACTTACCATTCAGTCTACATGCCAATTATATCAAAAAAGTCTTAGACTTTTTATGGTAAAATCAAATTTTATTTTTTTGAAATTTAGAAATAAATGATCAAGATAGTCATTTTCAAGAATGTTGTAAATGTTGGCAATGTTTTAAAATGATATGATAAAATGATATTTAATATTTATGATGAATTACAGACATCCATCTAATCTGATGTTAGACAGACTCAGTGGCAAAATTATACATATTGATTTTGGTGATTGTTTTGAAGTAGCCATGGTTCGGGAAAAATTTCCTGAGAAAATTCCTTTCCGATTAACAAGAATGTTGATAAATGCTATGGAGGTAGGTGAACATTTACAGTTAAGTAGACATTGATCTCACCTCACAGTCCTGGAAGATTCTCACTCTTATAAAATTTCATGGAACAGTTGTCTGACATAACTTTCTATGAGTATTCAGTAAATAAATCCACATTAATTATGGAGCAGTAATTATCCTAATCCTATATAAATTTTTGTATTCCAATGATATTGACCTGTTGTTACTAGAGACATTTTTATGTCATATTTATGTTTATAATTTGTGTTTAGTTTGTTTAGTTCTAAAAATTGTACTAAATTGTACTAGCAGTAGTCCTGTTCATTTATTAGTGTTATTTATTATTTGAAATAAACCAAGAATATGGTGAATAAGTAAATAAAATCTGCACCTATTATTTTTAATCATTCCTAATATTGAAACCAGTGTAGTTGTGACTGGTAATATGTTACAATATGAAATTCAGTTATAATGAAATTTGAAGTTCGATATTTTCTGTTGTTTGTATAGGTAACTGGTATAGAAGGTAATTATCAGATGACATGTCAGAGTGTAATGGAAGTATTACGTGAACATAAAGATAGTTTAATGGCTGTATTAGAAGCTTTTGTTTATGATCCATTACTTAACTGGAGACTTGTAGATGGTAAGATATTTAAATATGAATTAATTTAACGTTATTTAAATGTCATTATTAAACATCAGTAAGCAATCACATCATTGAATATTTATTGTACTAAATTTATCTGGTATAATATATTATATCAGTGTTACAGTGAATATCAGAAAATTAAAAAAGAAAATATTGAATAAATGTATTTGTGAACTTTTAATGTTATCTATTTGTTTCTAGCTACAATAAAACCTAAAACAAAGGCCAATCGATCCGATTCTTATGCTGGAAGTCAAGAACAAGGTATGTCATATTCTTTAAACATATCATAAAATGTCTTCCAAACTGAATTAAATAAATTATCATTTATCAGATGTCTGCCAAACTGAATTAAATAAATCATCATTTATAAAATATCTTCCAAAGTTTTAAAGGTCACCAGAAAAGGTTCATAAATTTTTTAAATAATGCAAGTAATTATGTCAACATATACTTTCCATAAGTATAACACGAACCCGAATGTCAATATTACCTGCAACAGGTAAATTTCAACGTTAGCAATTTCCACCATTCTCCGTGGATAGTCGTAACTTTCCGTAAATGTGAGGTCATTTTAGTCCTTCTGCTCATATTCTAGTCTATATTTCTATGTGCAGAAGGACTAAAATGACGTCACGGATTGCTTATTGACGGAAAGTTCCGACTACCGACGGAGAACGGCGGAAATTACTAATGTTGAAATTTACCTGTTGCAGGTAATATTGACGTTCGGGCTCGGGTTATACCTATGGAAAGGATATGTTGACATAATTACTTTCATTATTTAAAAAAAAATTGATGCTTTTCTGGTGACCTTTAAATTAAATAAATCATCATTTATAAAATGTCTTCCTTAAGCATTATTACTGTTTTTACTCATCATTTATAAAATGTCTTTCTAAAGCAATTACTGTTTTTACTCATCATTTATAAAATGTCTTCCAAACTTAATGACCGTTTGTATTCATCTTTTACCAAATTTCTTTCAAACTAAATTACTGTTTGTACTCAACTTTTATAAATGTAATATCAGTTTTATTGATGAAAGTATTTATTGGGTGTAACATTAAGAACGTTTTATCCCCTTTAGCATTACAGTAAATTGAATTGATTTTGTATAAAAGATTCTAATTGCTGACCTAGCCATTTACAGCAAGATATATTGCTGATTTAAATGAAAACAGCTGTTACTCTCTAGTCATAATTTCAACTGTCTGTATCTCAGCTGTGATAAATTTTATTTTATATTTTGGTTGATTTAGCTTTATCAAATTCTCTAAATTTTAATTTTTATAATTTGTTTTAGTGTTTTTGTAATTATATGAGAATTTGTTACAGGTGATCTACTAGAAAGTGTTGTAGATTTGACTCAGTCTTCAACTAAAAAATCACTACCTGAAACATCAGAGGCTGCAGGTAAAGACATTACATGTAAATATTTTTACCATCATCATTCACAAGGGAGGGGAAATTATTTAGGTATAATAGGGTAGATTCAATACACTGTTCTAGACAACAACAACTATCATCACAAGTTGTGAACATCCACTTGTATGTAACATAGAACAGAGCTTGTCAAGTCCTATATTTTTGCAGCAAATCCTCTATAACACACAAATTTAAAAATGCCATCATAGTCCTGTGACTTGTACTGGAAAATTGTGGTATTGACATATTCTTGGTGTTTACAAAAATTGTTTTTCAAATTCTTGAGCTGATAAAATCTGTTTTCAAACAGAAGAATAGTCTCAATTTTCGTCACAGTTCACTTGATTTCTTATATCTGACAGTTTTATTGATTTAGTCCTGTGAATTTCTGGTTAATTGTCGTATGTGGTGCAGTCCTCCTGTATTTACTTTTAGATTTTGAGAAAATAAATCTTTTTTATGGTTGATAGTTAGAATTGATATTACAATAACTATAGCTTTGTAAAAGTAAGATATAAACAGGTTTTTTAATTAGCGTTATATACATTGTTAGGTGGCGATAATGTACCAGCTGAAGTATTAAATAAGAAAGCTATAGATATTATAAACAGAGTTAGAGATAAACTTACAGGTAGGTAGTTATAAAAACATATGGCAGTATATTAGAGATAATCATAGCCGGACGGTCACCTATAGCTTGCGGTTGTGGTTTCGATCCCCGTGTGAGCGTATGTGGCTTGGAAATAGGGGCGCCTTCTCAACCTCTGGGTTTACTCCGGGTACTCCGGTTTCCTCCCACAGGAAAGACCCCTGTGCATGCGCTAAGGTAATAAAAATGAAAATAAGACAAATTGTCTGCGATATCACCTTCAGTGGAAGCGGAAGTTAATCATTAAGAACAACTAAGGAGATATTTATAAAAGCATATGACAGTATAAAGCTCAAAATATTATTGTGGTTTGATAGTCGAGAGCAAAACATTAAGTAATATATTGAAATAGCACAAGGGCTTCAACCTGTGTATTGTAGCAGTATCATTTTCAATAGAAGGCTTGATCGCGCTTTAACTACGTACATCTTATCCAGATGTTGTAAAACTCGCTTCAGGAACATGTAGCAGTATATTATGCAATGTCTTTCTCGAGACCACTAAACAACTTAAAATACAGATACTGTATTCTGCACATGCATTTCCTTGAAATTGCCACACAAGCCCAATATTTCATCTGGTATAAATAATGTACGATTGGCATGATGCCTATATATTATTTGAAAAATATAATGCCAAGATGAAAGGATGATGTCACATCTGTATTTTAATATTGGAGTAAAATGGTTATGATAAGCAAATATGACCTAAATGTGAGACCCCTGATTATATAAGTAAATCATGGTGTGTTGATTTTTGATTAATTCGATGTCTATTTTCAGGAAGAGATTTTGGAACTGATGACCCAGTAGATGTTAAAAATCAAGTTGAATCATTAATAAAACAAGCTACAACACATGAAAATTTATGCCAATGTTATATTGGCTGGTAAGAACCAATAATTATATTTATACTTTCCACTTCGTCAACTTATCTTTTCCCCTCCCATTATTATTTTTTTACCTACCTGTAGTCTCCTTTACTGTCAAAGCTTCCCCCTCTCCCCACTACTACTCTGGTTCGGCCTACCACTTTCTTCACCACTGAATTAAATTTCATTTCAAGCACTATATTTGATTAAAGAATGTGTTTATAATCTTATTGTGTTTAACACATGAGATGGTGAAGTAAATGACCCGATATAGCAGGAAAATTCAAAAGTAAATCTATAAGTGTATTTATTTATTAATGTAATATTGTATTATTTTTTCAGGTGTCCTTTCTGGTAAATAGAAACATTCACCATGACTATCAGCCATATTAAATAGATGTAAAAAGTACTTATATCTCTCTAAATATTCTAATAGAATATAATTTTAAAATATATTTATTGTTACAATTTAAAAACAGTTACAATTTTATTATCAGGTTGAGTAATTACTTTTATTAAAGGCAGAAAAAATGTGATTATTCAGTTACCTGTATGTTTATTAAAACTTTATTTGTTATTTCTTAGAGAAAATTGTAATATAATAAGTTCTATTGTATCAGTGAATGCATTTTTAAATGCAACATATTTTAATATAATATTCAAAATAACCATAAACTCTCATCTAACGAAACACCTGTATGAAATGTATATGACAAATATAACAAATCTTAAAATGCCTATTGGTTGGTAATGGATTGACAGATTGAACTGTTAAGTTAAACCAAGTGACATTGACAGAAATTATGGATCAGTGATAATGGCCAAGAGTGTCTGTTTAGACTTTGCTTTGATTTTCTAAATAAATGTCCATCTTGTCTGTGCCATATCTATCTAGACAGTTATTAACTTGTATTATTGTTACTGTTTTTGTTATTGTTTTATGATTGTGTAAATCTGAGAGTAGATATGAAGGGAGTAGAAACTCTGCTTGAGTTTTGTATTTCTCATTCCATAAGACCGTATTTGGGTTTATGTTTAAAATGACAGATTGTGCTAATTGTGCATTGTTTAACAGATATTCAAATATTGTACATAAAATTGTTGATTTTTAACAAAAATGAAATATTTTCATCATTAAAAATTTCAAAGATGAAGTAAATAAGGTAAGCATAGGCACTCAAATTAGGTTTCAATCTTGTTCTAAAACTGCCCAATATCATTTATTTGAATAGTGACAACAGATAACAAAGCATGTTATATATTTTGATGGTCACAAAATATACTTAAATTATAATAGGATTATATTGGGTTCTATTATATAAATATATATAAGGTTGTCAACTCCCTTCATTCTACCACCCTGTATAAATGATGTTCGGTATGTAAAAATGATATGAACGTAATAATTTGTACATATAGTTAATCACATCTAAATGACTAGTCTATAGTTAAACTCATCAATTAAATGACTAGTCTGTAGATAAATGCATCAATGAAATGACTAGACTTTAAATTAATAAAATGATTATATATGAGATATTGCATTTGGTAATAAAATATTTCAGTAAAATCTACATGGTGATTCATTTTTAAAATTTGTGAAATTCTTGTAGACTAGATCAAAATTAAGTTTTGCCAGTACAGAAGTAAGATGTTCTTACAGGGATTGCTTGTGGCTGCCTAGTAAAAGTCCTATGTGGCAAGCAGTTTATGGATGATTTTGATAGTCTTGATATAACCTAGTCCGATCCATAATGACTGTCGATGCAATTAGTAACCAAGACCCTTAAACAGAAAACCCATCCTGATAGAAAAATAGAATAGAAACCAAACAAAGTATAAAATTACTATATATGGATATAACCAGTAATCCCTTATGGAATAGTCTATAGATTGCACTGGGGTTCTAGATACCCATAATTGTAAGGCACCAATTCCAGCAAGTTTAAAAAACAATCTCAAAAACTCGAAATTGCAGAGCATTTACAAGTGGTTGATGACTGGGCAATAACTCTTTAATAAATTATACTAATGACCCATCATCAGTGACAGTGAATTGTAATCAGGGCATTGTTTTGTTGTGTGAAGTTGAGTATAGCAACTATTCCCCCAACTCTCAGATCGCCAATTATTACCGAAAATAAAAACTTGGAAAGATCAAAGAGATTTATGTTACAGGTTTATAAAGAATATTATCATTACCTGTGGCTAAGTGAGGAAGACGTTGGCTCCCAGTTGTTGGCCGATAAAGTTCATCACGATTTCCCAGTGTGGTTTCCCCTTGTCAGTGGTGCAGGACAGAGGGCTTGACAAGGACAGCTGTCTAGTCCTTCAGATGGGACCACTACACATTTGCATGCATGTGCATGTAAAAGATCCCTCGGCAGTTGGAATTCAATATAAGACTAGGCCCTAGCGCTGCTGTCCTGGCGAAATTTCCCTCATAAAACACTGCATTAGCCCCGTGGAGTAGGACATTCATCCCCATTTCATTTGTTGCGACTGGGAGCAAGCTGGCTTGGTTGTGCCACTGTGCAATCAAAGAGCTATAATTGTACACATTATCACTTTTAATAAGAAAGTAAATATTATTAATGAAAGTGGCTAGGTGGTTAAGACGCTGGCTCACTAGCCTAGAGGTCGGGTGTTCGATCCCTGCATTGGCCGAGAAAGTTCATCCTGATTTTCCGACGTTTCCCCTTGTCAGTGGTGCAGTTAATCCCGATTTTCCGACGTGGTTTCTCCTTGTCAGTGATGCAGGACGGAGGGCCTGACAAGGACAGCTGTCTAGTCCTTTGGATGAGACGAAAAACCGAGGTCCCGTGTATACATTAGAATGCACGTAAAAGATCCCTTGGCAGTTGGAATTCGATATAAGAGTAGGCGATAGTGCCGCTGCCCGGGCAAAATTTCCCTCATAGCACACTGTATGGCGTATGCCCGTCTTCATTAGCCCAGTATAGGAGCAGAACAGTAGGACCTTAAACCCCATTTCATTTCATTTCATTTCTATTAATGAAAATCCAAGCCCTGGCTAACAGAGATGTTTACAAGTGCTTTGCAATTACAACTCCTAAAACATCTATATCTGTCTTGTGTCAAGAAACGATAGCACACACATTCTGTAAAAAGCAAGCCCAATTTCTAGCTTTGATAAAATATATTCTGAGCATTATTTAATAAAAATTGGCTCAAGCAACTGACTGGAACAATCTGACATTATATTAGAGAGGTATATATTTAGGAAGTCAATAAACTTGATTGAATGTAATTAAAGAATTCTAATTCTGTTGGTATTGGAATGGTTTATTGTCCCATTAAATCGTCATCAATATTTATAATCTGTAATTAACTAATCAGGTAAATAAAAATACAATAATAAATAATGATCTCACATAAAATTTTATTAAACTGAAGCACTGAGTAATTATCTTTGTTGACCTCTTTAGTAACCTCTTATTCTTATTAATAAATATATAATTATCTATGTTTATATAAACAGGATTTAAATATAGATTTTAATCTTTAATTACGAGATATATATATAAAAGACATAGCATGCTAATATACTACAGTTTTTATATCATAAATAAAAGATAGATAATGATTACAGCTAAACTTGAAGCAAATTCTAGATCCCCTCCAGTTTAACTTCTCAGCTTAAATAATGAATGTGTTGACAAAAATATCAATTATCAATACTATTAGATCTTTCAATATGAAATCTGCAAGTTTATAATGAAAATGTTTCTAGTAAATCAGTCAAATTTGTTTATCTTGTTGAAATTATTTAAATTAAATGTTAACGGTAGCCTTTCCAATTGCTAGTTCTGGTTCTGCCTGGGATCCCAAAAACTGCAAGTTTTGATTAAGGGTGTCGTTGCAGCGGTGTCTGAAGATATTTAAAAAGTTGATTCTAGTAGCTGTCATTGTTATCTACCTATTGTTAGAATATAGAAATAAGTCTGGTGGTCTGTCTCCTTTAAGTACAACACCTGTACAGTACTATTGTTTAATAATATAAACCAGCGGCTGCCAGGCAGGATACGCCCACATTTTCGAGAGATGGATAGAGAACAAGCTTAAAAAAAAAGTGATTTTTCCTACAATCAAGGGCCATAATTCAGGAAATTACAATTCAATATGCGCAAATATCGAAAGGAACCGAGAACTTTGTGTTATAAACTTACATTTCAAGTTTCAACAAAATCAGATTAAAATTGAGACCTCTATAGGGTCCACAGTCTTGATATACCATATTTTTACGCTATTTGAGAACGAAGGGCGGCCATTTTGTCTGTCAGTTTTAGGCCGATTTTCACGAAATTTGAACTCAACCGTCTGTAGGGTTTAACGGTGATATAATAATACGTTTTTTTAAATCGGATAAAAATTATGACCTCTATAGGGTCCACAAGCCTAAAAATGCGTTTTTACGTACAATCAGGGTCCATAATTCAGGAAGTTACGGTCCGATATGCGCGAATATCAAAAGGAACCGAGATCTTTGGTTTATAAACTTACATTTCAAGTTTCAACAAAATCGGATAAAAATTGTGACCTCTACAGTGTTCACAAGCCAAAAACGTGATTTTTCGTACAATCAGGGGCCATAATCCATGAAGTTACGGTCCGATAGATGCCAATATCGAAAGGAACCGAGATCTTAGGGTGATAAACCTATATTTCAAGATTCATTGAAATCGGCTAAAAATTGTGACCTGTAGACTGTTCACAAACAATTGTGGACGGACGGACGGACAGGGGCGACGACAATATACGTCCACATGAAAATGGGGGCGTATAAAAATAAATAACCACAATGATACATAGAAAACACCAATACATCACAATACATATGGCTAGTTGCCACTATTGTCATACAAGAATAATTTAAAACTGTTTATGATAATGTAGCACCATAAGATTACATATTTTATAAATCATGACCTCAAAATTCCCAAAATTATGAAATAAGATAAATATGTAAACATTTTAATTGTTTTTTCATTTTTCCCCATTTTAAAGATCATTTATAGCTTTCAAAGGAACTGTACACTATGGTAAAGAATGATGTGGACAATAAAATGTAACAAAATCACAACATATAACTTTAGGAAATATTCAACTCAGTTTTATTTGTCAGCACTGTTTGTCATGCTTTCACTAGTTACATATCAAAACAATATAAAATCCATTTATATACACTTTTTACAGTATGTTATTTTGGTAATATTTTAATCTTTTTATAAAGATATTTGTGGTTTGATACAATGTTTTGTTTGATTTTACACACAAGTTGATTACAAGTGAAAAGTATGTACCGGTAAACCCATAAATAACTACATATTTACATTTGTAGGTCATACAAAAATATTACCTGTGTTTACAGTTACCTGACCCCCCAAAATAGGGTCAGTTGATTGGAATTTGGTTTGTTTATTTGTTCTCGGTTTTTTTCTCAGTGGGGTTTGTGTGGTAAGATTGGATGGAACTAAAAGAAGTAATAAATTAATCTTTTAATGATGTTATTTATTTCCTAGCATTTCTAGCTTAATTACTAAGTAAATACCAAAATTTCATGTGTGCAGAAAACCATGCCAAGACCGATTTATGGCACCTGGGAAATGAGAAAAAAATGTTTAGTGGTGTCAATCTGGGCTCAAAACAATAGGGCCAGTCGGGTAACCATAAACATAAGCATAGTTTCTGTCTAAAGGAGTATCATCAGTCAAGAACACATATTAATATCTTGAAAAATAAATAACTACAGATGTTATTTCTACAACGAACATCAAGATTCTCAGACATCTATATAATACAACAAAACAGATTTATTGCGGGATATATACAATAAACAGGTTAAAATTAGATATCACTTTGTTGAAGCTTAAGATCTGTTACTACACAACTTACTATAAAATATGAAATGATGAAGAAAGACATATGATAGATAAAAACCTAGTTAACATTAAAAAATATATATACAAACCTACAACAAAACACATTAATAATAAAGTGGAGTGAATATGTTTTTAATGCTATATTTGGGACTGCTGAAAATTATTAGAAATCATTAAATACCAATAGGTATCTTAGTCTATGAACTTAAACACTATGTATAAATTTCAATTCAGTTTAGCATCAAGATTTTTCAAAAAGTCATTATCGGAAATATTTGAAAATCAACGTAATTGCAACTCGGTCCTAAATGCATATTCATGACTTTGAACTTGGAAACACCATTTTCTAGAATTTCTGAATTCAGCATTAAAGAAGATTATAATTATAATGTGGTAGAGGTGACAGGATGAAGACCATGTATCATAACAGAGGGTTGAAGATTAGCTGTTAAAGCATCAAGATGGGATAGATATGTACCAAACTGTGTAGAATCTGTTGGGGGTTTAGGTAGATAGAAGAAACTCACTGCCGTGCGACTAGAGTTGGCTTGAATCAGTTCGTTGATGGATTTAATAAACTCCTCTGAAACCTCCTGAAATTCATGCATGTGAGAACCGTCAGAATCCTCCTCTAAAGACTTATTGGTTATATAGTGCTGTAGATGATCCCAAGATACGATCTGGATTTTGGCCAGAATTCGTAACTGGCGCAAAAACATCTCCAGTTTCTGTTCTTTTTGTATAGTATTGTCTGATTGGGCGTTTATGCACAGAAATACTCTCAGAGTGGTTTTGCCTCGCCATTTAGGAACCATATTTAATACACAAGCCAGTTGTAGCATAAACAGACAGGTGTTGTCAAAGAAACTGGCCGTTTCGGGTCGGAAGAGGTTAACGGGCCAGACGTCAATATAATACATCCCATCTTCTTCACTTATCTTCTGTTTGTTCAAATGGTTAAAGTTTCGACAAAGACAGACATTTTTTTGTAACTTGAGACAGTCCTGAATAAGCTTCACATATTCAAACCCTGTTAACTTCTTTGGATCATCATCTCGAATGGCGTCAAAATAAGAATCCACTTTCCTGTAACTACCATTTTCAACATCACCAAGCAATTTCCTTTTGCGTACTTTCGTTTTGACAAGACTATCAGATGGTTCAGCATTATCATAGAACCCAAGACAGACGGTATTTGGCTTCATCCCACCAATTCCCGATACTCTTACTAAATGCTGTAATCCTTCGTTAACACTTCTAGAAAGAGTTATCTCAACGAAAGCCTTAATTTTCAGATGGTCGACCAGAGATAACCAGTGAGGATATACATCCAGAATGGGATCAGATGGATAATCTTCCAATTTACCGATTTTAACATGTCCTAAGACATATAATCCACTTTTCTTTATGTCATTAATAAAGTCAATTAATTCGCATGACTGTCGAGGATTCGCCACCATGAGAAGGATTTGCGGCCTCCAGTACTTAACGTGAGCTTTACGTGAATCCAACATGAGTAAATATTTGCGTACTTGATGAAAGATGAGTGCTTGACTAATTGACCCCCAGGATGTTGGTAATGAACGGAAATGCAGAAGGATAACAAGTAGTAACATAATAACTAGAGCTATAGATGTATATACGGCACTAATAAGAAAACACATGATCATACAACCTAATAATGCTAGAACACATGTATACCATGTAAAATAACGAAATGTTGGCCTGAAAAAGAAAAGAAAAATATTTCAATGAAGTCTAAAGCACTGATGTGATATTCTTGTTCTATTATACAATATTGTGGCTGTTTCTATTGATTTATCTTAATTAAATAAAGATAGGTTGCCAGGCAACGAAACATACGCCCACAGCAGCTATATCGTCCGGGCAGTCAACAAGAGTTGTCGCATATTTTTACTTTTTTCGGTAATGAAACATTTATAATACATTAAAATCTGATTAAGAGTAACAACTCATTAAGTAATTATCAGAAAACCATTAGAATTTGTTTGGTTTTTATTAATTTCTGCCCCATGCTAACGTTTAGTATACGAAACTTTTAACATCATGGATTTAGCTGTTCAAGTCATAAAGATTCATTGAAAATCAATATACTTGTTCGTCTCAAGACCTTAAACTCTGTATCAATCTGAAGTCAATCGGATGATAACTTTAGCCTCTAGAGCGTCAAAAGATTTTTCAAAGTGATCAAAGGCCATAACTTAGGCAGTAATTATCCGAAATCGTTGAAAATCAATATGATTCTTCATCTCAAGGCCCCAAACACTGTGTATAAATTTCAAGTCAATCGGATATTAACTTTAGCCTCTAGAGTGTCCACAAGATTTTTCAAAGTGATCAAGGGCCATAACTCTGGCAGTAATTATCGGAAATCGCTGAAAATCAATAGATTTCTTTGTCTCATGACCTTAAACACTGTGTGTAAATTTAAAGTCAATCGGATTTTAACTTTAGCCTCTAGAGTGGCTACAAGATTTTTCAAAGTGATCAAGGGCCGTAACTCTGACAGTAATTATCGGAAATCGCTGAAAATCAATAGGATTCTTCGTCTCATGACCTTAAACACTGTGTGTAAATTTGAAGTCAATCAGATATTAACTTTGACCTCTAGAGCGTCCACAAGATTTTTTGAAGTGATCAAGGGCCATAACTCTGGCAGTAATTATCGAAATCGTTGAAAATCAATAGGCTTCTTCGTCTCATGACCTTAAACACTGTGTATAAATTTAAAGTCAATCGGATATTAACTTTAGCCTATAGAGCGTCCACAAGCAATTATGGACGCCGGACCGAAAGACCGCCGGAGGGACTGATGGACGGACGGGTGCGACAACAATATACGACCACATTTCAATGTGGGCGTATAATAAAACGTTTCAAAATACACTGTTTGACAGTATGTTTAAATGAACTGGTATGAAACGGTGTTTAACACTAGGCTATGAAAACAGGTGTTCGCCCACGCAATGTGCTATGAGGGATATTATGCTCGTACAGAAGAGCTACATGATACACTTAATTCGACTTCCAACTGTTAAGGGTTCTTTTATATGTATGCCATATGTGTAGGCAGACCATTTTTTTTTGTACCATCCAAATGACTACACAGTTTCTTGCCATTTTTCATTTCTAGCATCAGGTTGCTACATGATATATTTTTTATAACTCACCTAAAATTAGGAGCTGAGGCCAATTCTAAAGCGAGACAGGCTAAATTAACAGCCGCATATGACAGAAGAAAGAAAACAGAGGTAGCTGGGGCAATAGCATTTAAAGAGCCCACTAATAATACTAACTGAAAAGAGAAAAAAAATCGAAAATTAATAAATCATTCAGTTGAAATACTATTTCTATTGTGAAAATCAACAGTGAAATATATTGATCTTTATTTAGTTCTATCACTTCCAATTAATAACATAATTACCTCTATGTAAAAACCTTATCATCTCTCTCTCTCAAAGGGAATTATCCCAATATGGAGGCTTGATGGCTATATAGCTAATTTTGTAATTCATCAATTATTGGATATGGCCATATTTCTTGCATTGATAAAACCAGTGGTTGCTGGACAATAAAATATATGCCCACATATGTCACATTATAAATAAATAGCAAACTTGTTATTAAACTGTATAATAACATATGCATGCTGGCAAGATTATCTATGACATGACCAAGGGCAATAACTAAGAACTTAAAATAAATCATCTCCTTTATGTGAAGGGAAATGGCAGAGCAGGAAGTTAGCTATATCTGCAACCTCATGTTTGTATGGTCAGATCATTACTGAATCCTTGTCTCCTTGACTAAAACACTTTATCTCTCTCTCTGCCCTGGAGTAACTGGGTACCTTTAGGATAGTACAAGGTAAATTTAATGTAGCATAAAATATCTGTACAGTGTCATGAAATAATCTTTCAAGGAACCTAAGTATGATCTATGTCCAAATAAGAGATGGGGGCTAATAAAAGGCAAGACATCAAACAACTGTTCGAGTCGTATAAAAGACGTTTACATTACGTTATTGATATATTTACCTGCACAAGTGCCCAGGATATGATGACAGCCATATAAGGATTTCCTCCTTTTGATGTTTTTGTTGCTGGTTTCAAAAATATCCCTGAAAAAAAATTAAAAAATTATTTATTTAAACATCAATTAAGAACACTAAATCGTTTTCATATTTGGTAGGAGAAAACCCGAGGACCCAGAGAAAACCCACGAGGTTAGAGAGGCAACCCAACTCCTTGTCACGTTGAAGTGCAGGGTCAAAACCACAACACTTTACTCAATAACACACCTTTTCATTTATAGCGCATATGTTAGATCATTTGACCACCCAGCACTCGTATTTTACAGTTTAAGAGTAAATGTCAAATCTGCACTCCACAATAACAACACTAAGTTTTCTAGAGTTAATAAAATATCTACTTACAAAATAATTCATCAACACCCAAAGCTTCAAGAATACGTGAAGCTCCAATTAAATTACCAAGTGCTGCACTTAACGTGGCAGCAAAAATACCAATAACCACAAATGGACCCCACAGATTTATTTGTTGCAGAAATACATAATCATTTGTTAATAGAAATCTGAAAAAAAAGAGAAAAAAAATGGTTTAATTTGTAAACTGGGATCTAAAATGCTTTGGTTGGCACGATAACATTTTGACGGAATGATGAAAATATCTATCACCCATGGTTATTTTACCCAATTTTACAAGCCTACAGGATCTGATTGTGTCCTTTGTTTTTTAATAAGCCTGAATGGTACATTCAAATTCTGAGTCTTATTTTTGGCTGTCTGAATAATCAAGGCAATCAAGTATTTTGATTTGTAAAATGATCTGGAGTCTATCAATCATATTATCGGATGGCACTATAAAGAAATGGCTTTAGATCAAAAATGAAGTGGGGTAACCAACCAAAAAATTAAACACAATGGAATGAATGACTATTGTGCCAATAAACACAACCATAATCAATTAGACTGAACATGAAAAATCTCCTGATCTGGGGAATTGATTTTGTTAGACTGAACATGAGACATTACCTAATCTGGAGAACTGATTTTGTTAGACTGAACATGAGAAATCAGCTAATCTGAGAAAAGATTTTGTTAGACTGAACATGAGACATCTCCTAACTGGAGAAATGATTTTGTTAAGATTGAACATAAGAAATCTCCTAATTTGGAGAACTGATTTTGGAAAAATCTAATTGCGTGTGCTCTGTTAACTGATTGGTCATATTTTTATAAACCCTTACCTTGAACAGGATCCACCAATCAATATAGAGATAACAAGATAACTAACAAACGTAAAACCAACAGCTGCTAGAGTACCTTTAGGTATAGATTTACTTGGATCCTTTAATTCACCTAGAAAATATAATATTTAATAATCTAAGACTAAGACATAAGCAACAACCATTTTAAATTAATTTTTGCTTTTTTTCACTCAGTTATGTATAGTTTTATAATTCCCTTTACTCAACATCACTGACAGAAATGCTTGAAGCATGAACAAATCATTACCTGTGGTCTGTAATATATGTACAGCACATACAATGGACACCCACAGCATCCTGATCCGTTCACTTGATTTCATAGTACTTTTATTAGTTATTACTTACTATGTCTGTGTGTTGTGTGTGCCATGCTTTTTGTCTTTATTTATTACAATATATTTGTTGTTGGAATGAAAGTAATCAATACAAACCTGACATATTAGCACCATTTAATATACCAGTAACACTACTAAACAAGATAGCAAAAACAGTTGCAAAATTCATCTCATCTCCAGTATTATAATCTTTAGTATAACTCTCTATAAACAAAATAAAAATACATTATTTACATTCAAATGAAAACTATAAATTATTCACCCTGTTTATATATTCAACTGAATAAATTGTCACTTTAAAGAGGGATTTAAAGAGAGATTAACACACTGGAGGTCCTTGCCAGAACTTTCGCTAAGGTACAAATAAGTTTTGATTTGACAAGATTTGCCTTTTTAAAATTAGATTATATACATTTGAATATTTCAATAAATGGTCAGAAAATATTTTTTTAAAGTGGTTTTCTAGGAGTTTGACGAAGGATCCAGTGTGAACAAAGCGTTGTGTGAAGGTTCTACAATAAACCCCATACATCTGAATAATACATCAACAATCTTCAATAACCCATACCAAATGAAATGAAATGAAATGGGGTTTAACGTCCTATTGTTCTACTTCTAACCTGGGCTAATGAAGACGGGCATACGCCATACAGTGTGCTAAGGGGAAATTTTGCCCGGGCAGCGGCGCTATGGCCTACTCTTATATCGAATTCCAACTGCCAAGGGATCTTTTACGTGCACGCTAATCCATACCAACCATACAGTTTAACAGTATGTGACCCATAAAGTGACCTATCTTTGAGACCATCAACAGTATAAAAACAAGAAATGAAATCAGATTGTTAGAATATTACAATACATACCATAAAGATTATCTCTAAAAGTTTTTTCATGTAGTCCTGTATAATTACCGGTTATATTAGCTGCTTCAGATAAGTTACCAGAATAGACAATATGATTGGTTATAGGTATTTTAACGAGTATATCGTGATTGATGGCAAAAATACTAATAATAACTGATAACAAACATATCACAACAATCTGAAAATAAACAGAATTTAAAAATTAACCATTGCAAAAACCACACTAATTATTGTCACATTGCTCAAGTCATCGTGATCGCAATGCCATACCAAAAATTAAAATAAATTGGGGAGTTTGAAATCATTTAATCTAACAATGTCCTAACTATGGATATTAACTTCAAAAATAAATACTTTTTAGGTGTTTCGGACCTTTAGTTGAATCACATATTGTTTCTGTAAGTGTTTTTATTTATTTTTGTTGCGGCTTAATTGGAAACTTCTGGAAATTACTGAGGCCTTCTGATTTTTTCAGAACATGAATTACCGAGGCCTTCCGATTTTTCCCGAACATGAATAGTTCTCTCCGTTTTAAAAACAGACTAAAAATGACATATGGTGGTGTTAGCCCAAGATATTATCTTTCAGAGAACATGTTTGATAATATTTTCAACCGTTTGGCTGCCATATTGGATTTTCCACAAAACTCTCAAATCAATATTCAGGGACACTTTGATTTTGATTTTCGAAAACCTTTTTTTTGTTTTGAACCTACTCCAAAGGGCAACAATTGTTAGTGAGCCGATTTTTTAATTTCGATTTTGTTTACTTCCGGTTTCACTTTGATTTTTTTTTTTTACTTTTGACCTTGTATCTGGTGACCTAACCTTTCAATGACCCTTGACCTTTGTATATATGATGACCCTGATGTCAACTAACAGTTAATATCAAAAAGTTTGGTCAGTAGTAAATGACAGGTTTTTTCACTTTAATAATAGGTATTGGATGTAACTATACTCAATAATTCATGGTGTAACTTGATTGTTGACGTGATCTGGCCTGACGTGACGTGACATACCGAAACACAGTACTCCTTCGGAATTCTAGTTTTTCTTAAATTAATAAATAAACTTGTAGACAAGTTATCAAATATATATTGTTGGTTTGTTTGTTCCATCTGTGTTTTGTGACAAATTCCTCATGTTTGGTTTATTTAAAAAAAATGCCTTCTATTTCATTTCATTTCGAAACGTCTCACTTTTTAATTTAAATCAACATTAAACATCTTTTACTGTAAGACTAAATATTTATACCTTTGATTCCAAAATCAAACCAGAAAACTGCTTTGGATTTGGAATAAAAATTAATCCCATTTGAATAAAAATTCAATCATTATCTTATGGACCTACATGGTAATTTATTATGATGATTTCTATAAATAAGCCTGATAAATATTTATCACTACCATCTGTATTTCTCATTATATCCTTTTTATTCATAAAACTGAATTATAACAAGCTATGTCTTTATGCAAAGTTTAGATAAGAGAAATTTGTTATATCTGCTTATCTAATGTTTTGATTTACTCCAGTAGTTTAGCCTTCTTTATTCATTAAATTACATTTTAACACACACACATAAATTTTTTAAAACCATTCTAATTGATTCCTTGGCCGTTTTATATTTCTGTTTCTGATAATTATCAGGAATAATGTCAGCCCAGTACAAGTATCTCACTAAACAGTTGCTTTTTGTTCTAGACCCATCCTAATCATGCCAACATATTTATTTATTCTGAATTCTTGAACAGTAGTCATTGTTGAGTATTTCTAAGAATAAATAGAATTTTGCATTTTAGAACATTTACTAAAAGAATATACATCTGATGTAAACTAAATCTATTAGGCCACAGCAATTTAAATTTAAAGTATTGTGAAAATTTTGCTTCTTATAGCTCCTTATAATGGGGTCTGGGGGTAGAAATCATCTAAATAAATTCATTTACAGTGTGCTATGAAGGAAATTTCATCCAGAAAGCGACGCTATGGACTACTCTTACATCAATTCCTACTGTCAAGGGTTCTTTAAAGTGCTCGCCAATGTGTACACAGGACCTTGGTTTATCATCCAAACGATTCACAAGAGGGAACCAAGTCTGATAATCATGATAAACTTTCTTGTTCAACACCATGATCAGACACAGGACCTCCAAGTTAGGGATTCAACATCTTACACAATGAGTTACCATGGCTCCCAGAATCCTTCAAACTGGGCAATTCTTAGTATAAATTGCTTCAATTTAATCATAAAAGTAAACAGAAATAATCATGTTTATTTTTTAATTTGAGCATAGCTTTACAGTATAGAAACAGGAATTGGTAGAATGATACGAACAGTTTTTGTTAGGTATTGGTAATTCTGCGCACACTTACATTAAATGATAAACTTACCAAAAGAATAAATGCTGAAGTTCTTGCAAACATGGCTCCTCCTATGATACAAACAATTAAACAAAAGAAAAGAACCACAGTTGCGTAAAGATACTTCCACCAATCCGATCCATCCGGTAGACCCCCTCCCTCACTTACATAAGTACCTGCAATTATATATTAATCTTTTCAATTGTAAACACAGTATTTATAAACTATGAAAATATGCCCCAATAGCAGCTTTGTGAAGGATACTGCTCAGTCAATGAAGCAATCACTCCAGCAGGGCTAGAAATTCACGCGAATCTCTGAATCTAATTCGAGCAAGGATTCTCACAAGAGCTTACGCTGCCAATCTACATGGATTCGCGTAAAATTTTGTAAATAATAAAAAAAAAATCTCGGAGAATTGTTGAGTCCGACTATTGAATGTCAGTCAGGATGTTTTGAATCAAATTTGTATGACTTCCTTTATAGAATACTATATGTATAATAAAATATTTGTTGTGTTTTTCTTTTACAGCTTACTTCTAACTTATAATTTTGAGGAGTTTCTGGCTGGCCGTTGTCTTTTGCTTTTGTGTTTATGTTATGCAATGAATTGTATGGAAAATTCCACGATCACGACTCAACGTCTTGTAGAAGTAGAGCACCGAAAGGAATCTGTATTGTAACGGTGCAACTCCATTTACATTTGTATTCATGCATTGAATTTCAGTTACGATAAAAATTTATTTGTTTCCTAATTATTATTTTTTTAATTCCTCTTAAATAATATTTAAAAGAAACTGCTTTAGCAGGCCAACCGTGAAACAAAATAATTTTGGGTCCCACTTTATCCTTTGGAGCGATTTGATTCCGCTAGTTCGACATCATATAATGGGGTAAAATTGGGTCATTCCAATTCTATTCTGTCACGGTCAGACGCTTTTTTTTTTTTCACTTTCATTTGTGCGGACATCAACTATATTCTTTTATTATAAAACTTTGTGCAGTTAACAATTGAATGTTACTAGGTTTAGATGACAGATGAATTAACTTTGTGTAACATTAACTTGATAGGCTTCCTTGGAAATAAAAATCTCATTTCTTTTTTTTTACCTGTAGTGCATTTACATGAATTGTGGACAGGGGTAATGACAATACGCTCCCACATAATTTGTTGACATAACAAAATCAGGTTTGTTAAAAAGTATTATCATTTTGGTTTCTTTAGTTGAGAATATGTAATACATACCACCCGGTCCAAAATTCTGTAGTATTCCTTCCACAAAACCACTAATATAAAGAGCACAAGCTAGAACATTAGCAACATAAAACAAGAATCCAATACTTCCACCAAACTCTGGACCTAGAGCTCGACTTATCATGTCTTATACAAGGTTAAAGAAAACTAGATAAAATGAAAAATACTTAGTTCATCACATTTCATAGGATATCATAAAAACTACTCCTTCAATGTTTGTTTTTTTTAATTTCAAAAATAGTATCCTACATAATAACAAAGAGCTTCTTTATTCTTTATAGAATATCCAATATCTTTTAAATAATGGAAGCTACAATTTCAAATAGCACTTGATATTTTTTGCTGTGTATAATATCACAAAGGATTTGCTTTAGCAGTATTAGGCAATTATTCAGAAATATTATTGATGTGAACTTAAAGCTGATATGTGAATTAAATATGGAAAATATGGAGTAAATGTATGTATTTTTTGTAGTATTCATAAATATTATTCAGAATATGATTAACTGCATAACAAATTAACAAGAAATATTTTCTGTTGAAGCCTGTTAATATTAAAGGGAATAAAAACTTATTGAGGATATTTCCCAAAGTTGACTAACTCTAGTTACTCTGTTCTGGTCGTTTTATCAAAAATGAATGAAGTATCTTGCTGTATATTTGTTAAACTGCAGTGCAACTTAAAAGGCAAATACATCAGCCTTGCAGTAATACTCTCAAGTAGAAATCGATGAAGCACAACATTGTTTTTTCGAAAAGTTCCAGCTTGAGCCTCATGGAAGTGATGGCTAGATTTGCTTTAACAGGGTTAGATAGGACATCTAAGGCATTCCAGTGGTGTGATGATCATGATAATCCCTTGCCATCATGTGGACATGGTTATCCAGGCACTTGTCAGGCGGTCAACTATTTCATGCATTTTGTTTTTGCTTAGATTTAATAGCCAAAGAATATAACAATTTTCAGCAATAGCCCTATATTTCAAAGTGATTATACGAAGCAAATATAAATTTAACATAAGCCTTGATTCAGATAGTCGTACAGGACTAGGGCAAAGGTTTTCAATTGTTTACCCATTTGATACACTGAAATATATACTGGGTTGGTTTCATTATTTTTCACATGACTGATTTTCTATACTGTAAATTCTTTCAACATAAAATAAATTATAATAATGATGTTGAAATGTGAAAATATTTAAAATTATGCATAAACCCTCCAGAGATTTCCTTCGTGTGTTTTATAATCATGCACAGTTGATTCTCAATATTCATAAAACACATAATATAATGTAAATTACATTTGATATCAATCATAGATTATTCATGTATAAATTTTATATACTATTCAAAAAAAGTAGGGGATATTTGATTTTTAAGTGTTATTAAAGTCACCTAATGAAACTGACGAAGAAACAAATGACAAAATGAAATGAAGTTCACATTCATCGATTTATTCCAAATGATCGTTAGACTAAGTAAGGCACAGACTGACCATTATAAGGGTAAAATGATACCCGGGGTCAAACAGCAAAGTTACCACAGCATCACAACCAAGTCAGTAACGGGTAAATCCTCCTCTGTTTGCCAAACAAGCATTGATCCGACGTGGCATACTCCTAATGAAACGTCTAAGGTCATTTTGGTCCAGATTGTCCCATTCCTGTTGCAATGCAGCAGCAAGTTCTTGGACATTGGCAGGACGTTATTGACGTTGACGTAACCTCTGTCCAAGCATGTCCCAGACATGCTCGATGGGGGAGAGGTCGGGACTCAGTGCTGGCCAAGGTAATGTGGTGATGTTCTGTTGTTGGAGGTAACCTGTAACGATCCTGGCCCTGTGACATCTTGCGTTGTCATCCTGGAAGATGAAACGGCGGCCATGACGTCGTGCAAACGGCACAACATGGACTGCCAAGATGTTGTCCCGGTAGTACTGGCCTGTAACACGCCCTGCAACAACATGTAAAGCCGTTCTTCCAGCAACAGTGATGCCTCCCCACACCATAACAGAACCACCCCCAAATCGATCATGTCTGATGACGTTAACGTCTTGGAAGCGCTCGTTTCGACGACGCCACACCCTCCTACGTCTGTCCAAAAAATCAACAGTGAACCTTGACTCATCTGAAAACATCACATTGCTCCAGCGTCGATTATCCCAGTGTTGACGATCCCTACACCAACGACGTCTTGCCTGAATGTGATGATCTCTCAAACAAGGGATCACGCGAGGACGTCGGGCGCGAAGGTGACCCCTATGCAGTCGATTCCGAATCGTCTGGCCACTCACTCTCACACCAGTGTCTGTTTGAAGACGAGCGCTGATCTGATTTGCTGTGATGACACGATTTCTCAAGGCCAAGGTACGGATAAATCGATCCTGGGCTTGAGTTGTCGCCCTTGGTCGACCTGAGCTTGGTCTGTCCTGTACAGATTGTGTATCACGGTATCTGGACCATAGCCTGCTTATGACAGACTGAGAAACATTCATCGTCCGCGCCACAACCGCCTGTGTTGTGCCGATCTGTAGCATGCCAAGGGCACGTAACCTTTCATTTTGGGTAAGCCGACGCATATCAAAATTTGTTTTCTGGTCACTAAAACAATTAAACTGATGTTTCCACCCTGGAATTCAATGCCACAATGACTGTAACATTCAAAGTCAGAGTCGTGCAAAACTTGGGTTGGACCCCCATGATGATCCCAAGCATCACCTGCATTCCATGCGGTAGCTATTGGTGCGTTTGGGCGTCACATGTAACTGGAAATGTTTCTTCTGTTAGGTTCTATAGTGACTTTTTTCGTAGTCATTTGCATATTTTAGTATTATGCCCCCAAAATCAAATATCCCCTACTTTTTTTGAATAGTATAATAAAACAGATATGCAAAACACAATTATTCTATGTAGCCAATATCTAGTGTAGATTATTAAAACTATGTACATGTAGGTATATTATTGATTTATTGATCTTGATACCTATCTATGTCATCACTGTCAATAATATTAATAACCACATCGTTCACCATAATGTCAAATTCCACATTATGTCAACACATCAATTATTGCAGGAAAAGAAAGCTCCTTCATATCATAACTTTTTTATTGATCACTCACATATCAAGCTGTGTTAAAAAGGGGGTGGAGTGGGGATGGTGGGCGAATGGTCTAACGTGCACGCTTTAGATCATGATGTCTGTCATTAGGTCAGGTGGTGTAGTTTCGATCCTACATTACAATTGTACTTGACAAGGAGTAGATTCACCTGCCTAACCTTGTGGGTTTTTTTGTTCTTGTGATTCCCTTCCATTGTTAAATTCCATTGTTAGTCCATAAATGACCCAGTTTGTGTTGAGTGGACATAAATAAACCCCATTTCTCTCTCTCTGTCTGCTATATACAAATCACCTTTTAATGTCATTATAATTATACATAAACGTATGTGTGAATTTTCCAAATAAATTTATAATACATGTAGTATATGATGTTCTCTAGAAAGGGTATGCACACACTGCATGCTAGACATTATCACTAGGTAAATACTGACTGAACGATGGTTTTAATGGTGTTTTTAAACGTAAAGATATACATGTATTTGTATCATATTGTACCGTGATAATCACGTAAACGTGCAATGAATAAAACTGGTTACCCAACTATGTTTGAAAGTAATTGGTCTATATCTTCCTATTTTGGCATTTGAGCTGTCCATGCTTACATATATAGTGACTTTTATAAACAGACAACCTGTGAAATATGGGAGACCTCTCTTGAACATACATTATGCAAGAGCTAAATCTGCCTATTGTTATATAATGTTATATAAACTATTAATTAGACATTATTAACACAACAAGACCATAATCAACTCTCGATGGCATCAGATACTCAAGATTTTAACTAGATTAGAACAGTTCGCCATTTAAAAATGGGAAAGCGAGTCTTAGACTCAAATATACCAGTGCCCTGGTTACCACTATGCACACATCTTGTCAAAACTAAACACAGTGATAATTTGGCGCAGAATGAAGTAATTTGAATGGAAATTTCAATATTTTCTTATCGTCTATTTTTGAATTATTATAGCAAGAATTACCTACTCTTTATTAAACTCTTAACTAATGCATCATTAATTAACAACTATCAACATTCACAAACTGTGAGGGTTGTATTAGTAGCACTTTTAATATCTACATTAAATCTCTTTTACAATTGTGATCTAATAAGAAAGGATACAGTATGCCCCACCGCCTTCCACAGCACCATTTGTAGATATAGCACATATTGATAAAACTGTTAATACCAGTATAATATATGCAATAAGTAGTTGAGCTATAGCTTCTAAAATACCAGCTTGTCCTACCACAAAACCTGAAAAATACCAAAATTATATTACATAATTTTTCCATATATTTTAATTGAGATCTAAATACGCAACAATCAAATAGAAACCATATCTATATTATCAGGAAAAATATATTTGTAGTCAAAAACATCTTGTTTAAGTGCAGCTTTTTTTTACAATCCACAATGCTACAATTATGTAGTACGTGCGCAACTTAAAAAAAACTGATCAGTATTATATTAAAGATTTGATGATATATTTGGATTAAAGGATATTGAAACATTTTAATCAGAAGAAAACTACCCCATGAGTAAGATTTAGATTACCCTTGTTTATCGCTTGATTGAGGCAGAATCCATTTTTACCTTGCATTTGTCGTTAGTCGCTGTTGCTTTAACATTATTATCGAAGCCTAAGTAAATTCCTGGGTTATAATCTGACAAATTCTTAATCGCAGTCTTTGAGATATTTAATTCTCTCAATGTTCTCACAACCCTTAGTCATTAGATCAACACATAAGAAGCTCCATACATTACTCGACGATTGGGACACCCTAACATTTTGCTTTGTGCCGCCCGCCCCATTGTGTGTTTTTTTAAAGGAATTAAGTAATTTTCTAGTAAGACTGGTTGTCTCTACTTGCCATATGTACCAAAATTGCCATAATTTTATTGGAAATAACTACCCAATAAATACTTTTGTGGGAATGAACTTGAAGACAATTGTCAGTATAAATTCAACAAACCAATTCTTCCTACTCCGACAAAGTTAAAATTTAACGGTAAAGGGCTTTTCATAATTAGTCAGTGGTTGGACATTTTCTGAGCACTGATAAGTCACATGATAGTAAACACCTGCCCAACTTTAATTGCCAATTAGAGGTCAAACCAATTTGAACAAACTATTACAATTGTGTTTCTTATTTCTTTATGAGTAAAATAATGAAAAAACTACTTGTTTGTTCTTCCCAAAGGCTTTCCATTCCACATTTTTATGTTTTGAAATTTAAAACCCAAAAATTGTTCACAGGACTCTAGTGAACATTTATTTATCAAGATTGGAAAGGACTAAAAAATTTATGCTTATTCATCAAAATTTTATTACAGTGTAATTACAGCGTTTAAGGTTTGATTTTTATTTTGACAACGTCTCATAAAATTTTGTACAATCTTCGGATCATGTAAGAACATCAACAATGAAATGATCAATACAATGACCTAACACAATAAGGTCCTTGCTCTGTTAAATACAAATTATCTTATAACGATTAAATTATCTTATCATAAACATTGACTTACTAAATTTAAACATTTGAAAACTATCATAGAACTATTATCTGTTATCCGAGTCATTGAACAGAAATGTTTCCGTATCAGGACAAATAAATCTAATTTGATATGCTTTATCAAATATGCGGAAGCTTTTAGTTTAAAAAATTTCCATATTGTAAATGCAGAATTAAGACACTTCTTTTTCCTTTTTTTTATAACTAGTATGAAAATAATATGTCAGTTTCTCACCTACACACATGAAATAGAGAATTAAATTAAATATTTTCAAAACATACTGGTGCCAGGAAATGAATATACGCCCACCAGCAGCTTTCTGACAGGTGGCTTTCAAGTTTTAAGGGTCAGAGGCAATAACTACACATAAAATAGATGGGTAAGGCAGAATTTTCGATAGCTTTCTTCAAAATGATCATCAAAACAACCCTACCAATATTCCTCCTTGTGAAAACCTGACCTAAAGATCTTTTGTAAGGTTTGAAGATAGGGACATTTACACTGAGTTGCTGCGGCCTACTCTTAATTCAAATTCCAAATGTCAAGGGTTATTTTTTATGTACACAGGACTATGGTTTTTCGTAGCATCCAAACGACTAGACACTGTACTTGCCAGGCACTCCGTCCTACACCGACTGACAAGGGGAACTGTACTGAAAAATTCTGGGGAACTTTCTCGACCAACAGTGGGATTGAACCCCGGATTTTCTGATTAGTGTTAGTGAGCTAGTGCTTTACTCACTGAGCCACAAGGCTTATTTATTACGGAACCAACAGCAGTTTGTATCTAGATTTGAAATAACATTGTAATTTGTATCCCCTTTAGTTTTAAAGTTGTCCAACTACCCATGCATTACAATATGAATACGATCAGGTTTTCCAGTGAAGTAACAAAACAAATATATTATGCAAAATGACCTTCAATTCTGTTTTAAAAATTCATTCAATTTTCTGAAGATACTGTAATCTGACAATAAAGACATAAACTATGTAGCAGCTACATTTAATCAACCGAAAATGTACAAACGCAAAGTGACATTAATATATGCTGAAGTAGCTTTATAAAGTGATCTAAAAATATCTAGTTCAAATACGCATTAAGATAAGTTCTAATCAAGATAATGCTGAATGTGGGAGATATAATTACCGGTATGACCATGTACAAGAGATAGATAGAAATGGGTTAAACGTCCACTTGACACAAATCAGGTCATTTCAGGACTAACACCTGATTTAGTTTTATTTCAATAATTCGCTTGCGCATTGGGGTCTTTAGCAGTGGGAGGAAACCAGAGAAAACACACAAGGTTTGACAGGCAACCCTACTCCTTGTCAAGTACAACTGGGGAATCGAAACCACACCAGTTGACTCAATGACAGGCCTTCAAATACAGCACGCACATGCTAACCATTTGGCCATCCACCCCCCACCCCCCTGTAGAAGAGGCCCTAGTGCCTTAATCACCCATCAGTGATACCTCTGACCTGCTCAGATAAAGAGCTTACAGTTCTCGCTATTATAGTTTAAAAATAGATAATGAAAATATGAGTGAAGTTATGAATGCTTGAAGATTTGAGATTGATATCCAAAGCCATAAATTGCCCGATTGACAATTCATATTCTCTTTTGTCATACCGGTACATGTATATCATTGCCACAATAATAAAGACGCCAGTTTCAGTCCTTCAATCAGCAGTTTCCGTGAGTGGGCAGCCATACTAACGTCTAATCCACTCAATAATTCAGACATCCAATAATCTAGAGGGTTGATTATGGGCTTGTTATGTGTATAAATATCTAAATAATAATTTATATAACATTTGAAGATAGAAAACAGATCTGCAATAGGCAGATTTAGCTTTTACATAAAACCTCTTTCATAAAGAACTTTATTTCATGCAACATTTCAAGACTCTTCACTCTTCGGAGTACCTTTTTCAACCAAAGCATAAAATAAAGTCCTGAGTAGAAAATTCACAAGGCGGTGTTATTCTGAACATTAAGCCTACCAAATTTCGCAGACATGCATCAATCAGTTTACAGGAAGAAGTCGAAAACAACTAATTGTTTATGCTGGATCGATGACGGACCAGAAGTGACAATATAAATCACTTTGGGTGGATGGGCTATTGGGCTTATAAAACTCATAAATGTAAATAACAGTTGAGGATTGGTCTCAATTTACAAATTATATATGACATTTAGACAACCAAGAGAAACAGCACTGAGGTCCTATGCAGTGAATAATATAACATTAGTTATTGTAGTGAATATGAGTATGACCCTACGGCCTAAATACGGGTAATGAAAAATGTGTAATAAAGACTAGCACATCCACCAAATGTTGTTTTATGTTCTTCATTTCCCTTTCATATATCAAATGTAAATTCAAACAGGAACATCTATTTTTAATTCACATAAAATATTCAATAATATGAAGTTAATGTTTAAGGAAATCAAACTTCAATGTACAATTAAAACAGCTGGGCTGATTTGTGACTAATCATGCATGATAAGCCAATAATTTGTTGAGTGAATAGAATCATTGAATCGAGGTAATCAAAAGTTTCAACTATGGTACGTGACTGGTTGAATTAGTATCATTCAGTTGGTCGCCCGACTTTTAACAATCCCATGACAAGTAAAAAAATTTGATTTTGAATTAAAAACAAATAGAATACAAAGCCATTTGGATGGGAGCCAAAACTGGCACCGTTGGTACTGAGAAACAAGTAGAATGTAGACATAGTAAAATTATAGTCTGCATACCATGGATGACAAAATGCAATTTCGATCTACTCGTAAATAATAGATCTTCATTCATCAAATTTTGTAGCTATTCACATGTACTTCATAGTTAAAAGTACAACATACTAACATTTTTTTCAAATAGTGTGCACCCATGCAAATTTTAAAGGAGCTAAATCGCTAATATTTGGGACCTAGAAATTGACACAAATAGGTAGCAACGCATATAAAAATGTAATATGAATGTATAGGAACTGATTTACATTCAATCGTTTCCATTTTACTATAATTTTAAATCAGTTCTGTGTGGCGAAATACGCCACAAGTCTCAATCGAATAGTAATCTCTAGCGTCCGGTTATTCCAGTCTACAACGAAAGTATTTATTGTGCATGCTCTCCAGATAAGAATATGTGGTCACCGTTTGACATGACTGGTGGAATTTGTCTAACCTCATTCTTCGAGTCCCTTGTTACAAATTGGGTTGAAACGCACTATGGTACACGATTCGTGTACCAATGGTTAAATGTTTATTTTGTCTTAAATATTATATATCTTTACCCGATAAGATCACAGTATCAATGTGGATTTAAATCGACAAATTATTTGTGTTTTCAATTTCGAAGAATTTAGTTGATATTGAGTTAGATGACTTAGCTACTTTAAGATGGCATATTTTTGGATTTCACAAACACGCATTCCAGGCAACCAAATGAATGTACTGAATACATGTCACATACGTACAACTTCAAAGTAGCTCTGTTTATAAAAAAAAGTTAAATGCTACTTTGCTCAAATATTTCGGACATGTACTGTGCGATTTCCAAATGTCTGACAAGGAATATGCCCAATCGGACATCAAGATATGGTGAATAATATCCAAAATTCATCTCAGTTATTATTGATAGGCAGGATTGATTAGTTAATTATAACATCAACCCTTTTATGGTGTTAAACACCTACATTAATTGATTAACTACTTAATCTGCCTT